GCACGTTGCGCGTGCCATTGTTCAAGGAGGGTAGCGACCGTCCATTCGGAGCGATTAACGACCTCAGTAATGACTCTGTCGGCTTCGGCCTTGAGCTTGATTGCGTTTTTGAGTCGAGAATTAAGTTTGGTCACTGGGCATGATCGATACGCCAAATATCAGCGACATGGTAAGGTAGTGCATGAAAGACTGGAAGCTTAGGCGAACCAAGATCGGCCAGATGCTGCTTGTTATAAGCAGACGCTCGACGATTGATGTTCTCCAGCCGATGGGAGGCACTCGATGATCGATTCATGGGTATCATGCCTCGAAGCTGCGACCACAAGCGCTCAGTTCCCTCGCCATCAGTCAAACCAAAATTGGGTAGAAAGCGCGGATCAAAGTCAACCTGGCAGGACCACTTGTGCGCATAGGCATGCATCGACGAGAGAGCAAATTCTAGACGCGGTAAGTGGTCTGCCAGAAGATTGCGCTGCGACACCGGGGAGAGATGAGCTGCTCAGCTACGGACTAAGCCAATGCTCAGGCTGAGTGTCACGAACAAACTCACTCGGCGTAAGTGCGACGATAAGTTGCAGGCGATATCATACGCGACTCCGACGCGACTTCGATCCTGACTCGAACTTTGGTGGGAGTCCGATCCCGAGCTGGATCCGACGTTTGTAGCGTCACTGGTACGCGCAGGCCCCGTAGTACAATCCGTTTCTCCGACCTCAACTTCTTCGAGAATCCATTTCAACAGCGACACCGGATATACTAACCTGCGGTAGACCAAACTAGCTTATTAGTGTCCTTGCCTGGAGTCACAGATGGCCAGTCCACACATACTTTTCACCTGATTGATGAAGGTTGCAAAGTCGCAGGCAATGATCATGACGGCACACTGCAGCAACGAGGCCTGTGTCGGCCACTACATTTGACGAAGCGGAGGTCACACCACCATCTGCGGCCTTCCAGTTGGCTGTGCATTCATCCTGTATAGGAGAATAGCTCGTTTAGCAATCACAGACAGTCGGGTCAACTCATTATTGGGTTCGGGTGACCCGACACCAGCAGCACCAAGGTACCTTCTCGCCCGCTTCAGTCGATCCATCGATCAAAGCTTGCTCGTTTCGAATCTTGTTTGGTGGCAGGAATAACGCTGGACGTGACTTGAGAGGATCAGCATTTGCCCGCGCGAATCGTCGATGCTGAAAATTGCCGTCGACAGCAATGATGACATCGAGGTCATTCTCGCTCTTGCCGGCTTCATCGATCCGAGGCCCAAAACATGCCGGACAAACGTCGGCCAGACGCTCGCGCGGGGAGAGGCCGAGAATTTCGGCGGTCAAAGTTGCCTGCAGCTGTTGCATAAATCGATATTCATCCATTGCGGCTTGAAGATGCTGACGCACGGTTGGACCCTGGGAAGCTTCCAATATATTCTGTAAGAAACAATGAATGTTTCCGGCCTGTCCCTGTCCAGAGCCCACCTTGTTAAAAGGATCCTCCGAGGATAATTCAGAGGACCAAAAGAGAATGAGCGCTTCGGACATGCCATAGATACCAAAAGGATCTACCCCCCAGTAGGTGTCGATATATTCGATCGTGCGAAAGGTGAATGCGGTGATGCCTTCTCTTTTTCGGTTTGAAGATGACGACGTCGGGAGAAAACCGTGAGCTGCCAGGGTTTGGATCTCGGAATAGCATGGGCAGTATCGTAGTTCTCGCATGCCTGCTCATGGTTGGGGGATATCAAATCAGTCCAAGACGATAGCGTAGGGGTGGTTGACAAAAGATGTGCAACAGAAGCACCTACCTGCAAAGAACAGGTCGACAACCCGGACCTTTCTGGTGACTCGGCGTTCATGACATGCGTCGCACCACTCCTCGTCGTCCGGGGAAGGGACAAACCCGCTCTGTCGAAGCACTTCTTTGGCCTTTTTCTTCATCAATAGGTACGCCTGGAAAAGTTCAGGTCGTTTTGACGCCCTAGTCTTAGCTTCGGCCCTCGCAGTCCGGCGACGATTGCGCTGCTTCTTGGCGTTCCTCTCGATTCGCGATCGCTTAAGTGAAGAGGGCGCTTGGTCTTGAGAAGCACCGTCTGGGTGGAATGGCGAATGCTCCGGTCCAGATGAGTATCCACCACCGAAATCGCGACCGAAGTCGTAGTCGGGCTCAAAGTCGGGCGCGCTGTTAGGCTCGAAGTCGTGCTCGAAACCGCCGGTCTCGGTGTCTAGAGGCCACGCCGTTGCGCCATCGGCAATGTCAGTCCAAGGCTCGGACGATGATTTGTGGAGGCCGGCAATGGATTTCTTCGAATGCTCCTTCTCCTTCCGACGACGCGTTGACCTCTGGACCGATGGTGATGGGGGAGGGCTCGGCTGCCGTTTCGGACGCCTCTTCGTTGGAGAGCGGAAAATACCGAAATTGAAGCCGAACGTCTTGTCGAACAGCTCGCTATCGGGGGACAACGATGGCTCCCTTTTCCGTACTCGCTTGGTCCATAATCTCCTCCTCTTCTTCTTCTTCGTCTTCGCCTCCTCCTCCGTTCCCACCGACGTCGTGGCCCCATTCTCGATCGTGTCCTTGTTGCTGCAGGTCACCTTCTTCCTCCTCCTCCTCACGGTCGTGCTCTTCTTGCGCTTGGTCTTGTCAGTGCGTTTTGATGCTGAGCTAGGTTGTAGAGGTGGTGGTGTGTGTGGTAAGATGTCCATGCTTGAAGCGATGGGTGCAAGCTTGCAAGGCCTTGGGTGGAGGGAAGTGGGGGGAACTCGTGGTGCTGAGGCAGATGGACCATTAGCGGGGATAAGTAGCAAGTGCCCGAATTAGTGACCAGTTTTGCCTCCGGGGGCTGGGGGTTGGCAGGGGAATGGTGCACCTACCCTGTACCAACGTTTTCCTGGGCCAAATCTCGAAAAAGCTCCCTAAACTCGCCGCGCGCGGGGTAGTATATTTGTTAGGCTTATTTTGACCCGCATAGGTGGACTCGGATCAATCGATTGGAAGAACGCTGCTCGTGTCCTTGCGGCGGTCCTCCCGCAATTGCAAGTATTCCGCCGGCGATTCGGCGCTTTTGAAGGCGTAAGCTCGCATTGAATTGCCAATTGCCAATTCGTGTTCCGATTTGGTGCGCGAAGTCTCGAATCTGGAACATGATGCAGGTGCTGAAACCCGGCCGTCAATTGAAGGTCGATACTCTTCCAGAGAGATTCTTTCTCATGAACGACAACGAAGATCGGTTCCACATTGATGGGCTCTGTTTCCTGACCTCCTTTCACAATGAAAGCGTGCACCGATTTCCGACAGAGGGCCGTGCGCCGCATGCGCCACGGTCTGCCCGCTTATGTCGGTGCGCTTGAGTCCAGAGTTTCGAAACTCAAGAACAGCCTAAGCAAGACATCCCTAGTTGATCCGAGAGTTGTCAGTGCACTAGATAAATATGATGTATATTTTGGTTGAAGCGCATATTAAAGTTGAGGCTACATGATTAGCTCAAGTCTGGAGGACGAAAAAAGACTTCCGCTTCGTAGACTTGTCCCAAAAGGCCCAGGGCAGACCTAATCAAGGCATATCGCTGGTACACGCGCGACCCTCGCTCGTACGGATAACATAAGTCCGTGTCCAGTACGCGTTCCTTATGAAACCCTTCTGCAAGACTTATATTTTGGTACTCTGGAATCCATATGGAATGTAACAGCATCAGCTCACTAGCGGTTGCTATGAATGGAGTAGATGTTAAGCATCCCCAAACAGTTGATTAACCGTCTGCAATAGGTTTCATACACTCAGAAAATGACAATTTCAACTTCTTCTCGTGTCCACCGTGGAATCCGTATGATCCAGCACCGCGAAGCTAGCGCAAGTCAGACCCTGCGGAAACTAGGAGCGGATCCGTGCGAAATCCCCATCCAAAAGGGCTGGCCGTGTAGTGCTAATCCCCTCCATGGCGGGAATCCGTCCATGCTGCGTTCGTGCGGAACCGTCGAGCACGTCTTCGACGGCGCCGGCAGTGTGGGCCGCCGTCCGGACGAATTCTTCCACCCCGACTTCAGACAATGCTCCTGACCAACGGATGCATAAGCATTGCTATGAGCCACTGAAAGCTCATTTGGGGAGATGTGGAACAGGTATAGAAACAAACGATTCCAGCGCTGCAATAGGATGCTACCGAGACTACTAGTACTGGCCACGAAAACTTGTGACGGCTCGGAGCTATTTTGGCCATGGAGCATGGTCGGTACCTTGTAACACGATGTTTCGTAACAGATGTAAGCTTTGTAGCACACGTAATATGCACCAAAAGGCGTAACAACCGGTCAAAAGTGGTAACAATATGCAGGCCGTGTTACCGTCGTCGATAGACCACACATGTTGCACACTGATAAGTTCGGAACCCCACGTAGCACGCAACAATTCTGTTACGAATTCGTATCCCGTAACATGTGTCATATGGCTGTGACCCAGCCATATCTGGCTGGGCCCAGAACGGGGGGACGGCGTGCGAAGGTTCGCGAACGTCTTCTTTGCTCTTTGGCCCCGTTTGGTCCGTGTGCTATCCATATTGAGCCTTTCTGAAGGGACGCCGCGCCTACAACCGCACGCGCCGCGCCCAAGTTCGCTGACGCTGGGGAGCGCTGGCGGAAGCTGGCGGAAGCTGGCGGAAGCTGGTAGAACTGCTGGCAGCAGCTGGCAGCCTGGCTAACGCCCAGCAATATCACCTCCTCTGGGCCTTGCACCTTCCTTCACCCACTCCATCTCCTCCACGAACACCTCCCGACCGTATCGCCTGCATTGTTCGACCGATCGACTCGTGGTCTCGTGTGCCGCTGCTGGGCCCGTCTCCCAGTCTCGACTTGGATCGACTGGGGCTTCAGGCTTCATCGCGTCTGAAGATCTGAAGTGTGCGGTCGCGCGTCAGTCGCCGTGTGTGTGTGAGAGGTGTGTTAGCGTGTGCGTCAGACTTCGGAGGGAGCTAGCGTTGAGCAGCCTCCTATCGGCCGGTCCTCGTCATCGCCAACATGTTACCCGTTGATATTGTGTCAACCTTGCCACCGACACCGACACCTACACCCTCGGATTCGACCTTCTCGTCCGCGCCACCGTCGTCGACCACTTCGTCGCCGCGCTCGAGCTGCGCTGATTCACTGCCACTCGAGGACAACGACCTGCGACAAGCACCCCCGCTCACGCTCGCACGTCGTGACTCTGCCTCGCCCGACGCTGCGGCCTCGACCTCGTCGTCCTCGGGCCGTGGGTTCAACTACGAGGGCGATTCGACGGCCTCCAACTCGTCCGACTCGTACGACTCGGGCAATGAGGCGACGACACTAGCCAACTCGTCGAGCGCCACCGCGCGCACCAGTCCATCATCGAGGCGGTACCACCATGCCCCGGCCTCGGCGACTTCGACCGCGGCGGACCATGTCGCTTCCTTCGCAGCTCTATCGCGACAAGGTTCGAGCTCGTACATGGGCAGCGCCCACGCTTCGTTGGAAACGGGCACACCGCGGTTAGGCGCCCCGGGCTACCTCTACGGCTCGCCGAATCTGAACCGAGCCGCCGCGCTACAACACTACGCCCATGCGCACTGGACCGACGAGGGCAACTACTTCTCCGCCGCGACGAGTCGTGCCCACAGCCCTGGACCCGACATGGATGCGTTCCCGTCGCACCGCGTCATCTCGCGGAATCGCAGCCGAGGGCCTTCCGGCGCGACCACACCCGTGCACGAGGACAAGGAGTCGAGTGAGTACAACCTCAAGCCGATTTTTGTCGCCAGGAGGACCCATGTTGAAACAGTTCATTCTTCTTCCTACAGTCAACTACAACACACATCATCATCAGACGTCGCTCCTGCTCTCCGAGTGGGCCGGCACGATAAAAGCCGATGGATCGCCCGTGCTCGGCAGCCAGAAGAAGAGGAGATCGGGGTGGTGGGGGCGAAGATCATCGGACGCACGGCGGAAGAACAGCGTCAGCGCGAGATCATCCTACAGCAGTGTTGCGACGCCGCCGTCACATTCGCCGAATGCCTCGCTCCTCCCGACGTCGACGTCGAAAGCGAATCGAAACCGGACGTGTCTCTCCGCATTCGGCGCCGCGCTACTACGACAGCCATGGGTCCCCACGCAGCCACTAACGATTCTCTTTGCACTTGTGCTTATCGGATGTTTCGTCGCGAGCCTGACGACCTTCCTCGTGACCATCTTACGCGGCGATCGTGAGCCGCTACCTTACCGCCAATACATTCAAGAGTCACGCCCCTTCCCCCACGATCTGTGCGATTCTCTCAAGCCCGTCTCTGTTTTTGTTGGCATCTTCTCCGTCGCCGCCGCTGCCGATCGACGCAACATCATCCGCCAGACCTCGGCCAAACTCACAAAGCCGATTGACCCGAGGACGGGTGGACCATCGACGGACGTGCAGGTCAAATTCATTCTCGGCCGACCACCCAAGAAGTGGGCCAAACGCATCGCTCTTGAGATGGAGATGTATAATGACGTTGTCGTACTCGATATCGACGAGAACATGAACCGAGGCAAGACATGGAAGTATTTTGAGTGGGCCGCCGAGAATGCAACCGTGCCGGTGTATTATCGAACGGGGGAGGGCGCGAAAACCCAGATCGGCGTCGGCTTCAAGAAGGTCGACTATGTCGCCAAATCGGACGACGACGCGTTCATCAACCTGAGCGAGCTGGAGCGGCATCTCCGCGTGTCACCGAGGGAGAAGACCTACTGGGGCTGTGAGTTTAAAGTTGGACTTCGTCTGGAATCCAGAGTGTTGCCCTGTGCTGACTCTATTCTCCGACAGATCTTATCCGCAACTTATTCATGGCCGGCGAGTTGTACGCCGTGTCGCAGGATTTGGTGCAATACGTCGCCACTTATGCTCCGATCCGGCAACATACCTTTGGTGCCGAGGACCAGCGCTTCGCCAAGTGGATGCGCATGCACCCGAACGCGTCGACCATCAACTGGGTATCCGAACGGGTCTGGATTTACGACTTCCCCAAAGCCCCGACGGTGTACGCCCATGGCTTCTTATTTCCCGACGAGTTCGAACGCATTAGGCTTGAAGGACGCCGCGGGATCAGCGAGGAGGAGCGCATTAAGCGTGGTGGAGAGCTCAGCCAGGCTTACTCGACCGTCACCAAGTGGAGGCAGGAGTACGTTCCTCCGGTCAAGGGCTTGTCGATGGAGGAACAGGTCGAGGCTTTGGTCGAGGGAGGTGGGCGATGGTCGCACCAGGGCTGGCGATCCGACAATGGGCGAGGGCCAGAGGCCGTGCGTTGGGATGCGGTCGTGTTCCAGAAGGACGACACTCGCCTCGTCGACTCTCGGATGGACCGACTGGGTGCTGCTCCTGACTCGAACGCGACGGGCGTTAAAGCTGGCGTGCCGGATGCGACCCAGGTTCTGCCGAGCGTGAGGACGACCAAGTTCGCCAAGGATCTGTTCCGTGATCCCGAGGGCGTTGCTGCGGTCCAAAAATCGGCAAAGCGCTCGCTCGTTAAGCGCGGACTCGACGTCGACGACGGCGCTCACAGTGTCGAAGTCGAGATCCACAACTCTGTGATCCCGGACGTCGACTGGCCCGCCGAAACCATGGTCTTGTCCTCACCTGCATCCCAAACCAGCGGCGGGGCCACCGTGCCCTCCGGCTCGACCGACAACACCTCTTTACCTTCGTCTCCGTCTGCGCCCTCTACCCCTGCCGACGCCGACTCCACCGCCCTGGTGACCTCGGCGGATCCTGCCTATGATCCTCGCAACGAGCCGACCGAGCAGATCCGCATCGGCGGCCACCACTACATTATTCCGTCTGAGCACCGATTGGTCCCCCCACCGACCCACCGCTTCGACGCTGCGGCCGTCTCGACGCGTCAAAAGCGCATGCTCGGCCGCGCTCACGGTGGCACCGTTGCCGTCCACTACATCAAGTACAACGAGTGGTTTTACGAGACTGCACTCGCTCTGTTAGGGCGGGAAAAGATGTGGGACCACGGCTACGATACGGCGGCGATGGCGTCGTTTGGCGATGTCACGAGCTCGGGGATGTCCTCCGTCGCCTCGGTCGAGGTGTCGCGCCTCCCCGTGTGGACCGGAGCGGGCTTGGTCGAACAGGTCGAGTCGTACTGGGGTGGCGCCAGGATGTATGGCTCCCCGATCGTACGAGACGATGGCTCGATCGTCGAGGGTCGACCGGCTGAACCAAGGCGCGAGGTTGTGCAGAACTTGCCCGATAGCACAATGGCGCGTTTCGGCGGGAGGAGGACTACTTCGGCGGTGTCGTTCGCTGTTGCCCTCGAGGAAGGCGTCGAGGCCAAGATTGGTGGTGACGTTAATCAACCGAGTGCTGTGCTCGAGGTCAAGATGACCCAGGAACCGACATCATCATCGCCACCGACCGCTTCGAGCGAACTCGTCGACAACGTACTCGTGCTCCAAGAGGGATAATGGCGTTCGACACCCACCTGCAGATAGGTATATTACGCCAATCTTGGTTTCGAAACATTCTTGTAATTCACTTTCCCACTCGTTCCGAGTAGATATTGTGATCGCCTCTCGTGTATATTGTCAACACTTTGCCTATGCCCACTTTTACAACCTTACGCATCTTCTCCCTTCCACCCCATTTCCCTTCGAGTACGCATCCATAGTTTTGTGTATGTCTGTGTTTGTACAACCCGTAATTTACTCTCGCTCTTGGGAGATGCGTCGTTTCTTCTTTTGATGGTTGTCATCATCGCTAGTATCGACTGGCGCGTTAGACGAGATCACCTTTTCTTGTCTGCGTTCTCCTCTCCGATAGCTTTCGCGATTCTGTCGAGACGAGACAACGGCTAAAATGACAACAAAAGTATACCAAGCATGGTCCAACCCATTCGAACCCGATTCTCCTTCTATCAAGCTGACCGGGCTTCCTATGATGAGCTTTCCGCAGGGTTGTACGACGCCGCGGCTGGATCAACCACTTCGTTCGGAGTCGCGACGGGTATCCTGACCAATCGTTCGGGGAGGAGATTATGTGTCGAGGTTTCATTCGCTTCGGCTTCTTTGCGTTGTTGTTCCAACGAGGCTGTGTGAAGGGAGGGGAAGTGTTTGAAGGGTTAGGGGCTTATCGGATGAAGCGATCGGGGAGGAGATTTCGGGAGGAGTCGACCTTACCTAAGGCCAAGTGTGTCGCCCTGAAGGCGGTCTGCCAATGTTCGACGACGTCCCCGACGGCTGGGAAGAGAACGATAGTGAGGAGCACACCAAAGTCAGGGCGTGCCGCTCCTTTGCCCACACGTCGCGTCGCGTGATCACGTGGGACCCCCAACCAGCCACGTGTCATTGATCGTCACCACTGAACCCGTGACTGACCTTCACTGCCCCCATCCAATACCATATACTGATCACTGAACTGGCTCAAAAAATCAAGCAACTGTTGCGACTGCTGATGGATCTTGTAAAAGGCCTCGTATTCGCGTTGCTTGTCCATCAGCCGCTGCATCGAGGGGGTGAAGCCGGAGGAATGGTGTGATTCGGTCGGGAGGAGCGAGGAGGCGCGCGGGTGGTGGTGGTAGGACATGATGATGCGAGTGCGAGGGGTGCGGAGGGGAGCGGAGGGGAGCGGAGGGGCTACAGGAAGTACGGGTGGGGCGTACGTGGGTGAGTGAACACGGCTCTACACGGCTGAACGCGGTCGACGCGGCGCGCTCAGAAAATTGACACGCGTTTGAAGCGAACGCCTTGCTTTGATCAAATCATCAATTACTTATTATTAAATGGCGCGGTTTGTAAAGACGACTTGTGGGAGGAACCCACGTCATTCTGGAGCTCGGTCCCCTTGTCTGCTCGTCTCCAACCGCTCACTCATCCCTTTCTGACCGGACAGACGCCACACTCCACCATGACCACCGCCTCCACTTCTTCCTCTTCCACCAAAAGGTCCCAGACTGATGACGTGGGCCAGACTCCTGCTGAGCCTTTGGAGTCGATCGCACCAACCGATTCACATGCCGCCGCTGAGACCGCCGACAAACCTTCGGCTAGTAAAGTTGCCAAGGTGGACAAGCATCCGGAACATGAAGCAACCGAGGAGAAGCAAGACGGTCTTCACGTTGAAGACGAGGATGAGGACGAGGACGACTCGAATGCGATCGCCCCGTCTCAAATCGCCAACCTTACCAAGCTGTACGAGGACGGTATTCTCGAAGTCGTCAATGATGGGGAGACGGTCCACCATCCTTGCAATGCGACGCACAATAAAATCATTTCCCTGTGGTACGCACGCCTTGAAGCTCTGCTTACACGAGCCGAACGATGAACGCTCCTTGGGCCCCACATTGACCTTGGAGCCTCCCTCCCATTGTGATCGTAGGCAAGGCGATATCACAGTCCGTCCACGACTCCCGCGTCTTTGCGATCATCACTTCGTTCTGACGGACACCCCTACTCCGACCCACAGCACCTCAAAGTAGACGCCATCGTCAACGCGGCCAACAACTCGCTCCTCGGAGGCGGTGGCGTCGACGGAGCGATCCATCGAGCCGCTGGACCCAGTCTACTTAAAGAATGCAGACCTTTAAAAGGGTGCGAAACCGGTCGGACCAAGATCACCAAAGGTCATAGACTGCCCTCCAAACATGTCTTGCACACCGTCGGCCCGATCTATTCGAGGAATGATCGACAAGAGAGTGAAGAGTTGCTCAGGGGTTGCTACAAGACGTGTTTGGCCTTGGTCAAGGAGCATGCACTCACCTCGGTGGTGCGTACATCAAATTTTGTCAATATTGTCGCTCGAGTGTGCTGAGCATGAAGATCATGTTCGTGCAGGCTTTCTCGGGCATCTCGACCGGCGTCTACGGTTATCCCCTGAGCGAAGCCGCCCAAGTCGCCCTTGACGAGGTCCGCCAATTCCTCGACAATGATGAGTATGGATCCAAGGCAAGTCCTGCGATACACATACTCTGCTCTGGACTCGAAATTGGGACCAGCTGACTAAGATCTTTCTCCTCTACGACCGCGCATCGCTCAGATCAAGCACATCGTCTTCACCAACTTTCGACAGATTGATGTCGATCAATGTAAGCGTCGGTTCTCCCTATTGCCTCAGCGATCTCGAATCTTCCATTCACTTTCTATCATTGTTGCATCGCTCTCCAGATCTTCGCCATGTACCGGACTACTTCCCGCCCGCTCCGTCAGAGGTGCAAGATGAGTCGAAAGAGCCCGAAGAGGGGGCCTGATAAGACAGGTTCTTGCTCCTGAAAGTTCGAAAATACAACACCAATTCAATTTGGCGTGCAGTGTTCTGCTATGGCATCACAAAGGCTAGTTTGTTGTGCATGGGTAGAGTGCCATGGATGAATCACTTGGTGTGTCGAGGTCGATTCGACGCTCTCCGACCACACCTATACAAGCAAGATAGATGCCAGCGAGAGATGCCAGTGACGGAAACTAAGCAATATGAATAGTCAACACGACCTGCCTCACGTTACAATCAGAAGCACGAAAGAAAGAAGAGTTACAAACAATCTAAAAGCCAAATCCCTATGAAGGTCCTAACGCCTGGCACGCTTCGACGTCTTAACATCTGTAAGGCTCACGAGCGAGACATTGTCATCATCATCTTCGGCAGCCTCATCCCCGTCTTCTTGCATTCGCTCATCCTCCGCATTCTCTTCATCGTCCTCGGCGCCTCGCTTCGAACTCGTCGGCGACGACCCGACCAAAAGCGACCTCACTTCTTCCTCGTCATCCTCAGCACTTTCTTCTCCCCCCATCCGACGATCAACCTTCCTTCGCTTCGAAGTCGTCGCTTCTCCCTCCTCCTCATCCCTATCCTCAGCAAGGTCACCTTCGTGATCACTCTCAGACGAAGCACGTTTCTTCCCTTTGCCCTTCTTTTGGCCTTCTTCAACCACTACATCCTCGATTTCTCCAGCCGCAGCCTCAGCCTTCTTCGCCGCAGCTTGCTGAATCCGAGGATCCTTCGACATGGCCGTGACCAAACGCTTCTTGTACGAGCGTAGCGGTTCCCACGTCTTGGACGTCGGAGAGATCTCGATCTCGTTCTCTTCGAGCAACGACTCGAGTGTAGAGTTGAGCGTCAGGGCCGATCGACCCTCAACGCCGAGCAAGAGGTGCGCCAGGGCTTTGAAGTAGGACAAAGCGCGATTGCGAGCCGTTGACTTGTTCGCTTGGTCGAGGTTCCCGACTTTGCGGATGATGTAGCGTAGAGCGGTCGTGTGCAAGTTTACGAGTTCGTCCGCGGGAAGACGACGGACGATAGCGAGCTGAGCTCCTCGCACCGCGGTCGCGGTTGCGAGTAATCGACCCACTGCAACGAGTTGCTCGTCCGAGACCTTGGCCTCGGCATCGATCAGCACCTCGCATGCGGTTTGCAGGCACGTCGTGATGACGGTGACGACAAGTTCGCCCGACCTGGCGTAGATTCCTTCGTTACGAAGATCTTGGATAAGCAATCGACACCACGAGTCGTACACGGGGCCGAATCGCTCAAAGTGAGGCAAGATGACGCCGGCGTGCCGCAGTTCAATGACGCCGCTGTGCATCGCACGCACGAAGGGTAGAATAGCACGCTCGAACTTGCGAGACGCCACTAGACGGGTCTGCTCCTTGAGTCGTTTGACTCGGAGCTCGGCGGCGGTCGGCGCGGGTTTGGCGACAGGCGCCTTCTTCTTGGCTTTTGTGGCCTTGCCACTCGTGCCCTTCTTCTTGCTCTTCTTGCCCGGAGTCGTATCCTCGTCGCTGTCCATCTCATCGCTATCTTCATCATCCTCGCCATCCGCCTCCTCTTTGTTTTTTTCGTTCTGTTCGTCGTCTTGGGCCCGGAAGGCTTGCAGCTCTTCGCAACGACGCTCGATCTCGGCTTCGACGACACCGGCGCAGCGCGACTGTAACTCGTCCGAGCACGTCAGGCGCAGATCAGTGAGTTTGCCGTCGGGATCGGACTTAGCCGAGGTAATGGCGCGAGAGAGGATGTGAGCATCGAGCAAGATGACGAGCGCCTTCTGTTTGACGCCCTCGGCCGCGTTCGACGTCTGACCAACCGAGAACTCTTCGAGTTTGTTGAGCATGTTGCCCCGTCGTTCGACAAGGGAAGCAATCGCACCATAGTCGGTTTGGTCGTTCTCCGCTGCCTTCTTCGTCAAGTAGAGCGTCTCCCACATGACGAACGTGCCTTGGATAGAAAGGGCGTGTTGCACCATCGCCGCTTCGTCCTTGTAACCGAGACGACCTCGCTCGACGACAGACTCGACAATTTCCATCACACTATTCTGCTTGCCTTTGTCGTCATTCTGAAGGGCTTCCGAGAGGTCCACGACCTTGTAGAGACGATCGACCCGGGCAAAGCAGGCAGTGACGGCGTGAAGTTCATCCTCTTCGAAGGCGTCGGACTCGAGATCCTTGCCCACAACGACTTCGCGCAAAATCGAGACCAGCTTCTCTTCCAGACCGGCCATCTTCTCCGTGTTGGTGTTGGCCAGACTCGAAGTCTTGCGGAGATACATAATCGTCTGCGTGGCTTGATCGAGGACGTCGCTATCCGAGTGCTTGAAGAACTGGGTCGTGACGGCGTCCCATAGGCCTTCGTACGCCGTGACCATGCGCAGGTCGAGGTAGACATCGAGTAGCAGCAGACGAGGGATAGCAAGAATGTCGATGATCCTCGCCGACACCATCTGGTGCTTGGCGAACAAGCGAGGCAACGCTTCGATTGCGGCACGAGTGACATCGGCTTGCACCTCGTCATCTTGTTCCTTGCCCTACAGCACGGTTGGCCAGAGTCAGCTGCGACACCAGCGCCATGAGCTGGGATATCGGGGCTCACCTTTTTGGACGTGGCTTGCGCAGCTGCGATCAACCGTGTGATGGAAGCGACGAGCACCTCGACGAGCAAAGACTCCTCCTCTTCTACGAGCTTGCAGCTTTCTTCGACCTCATCCCCTTCGGCAGGTTGCTTCGCCCTGCCCTTGCCCTTGCGGCCACCCTTGCCCGAGGCGCCCGAGTGGTCGAGGAGCAAAAACTCCATGATGGACTGCCACTCTTGCACAGTGTCGAGATTGTCCCACAAGGCTTCGACCGCGAAAGCGACGCGACCATGGCGGGTCTTGACATCGGCCATATCGGCCTCCTTGGCGGTGTCGCCATCTCCCGAGGCCACGTCGTCATCCTCACCATCGTCAACGCCATCGATGGCGTTGCCATACTTGATCAACATCTCCGCCAGGGTCTTGAGGCGGATCTGCTTCTTCGTCTCCTCGGGCACTCCGGACCCCTTCTTTTTGCCCGCGGCGTTCGGTTCTCGTCCGGTAGAGATTTCCTTCTCGCGTTCCGCGACTTCCTCCGTCCAGACCCTGATGAAAAAGTCCGCCGCAGCGCGGCGCACGCGTGGCTCGGTCTCAAAGATGAGCTTGGCAATTTCACCACTCTGATCTTCGTCGAGTAGACCGTAGTCCTCGAGCTGCCGCAAGACTTGAATGGTCTGGACTCGGATCGTTGTATCAACGTCGCCGATCGCCATCTGGACAATCGGCCCCTTGAAGCGCTCGGTGAAATGTTGAACAGCGCCGATATAGGCTTTCTTGGCGTAGAGTGAGAACAGAGCGCGTACAGCCTCGCGGCGTGGCTCCTTGGCCTACGAAGAATCGAACAGAAGCCATAATGGTCAATATTGATGGTTCCTTGGCGCTGCGTTTTGGCCGAAAATTTGACATACCTCATCCGAAAGCACCCAGCCTATGTAGCGCATGTGCATTCCATCAATCCAGTAGTCAGGGTTGATCTTGATGAGGACGGAAAACGCGGCAACGCATTCGCTACGGATGCCCGCGTCGGTATCTCGGTATCGATTCACAAATATTCTGAGCAGGACCGCATCCTGGGATTGTCAGCCTCGAGCGGTGGACACCTTCGTATGGCAGCAAAGGCCCGACTCACGTATCCCACAACGACTTGATGGTCACTTCAATCTGTTGCTGCTTGTTCTGGATCGCTTCGGCCGTCTTCTTCAGTTCCTTCAGCCGGGTCTTGTCCTTGCGAGCCTTCCTGGTCTCCGCTTCGACTGCTCGGTTCGCCGTCGCGTGCTCCTTCTTGACCCCCGCATGGGCTGCGCTCAGGCCGGCGACCGAATGCATGCCGAAGAGGGTGGCAGTGTGGCGGAACGATCGTATCTTGGACGATGAAAGGGTGACGATCCAAGGTAGTACGACGTTGCTGAAGTCGGACTCGTAAAGAACATCGGACGACGCGGCGGACTGGAAGAGTTTGGAGATGAACGTGGAGAGCGAACCTCGGAACTTCTTGTACGCCGCCGAGCGAGAAACGACCGGGTATGCCAGACTGGTTTCCTACGAGGAGAAAACTCCAAGGAGGTCAGTGAGACACTCAACGAGGAGCGCTCATCTTCTCGCCCTACGGTAGCGCGCACATTCTTGAACTCGTCCTGGATATCGCTCAACGTCTCGACAACACCATCTTCGTCAACAGCTTGATGTTCGTCAACGCTCGAGTTGCAGCCGCAAGACTGATGGGAGACGGGATTGTAGCTCAATCAGCTTAGGCTCAGCCTTGGTCATCCTGGTAACGATCCTAGCCACCACTCACCCTGAGAAGGAAGTTGACCAGTTCGGCCATTGCAGGACCCGGCTCCTCGCTGTACTGCTCGAACCAGTCTTCGACGGTCGTTTCGAGGGCCGAGTTTCGGTCACGTACAGCATCTGAAAAGTTCACAGTTGTTTCGAGAGGAGATGCACCTCAAGGTCAGCACAGCACGTCGACTGGTATTGAAGCGTCGACGAGCTCAAAAACGAGCGGACTGACTAAAGATGGAGTTGTCATCCTTAATCTTGAAGTCGCCCTTCGCCAAACCACCGAGCGCAAACCCTTCGGCTTGGCCATCTTCGCCTTCAGCAGGAATCTTCTTCTTCCTGGGGGCGCGACGGGCGGAGGTCGACGGCTTGCGTTTCGAGGCCGAGCTGGCGACGGCCAGCTTGGCTGATGATGCCTTCGGCCGGGGTACCCTCTTCTTTCCAGGGCTCTTGAACGCCTCTGCCTCTGCTTCGGATTGATCCTCTTCTTCAGACTCGGTCTCACTGGGCATGCCGTCATCTTCCTCCTCGTTCTCCTCATCCTCATCCTCGTCTTGGGAGTTGGCGTCGCGCTCCGAGGTGGACGTGCGCTTGTTCTTGGCTGCGGTGGCCGTTCCAGCTGTAGCAAAAGTCACTCAAGTCAGTCCAAGTCAATTCGGTGGATTAATGACTGGGATGAAGTGGGAGTGGCGCAGGCAATAGGCTAGCGAGTGACGTTGTGCAACGCGGTCTCAATGAACGCGTCCCATCACGCGAAGTCAAGCCATCGACGCGTCCGCAGGGGCAGCCAGCCGCCGCCCACGCAGCGTCGGACATTCGTAGTAAGCATCCTCGACCCATTCCCACCCATCGATGAGTACGTATGGACCTTCCAATCTGAACCCTATCTGTGTCATGTGGAAGACACTCACGCTTCAGTCGTTCAGGCGCCGTGCGGACGCGACCGGACGCGCGTCGACCACCACCGCCAGGTCCACCTTCATCACCCGATGTACTACTCATGTTCTCGATCGATCGTCCAGATATGTCTTGAGGTTAATGTATGAACGCCGGTGTCGATGTTGAGGCCGAGAATGGCTGGAAGGCAAGCCCGCAACTAGCTTCGCGTGCTTCCCGGCTCGCGGCCCCACGCGCGTGAATTGTGCTGTGCCAAACGAATCCGGCTCGAACGGGCCCCTGAGTTTGAAGTGAAGCGGGCTCTTCTGCAGAGCGCTCAACTTGCAGTCCTTAACATCCACCACCCGAGCCAATGCAATCATACCAAATCATACTACTTGCTAAAACCAGTGGGAACCCGTTAAATTAACGGGAGGAAGAAATCCAAAAAATAGCAGGATGATCGAACAGTCTACATGATTTCAGCGCAGAGGTTGAGAAAACACAATACGAAGTACAGCAAAGAAACAAAATTCATTTATCCCACATCATCGCCGAAACAGCCTGCACGCCGTTTGTTGCCGGACTTGGCTTCAAACACTCATGCAATGAGATCCGGACGGTTGCATGCTTTGTCATTCGGCCCCAGTGCAGCCTTGATTTCCGGTGATTCGGGGTCGTGCGACATCGTGATGAGCAGCGGAGGCTTTCCATGTTTGACAACGCACGCCATCGCATCCTGGTATCGCTGCGTGATGTCGCGCGGTCTATTCTTGAACGTCGAGCCCAAGGTCATCGAACGTCCGATTTGGTTCGGGGTCAAGCCGTTGATGCCTTGGGTCGTGGTGAGGCGCAGGTTCTCTTGATGCAACCGGATGTGTTGAGTCGATCGGTCTCGACTTGGGAGTATATCCTAAAATCACAAACTCCAGGAAGGGACGTTGGGTGCAATGCGGGATTGAGAAGTACTCGTCGCGTTTGGCAAGTAGTGCGCAAATAATTGTGAACGCGAGACTCGCCACCTCGACCCCTTTACTTGACCTTCGTCCTAGGTGTTCAAAAGTTCAATATCAGTCTGTGCTTGCGCCTTAAACAGAATGGAACATCCGAGAAAGAGCCGAAGACGCGTACGTTCGCCATCACCATCCTCTTCGTCCCCTTCCTCGCCGTCTTCATCCTCATCCTCGCGGTCTTCGTCCTCCTCTTCGCCTTCGTCATCAAGACCGAGACCGGCAAGTACCTCGCGCGATTGGACACCATTGTCGATCTGCTCTCGGTTTCTGGCGATTGGCAGCCCAGCTTGGCGAAACCCGCAAAGAGAAAGCGTTGGGGTGGAAGCCATCTTCCCCTGCAGGAAATAGTAGTGGCTACCGGAGAGGCAACGCAGACGGATGGAGCGAGCTGATGACTTGGTACTTGGGCCGACCATCGGGACATCGATCACCGTGCACCTGGAGAATAAGGTCTTGAGGTCCACGATCTCCCGTGTTGGTCTCGGAATCGCAGATAAGCATTGCCATTTCCGTGCTCGACGTAGGAAGGTTGTGGGTGCGTCGGTCTCGGCCAGGTGGTAGGCAGAGGCGCAGGGCCGACTCTTTGGCCGTGTCCCAACCTGCGCGGGTTTTGGCCGATGCAAACTCCCTCACAAAGTGATTCTTGGTACGCAACATGGACTCGAGCTTGGTCAAAGTAGATCTTTGTATGCGACTGTCTGCGTCGTCGGGTCCCAGTCGAGTGTCAGTGGCCTCGGCCGGGTCGATGAGCCATATGTGGGCAAAGGCTGGACGTTGATTGACGGCAGGAATCAAGGCGGCGATTCGATGCTAAAAGCAACCAAAAACGCAAAACATGCGGGGTCCTTGAGTGCCTGGTCGAGTCTGGTCAAAGTGGGCAGCGAGCGAAGTGAACGACAGCGCGTTGTTGTACGACCGGGCATTCTCGCGGAACGCCGGAATGCCTTAGGTTCTGTGTAGGTGGGTCGCACAGTTCAGCATGTGGGTCTACTACAGACGAATGACGTTGGACGGGGCAACTGACCGCTATCCGAGCCTTCAAGTAGCTGTTGAAAGTTGGGATTGGGCCGGAGAGAGGGAGGTAGCTGCACCTTGCCCTGCGAGCAGCACGTGCTGAAGTGTCCGGTCAACTTCGTCCTTTCGCACTCCCAGTGTCGAGCCTTGCAGTGGGTACACACGGTCATCTGGGGCCGAGGTAGTCGCGGATGGGAACGTGGTACTTGAGTGGTTTGAGCTTGATTCGAGGCCTGCGCACTTGCCTCTGCGCAGGAAGAGGTGGTGGTGGGGCGAGCTCAGCGTCGGTTCGGCCATCGGGCCATCGCGCTGACCACGCTGTCCGTTCTACAAAGCTGTACGGCGGACGCTTCAATACCAAGATCGGTTGAGTGGTTGTCATCACGCGCGGGGAGCTGATTCTGTTGATGGGAGCGGGACGAAGAGGAGAGTCGAGCAGCGGGCGCTCGAGCAAGCTCAAGCAGGCCCATGGTCTCCCATGGTACGGCGGTACGCTATCGTACGGCGCTACCCTCGCGCGAGAGACTCGGCGCGGTTGTCACGAAAATTCGATGAGAGTGGGAGGGAAAAGGCGAAAATTAGAGAGAGTAGCGTATTCACAGTGTCTGGAACCTCACGTTGTTGTTGAGCCCCTAAAACCGGTGTCGGGATGCCAAAAATACGTCACGTGATCGACGGGGCATCGCGCAGCGAGACCACGCCTGAGATCTGTAGAAGAAATGTCATGCAAACCCACGCGCTTGCTATACATTAAATCCTACACAAACTGATCAATAGTTCCCCACCATATCAAAACTCGACAAAAATTGTAGTCGGGCTGTAGCTCGACTTTTATGGTCCAGAAAATGCAGAAAGGGGCGTACATGACTTCTGATTGGGACGCCGATACCACAGGCAGGTGCGGCAGACTCAACAGTATAATGATACATTCACCACTTGCGGCCCTCCGGACCACAACACACACAAAAACAGCGATTTTAGGTACATGGGTCGCGGATCGACACTTTTTTTTACTAGTTAGGGTAAAGAACAAGCCGCCCACCTCGCTGCTCTGCAGACAAGTGCCTCCTCCTGCAGAAAGTCTGCTCGCCGGCCAAGTCCTCCAGTCGGGCTTCTCGGCGCGCCGCAGCCACCCCCAATTCTTCGGTCAAAAAAACGTTCGAAGCAGACGAGGACGGATCCTTAGAGCCATAATGAGGTTAAGAACACTGTTTGGCCGAAGGGTGCGAGCAATTGGTCGGGCATTCCTTGCACGACTTAATTTGAGCGGTCGGCATGAATCTAGTAGCAAGTAATCACGGGGGTGTCAGCTCAGCTGACAGGCTGAATTTGCGCTTGAAAATTGATGCTCATTGGACAGTATTGTGGGGTGCTTTACATCTCGCGAGGCCCACTGAGTCCGGCGGTTCCTTGGCGATGGCTAAGCCCAAACAATCTACCAGCACGGTCGCTTTCGCGTCCGTTTCGTTTTTCTTTCTCGAACTTCGCACGCTTGCGCCGCCCCCGCTATGCCTTCCAAGTCCACGCCCGGCGCTATTTCCAAGCCCGACGCCGCCCTTGAGGCCGCCATCGCCCCTATCGTCGCTCGTCCACCGCAGCAGCCGGCCTCGTTTGCCGCGACGGAACTCCTCCGCGACTCGGCGGGCTACCAGGATTGGCTCCTCGTCGTCCGCTCGCGTTTGCAGGCCGGTGTCCTCCGGTACCTGGAGAGCGGTGAGCCATGCGCTTCGTGGCCCCCCTCGCTCGTTCCGTTATGGGATCACTACGCCCTTTCCTCGCTCTGCTCGTCTGTCGACCCTCGCTTGGTCCTCCCCGGCTTGTCGACCTTCCTCGACGACAGCGACGGCGCGCCGAAGATCTGGCAGGCTCTCCGTTCTCGGTATGGCGCCACCTCGGCTGTTGACCTGCTTCCGGCCGTCGTCACGCTCTTCAGCACCGAGGAGCTCCCCGCCACCACGGACTCGTTCCTACAGTTCCGTGACAGTTTCGAGAACCAGCTTCGTCTGCTCACCTCGTCGAAGGTCACTGTCGACTCTCTGGTCGCCTCGCACCTCCTCTCCCGACTGCCGCCGTCCCTCGAGTCGTGGCGCTCGACCTTTGTCAACGACCAAGGTGATTCGACGACCCTGCCGTCTGTCTCGGTGATTTTCGATCGCCTCCTACGCGACATTCGCGCTCGTCCAGTCGACGCTCCCACCGCGGCGCGGGGGATCCGCACTCTTGCATCCCGTCGTGGCATGCTTCCCTATGTCGACGTTTATTCGTTGCGTTGAAACATGAGGGACGACTCAAGGTCAGAGTAGTTCGCAGGGTAGCAGCTCACTTCATGGGTTGTTTTTAGCCTTACTTTTTAGCCTTACTAGGCCCGGCACGCGGCGCCGGACACGACATCTTACCACTTTTCCCTGCTATCGAAAACTGGAGGGCCCGGTGTAAGGTCTCGCTTGACACTTGATTGCGTTTGAAAGGGGAAACGTACTGGTCTTGGCCCGTGATCCTGGGAGTAAAGGCCACGCGTAGGGCCTACGCTGTCGGCGGTGACCTGGACGGTAGCGGCCCAAATTGACGTAGTGGCCGTGAGCAAGGAGAGCCTCCTGATGTCCTGATGGGTCTCGAGGGGCATTGCATCGATAGAGGAGTGACGAGAGGGAGGCAAAAAGAGAATCAGGATCATTACAGTACTCAAAGTCATATCTAGTCACTCCTCTTTCGTTTCGATGTAACTAGTGCTTTGCACCATGCCGTATGCTCGGGCGCCGCCGGCCGTTATCAGGAGCCCTGGGTGAAACGAAACTTCGTCCGGTGACTCGGAAGATCGCCTTCATATGGAGTCACTACTGTGATTCGGTTTACTCCTTTCAGTGGCCACAGTGAGTTTACTTGAAGTGGTGGGAAAATGGTAGCTGCTGCCGATTCCCAAGATACAGCCTTGAAGCACTAGTGGCTTCGCTGGGGCCTCTGACCGGTCCCGAGCGCGATCTGCCGGACGGATTAGCGGGTCCCGAGTTCCGTGCTTTCACACCCGAAGTGGAATGGTCGCAGTGTGTAGCCCATGTGCTGAACAGAACTGATGGCTAGAGTGGAGTACTCTTACGGACGTGACAGGTCCCAAACTCTTGCAAGCACACTTCAGATGAAAGTTTTCTTGCCTCGAACTGCTGTGTGCCAAACCCTCGGTGACGCTAAGGTTTTTGGGCCAATTCAAGGCAAGGTACAATTCCAGCGAGTACCGATTGCTGTGAACCAAGTGATTAGCTTAGGGATCCTTAGGGCCCCCGACCAGCCGGCCCTCCGCGACAGTACATATGGCGCTCAGCGGAAGTGCTAAATGGGCGGGAAAGTGTTCTGCATGGGGCTGCCGAGACTAAAAAACCACACCCACCCATAGCCTCGACTTATGACAACTAAGAAAATTCACTGGTATGAAATAAAGTTTTAAGCAAATAGTGCTGTCAAGCTGCCGAGGGAAATCTTTCCCACCTCTCGGCCGTGCGGCGCGCGACAGGGGTTGGCTCCCAGTCCTGCTAAGCACCCTGGGGGCAGTGGAGGGAGATCACTCTGATGTGTTGAAGTGAAGTCCAACAATACCTCTGAGTGATAGGAGTATGTGACCCCTCCAATAGCTTTTCTTGCTTCGATCAAATACTGGCAGGACCGTGCGCCCCACACACGACCGGCGCCGGTGCCTGTCAGCGCGTCATCCGTCGCCGCGCGCCAGACTCGCCACTCTATCACCCACTCATCATCGTCGTTGGATCCCCTCTCGGCCGGCTATTACGGGGCTTATCCGCTCGCACCAGCTCGACATGATGATGAAGTGAAGGAGGCCACGTTGAAATGAGAGACATCACGCGAAGTCACTGGTCTTTCTCTTTCTTTCCTTTCTCTCATCCACATCCCACTGCAAGGTTTCTACAAGTCGCTCCCCGAGGTCTCGTCTCTTCTCACCCCCACTTCGTCGTAGCTTACGCTTCCATTTCCGCCCTCGAGCCCCCTCTGGCGCTTCTCGATTGCCTGGTCCCAATGACGTACCTCCAAAAGCGAAACTCGGCCTCTTCAGTCCAAGTGACGATCCAAACCTCTACCACCGCGACGAACGCAACACCCGGCGGAAGCGGGATGCAAGAGAGTCTCCCCGTTCAATCAGCGACGATCTCGTCGAACCCGTGCGGCCACGCCGTTGAGCCTGCTCACGTGACCGACGATTTCGACCCCAACACGTCTTTCGGGGCTACATCCGCCGCAACGGTGACACGTCTCCCCAGCTACGAACCACGATCCCCCGTGTACCCGATTAGCTTCCACCCGCCTTACCCAACATGCGACTCCCTCGATTCGCAAGACCACACCCTCACCCTCGTCGAGTCTTCCAAAGACCAGCAAGCTCCCCCACCGACTTACAGCGAAACGCCTCGAACTCGAGCCGAGCGTCTCTTCTACTTCGGTCTCGTACCCCCCTTCATCGCTTGGGCGTTCGGAATGGTGCATATCTGGCGACCCGAGAACCCAGAGAAGAAATGGCTGGCGTCGATCGAAAGCAACGTCGGTGCCAGAGGCGCAGGGGTCCAAGGAGTCGTTCAAGATGGTTCGGCGGGAGTCAACTCGGTGCGCGAATGCATGCGCTCGTTTCGTGAGGAAGAATTGTTGTGGGCCAAGAGGTGCGCTTGGTGCCTTCTGGGAACGAGTATTGTAGGATCGCTCGCAATCGTCATTATCGTTTGCATGGTCACTCAAGCGTAAGGGGGGGGGAGATGCAGCAGGCTTACGGGCCAGCTCTACGATGCGAGGTTTTTTGTATGCATGGTCAAGACCTTCTTTCAGTTTTGGCAGTACATAGAGCACACATTTTTCTTCTTGACAGATGTAATTGCAAAACCTGTAGTTGCAAAGAGAAAGCACCGATCGTATCCATTTCTAAAACTCCAAATTGCAAAATGCATGAACCCCTGGCACAATCCCTCCATAGACATGAAACGACGCTCAGCCATCCACCTCTCTACTCCTCTTGCAACGATGCATGATAAGCTGTGAGCAGATATTCAAGCCTACACGTCAGTACTTTTCCAGATGCGTCACCGTCGCAAACCCTCTACTTACCCTCAGCTTCGCTCAAGCACTTGACGTTAGAAGCAAGCTTGTTGATAGTCTCGACGTACTCGTCCTCCTCGGCCGAATCAAAGACGATACCTCCCCCAGCTTGGAGGTAAGCGACACCTTTGAAGAAGGTCATCGTACGAATCGCAATGCACGTGTCCATTGAATCGCTCGCAAAATCAAAGTGGCCAACCGCACCGGCGTACACGCCTCTTCGTTCTTGTTCGAGTTCACCAACGAGTTGGATCGCACGGATCTTGGGCGCACCAGAAACGGTACCGGCAGGGAAGATGGACCGGAAGGCGTCAAATCTAGACGATGGGCGCGCGGAGCTCGATGTCAGCGAGTGTGCATCGATAAAGACACCCGAGCAGAATGAAGCAACGTACCGAGTCAGCCCGTCTCGCAGCTTGCCCGAGACCTGACTGGTGAGATGCATGACATGGGAGAACTTTTCGACCTGCATTAAACTGTCGACCTTGACCGTCTCGGGTCGGCACACGCGGTTGACGTCGTTGCGAGCGAGGTCGACGAGCATAACGTGTTCTGCCCGGTCCTTGAGCGAGCCTTGCAGTTCGGCGGCCAAGATCTCGTCCTCTGCGAATTGTCGTCGTCAAGCGATCAGTCATAGCGCCAACTGGATTTGACCACTTTAGAATGCTACTCACCCTCTGCACTCTTGCCACGTCGCACGGTCCCGGCGATGGCGTGGTTCGTGACAACGTTCTTTTCGACCTTACAGAGGCACTCGGGACTGGCACCGACAAGGCACAGCTCGTTACCGCAGTCGACGTAGAACATGTACGGGGAAGGGTTCAAACCTCGGAGATGCCTGCTCGACGTGGAGGGATTCGACCCGAATGTCAGCTTTTTCCTCCTTGAATATGAACCACATTCGCAAGACGGACCTGTAAACGTTGAAGGGGTGCAGATCGGTCTCGCGACGTAATCTCTGACTCGGCACGGCCTGGATGATGTCACCTTGGACGATCTTGGTCTTGAGACTCGTGACGAACCCTTCGTAGCCAGCCTTGCCGACATTGCTAACGGCTTCCTTGGCCGGGATCGTGATCTTGGGTTGAGTGGGCATGGGCAAAGGCGAGTCGTTGGTAAAGACGAGCGCGACAATGTCCTCGATCTGGTGCTTGGCTTTCGCATACGAGGTCTTGATCGTGTTCTCGACCTGTTCGGAAGGCGTGGAAGGGGACACGTAGACGTGGGAAGCGATGTAGACGTGTTGGAAGAGGTGATCGAACGCGATCAGCGTGTCGGCGAGAAGGAAGACGGATTCGGGGATGCCGAGCGGGTCCGACAGCTCGCGAGCGGTCTTGGGTTCAAAGTAGTGGATGCAGTCATACGAGACGTAGCCAAACATCCCACCTAGTGCGGACGGAAGTGGAGAGTTCGGTCAGCCTGGGAGCTGTTTTTCGGCGAGCACGGGCCTCGTCCAAGCGCCCATTGGGGAACAGAGGGGCAGAGCAACGTAGGATACTGACCCGTCAATGGAGGTGCACCGGGAACGTTAATGAATGAGTAGTCCGCGAGATCCTTCTCGAGGTGCTTGAGGGGATCACCCTGCAACTCAAAGTTGGCTCCTGTACGAAGCACCTTTTTGGGGTCTGATGGTGGGGAGCAAGCATCGTTCAGATACAAGAACTCGATATGGATTGTCTCGGCCCGACCGCGAAACAAGGATTACTCACTCGCACCGACATAACTCCAACGACCACCGGTCTCACCCCTGACGACCGACTCCATCAGGAAGCTCTCACCGGACCTAGCGCCATTGGTGAGCCGCAGGTACGCGATGACGGGGGTGAGGGTGTCAGCAGGTAGCCTGGCCGATATGGGGAGACAGTTGCCTTTGGTCGCGGTCGAGGACGTTGACGTGGAAGGGGCGCCGGCTTCGGAGGTGGTGAGGTGAGCGAGGGCCTCGTCGAGCGTCAACGATAGCTTGGTCTGTTCGAACCCATCGGGTGGTGAGCAACGTGTGTCAGCCTCGGGTGATCGTCGTACTGCTTCATCACTGGTTCTCAAAATGTGGGCTGGTGGTGTGCACGTGTACGCCCCACGACGGATTGCCGAGGCGCCACCGAGAAGGCAAGCCGGCGAAGGCCGGTTCAAGGCCGAAGAGGTGGTGCTCTCACTGAAGGAGGTCATGGACTTACTTCTCTGACCATCGTTGTGAATCGACGGGTAAGGCGTGTGATGGAGTGTGGCCGCAAGTGAGGGTGGGTGACAAGCGATGAAACAAGTCCAGGGCAGAAGAGGAGCGACACCACGAGGACGGAGGGCTAAGTCCGATTCCGAACGAACATTGACCGACAGCCTGCCACAGGCGTTGACTCGGCTAGACTCGGCTGCGACGGCCCGGATTTGAGCGGGCTAACCCGTTTGGCCAATCCGAACCGTGATCGGGCCCACAAGCGCCGTGTACCAATCAAGCCGCGAACAGACTCGAACAGAGGCAGTGCACTCGCCTAAGGGGCCGACAGCGCATGAACATCGACATTTCAAGTGGTGATGTCTCTCGATCAAGTGCACCATGGAAACATGTGGTACGACGCCCGATGAATATCGCTCACCCGGAAAGTCAGAATCTTTCCGCTTTTCGGCGATGGCCGCGGCTACCCGCAGATCCGAAATCGATGCGATCATGTAGTGGGTTTCTCGGTGGTCCCTAAAGAGCTCTTCTATGGTACCCGCATGAGTGCATTTCTACATGCCAGCACCTTGTCGCAGCACTCGGTCGTACTTGCCCATCAACCATACAGGCACCTTGCCCGCCCCATTCGTTGAAAGGGCGATCCGAGCCACCCCCGCCCCGACCGTCGTGACGATCGCGACGTATGCGACTTGCCACGCTCTCCTACCCGGTTGAGCCACAGCCAAGCCTTCCCCATCTTCTGGATCAGATCGTGCGCGGGACCGTGGTTGCAACGATCCCGGCGCCGTCGGGTCCGCCATAACCCTAATCCCGGCCAGAGCGTGGTACACCCCTAAGCCCGCGACTCCGACGTAGCCAACCACCGAGATCGCTCGAAGTAGTGGCGCCGATTGCGACAACGAGTAGCCGACGAACGAATAAGAAAAGAAAGGAGTGAGGTTGTGCTTGAGGGGAAGGATACGATGCAAAATCGAGTGGTGAATCGCAAACGGGATAAGCAGGTAGCCTGCTCGGTGCTGAGGGGCCAGAGGAGCCGACGATACGGGGATCGCAGCCGTCTCAGCTCGCTCCTTTCCGGTTGTAGACACGTCGACTTCGACGTCCTCGTCATCCAGCCGATCAGGGTCAAAGTTGTCAGTCGTGGTTGCCGAGGATGAAGCAATCGTCGGAACGTGGCTGTCCACGCCGAGGGCTGTGATTCCAAATCAAAGATAGCAAGGCTGAGTAAGTGCGCGTCAAAATTGGCTTGAACCTGCTCACCTTGGTATCTTTGTGCAGCCAGTTTGACCTCGGCCTTCCTCTTCTTTCTCCTCTCCTTCCTCTCGGCATTCTTGGCCGCCCTAGCAGCTACGCCCGAGAGGACGTGTACGGTCGCGCTGGACCAGACAATGACGCCTTCCTTCTTGTATCCTCCTCCCTGGTACCACTCACGTCCGACGAGCATGCAACCCGAGGCTTGCTGTTCGGCATCGCCCGTGATGGTGATGGCCGCGATCAAGGGGGCGGAGAGGTGGACGATCAGGAACGTCGAGAAGATGCCGGCCGAGACGCGTTGCACGAGTTGCAGCGTGCGGACTGAGCTTTGCAGCAAGGCGAGTTTGTTGTCGTTCCTTTGACGGGCCATGGTGGACGCTCACGCAGGGGTAAGCGAAGTGCGGAAGCGTACGGTGTGGGGGTGAACGGCAACACGGTGGGGGGTGACCGCAACGATATCTGGGCAAATTTGGACCAGCCATCGATCGCGGAAATCGAAATGGTCGAACCAACCCCCACTTTTGACCTCTTCGGCTCCATTCCACGTGCAAAGAAGCGATGGATCTTGCACCGGTACCCAACGTGGCATTCGCTGCTGCAGCATGCTTGGGCTGCTACCAAGCCCCTCCCAATACCTCCCCTCTGTCGCGCTGCTCGGGCTGCAAACGAGTAAAGTACGTTCGACAGCACTCCACGCCTCAGATAACCAAGCCGGCATACACGGCTGGTCATGGCTAGCATGCCGCGGGCAGCCCCATGGTAGTAAGCTGACCCATGCACCACTGCTTGACTGTAGATTCTGTTCCAAGGAATGCTCCGTCAAGGAGTGGCCTGACCACAAGTCGTTCTGTCGGGCATTCGGTGCGATGCGCAAGCGACCCCAGGCTACACTGCCACCCATGTATCAACTCTCGTCAGTCTGTTCGAAGAGAATTTATCTCGTGTTCCGATGACTTGTGCTTGTGTCTGATCTGGTGGTTATCGATCCCCGTTTGCCACAGTTCCATTTCGGATCGAAGACAGACCCACCGGGCTCAATTCGCTCTGGAGGACGAGTTGATGGCCGCTGCACTCAAACGTCAGCCGACGATGCTCGAGTCGAAGCTACTATGGAGGGAGCCGCGATGTGCTGTATGCTGTCAGCCGGGAGACGTGTTTCTTCTTCACTGGCTGAGGTCCGAGCTCATGTCCTGAAACCCCCGCTTCTCTCGCATAGGGGATCGAGAAGCCGATGTCGAAGGCAGGGACTCTGAGCATGAAGGTGACAGCTGGCGGGTGTGCCCCAAGTGTCGGATCATGCCTTGGTGCTCTGAATGGCACGAGAAGGGGACCAAAGAAGAACATCTCCAAATCAAGGGTGACGACGGGAAAACCCAGGTCAGTCTCTGCCACGGCGGATTCTGTCGAGCCCAGCCCCCACATTGACAGGATCGCCTTCATATATGCACAGTGCGAGACGTTCCAGCTTTCCAACGAAATCGATGAATTCTACCTCCGACATGCCATCGCTGTCGGAGGGGAAGGCAGCCCACCTTCGCTCTGGGTCCCGACCCGAATCCTCAACAAACCAGCAGCCTTGCCAGCCAACTGGCCCGAGTATCTCTCGACCGTCGAGCCACCACCCCGTTCGACCCAAGCAGAAGTGTACGGCGTCTTCGTCGAAGCTCTCTCTCCCGTGTTCACTATATTGGCCTCTTTGCGTCGTCTCTTCCCCACCTCAACGATCGACTCGGCTTCGTCGCTAAGGCTCATCTTTCTCGAGGAGACGCACCAAACCCTTTCTTCCATCCTACCCGCTTTTGAAGAACTACAACATATTCTTCCCTCGCTTCACCATCTTGAACTGGTCGCCCATTCTCTCTCACCACCCAGTGGAGCTGCTCCTCCCAAACCTCGAACAGTGCCCTTACCCCTCTGCCCAGCATGTACGAAAAGCGGTCGAACGCGTTCCATCACCCACCACCAAGGGTCTTGGCCCGCTCTGAACGAGTCGATCCCCAGTTTGGCTATCTCTCTCAATTCAACCCTCTCCCAATCCCTCCTCGATCCTACCTCACCAGATTACCACAAACCCGCACTCCAAAGCCTATTCCAAGCCGGGACCCCAATCCTCTTCACCGCTCAGACGGAGGAAGAATCAACAGACGATCTGAATGCGATTTTTGGAAAGGAGATGGGGTGGGGAAGGGAAATGGTCAAGGTGGAGTGGGAACCAGTGAGGAACAGGTGGAGTGGTGGGTGGCCAAGGTTGGATGGGTGGGAGGAGGACGGGTATTGGAAGAAGAATGGATGGACTTTTTGTATTGGCAAGGCTTGAGTTGCGGGAATTGGACAAGGAGGTCGGCTTGGAAACATGAAAATGGGTGTAAAAGTCGGTTTCCACATCTGTTTTTCGCCGAGATTCAACACACGGGCTGGATTTCGTCCTGACGCGCAACGATCGATCGGCCTCCGGCTTCGCAGAACCTGTGCGACTTGAAGATTCGCTTAGGCCCTGCTCTGACGTTACTGGAGGCCAGCCGCGAATGGAGACGATCTTCAGTCCGGTTTCCTCTGATACAGGGGGTAATCTCTGCCCAGGGAAACCATCCCATCTCGATCCGAGCACTCGGAGGTGGGGAAGCTCTGCACCCCGATCGCGGAATGGGCGCTTGCGCGACGTCATGGCGGCGCTTGCTCGCTGACCAAACGGCCTCCACCATTGGGCGGGAGTGGGCGGGCTTCCGAATTGGCAGCCATAACGCCCTAGCGTTCTTTCGAGCCTTATCTTCTTCCCCATCCACCGTACCTACAAAGAGTCGTAATCATCCTCGCCCCTCAAGCATGTCGTTCCTCCGTTTGCTGCCGTCCCGCACGGCTCTACGCCATCAGGTATTGCCTCGACAGCTCAATCGAACCGGTTCGGCGTTCCCCCACATGGGCACAGCAACAGCAGTGACGTCGCGAAGCTCCTTCAGCACCTCGAGCGTCAGTTCGTTCTACCCCTCTTCCCGCGCCCAAGAAACCGGTTCCGTGTCGCAACAACCTGGTTCAAAGACGCTCAAAGAGCTAGGTGATAATGCCAAGGACGAAGCCAAGAAGTTGGGGCACGTCATTGGAGGGGCTATGGCTGGTGCGAATGCCTCGGTCGGCCAGATCGGCAATGCGGAGGAGAACCTAAAGGCTGGCGCAATCGACAGCGTCAAGGGTGATATGGTGAGTACTGATCAAGAGGTCGTCGTTGAGTGTGTTTAAAATGGGTCTCAAGTAGAGAAAGCTCAATGCTTGGTTATCTGGCAAATGCTGCCTACAGCAAAGTATTGCCGGGGTTATTCAGAAAGTCCCTCGTGATGCCCTCGTGTGGGGTGGAGCCGGTCTCTTGCCATGTCAGTCGCCCCAAAGTCGGGGAAAGAAACCCCAGTTTTAAGTCAATGACACTTGTTTGTTCCAAACAGATGCCGGCACTTCATTGGCGACGGTCTACCTCGCCCGATCAGCCGCTGAGGCGTGTGAGGTAGACGCCTCGGGCGTCGAAGCCGAGCTGGCGATGGAGCTGCTCAGCGCGAGCCAGCATCTCCAAATCAGCTACGGTGCCGTCATCTTGTCGTTCCTCGGTGCAATTCATTGGGTAAGGGTCGACATTCAAACCGACTTCCCCGCACTGGGCAAAGACCGAGAGCACAATGTCTGACCACCGAATCCAACCCTTACATTGCGCAGGGCCTCGAATTCGCTAAATTTGGGGGTGTGGTCGGCAACACGCGCTACATCGCCGGTATCGGACCCGTGATCGTCGGATGGGGATCGATTTTGCTCCTCCCGGTCCTTGGGCCTCAAATGGCTCTGATCACTCAATGGGCCGGATTCTTCGGTACTTGGTTGCTTGATCAACGGGCCACGACTTGGGGGTGGACACCTAGGTGGTATTCCACTGTGAGTCTGATGGGAAATCTGCTTCACACCTGGCGAGCCGAGTCCCTGACAGACAAGCGCTCCGATCAGCGGATGAATAATCTTGACTGACCCAATGGAATCACGCTGCGCAGTACCGATTTTGGTTGACGGCCGTCGTCGGCAGTTCGATCCTGCTCACCCTTGCAGGGGAATCCTACTTTGCCCCCGACGTTCAAACACTCAAGATTCGAGGCGAGATCGCAAAGTTGAGGAGCCAACCTTTGAACACTCCCAAAGGGTATCTTGCGCGCATACGACGCTTGAACTCATTTCAGCACGGTACTGACGAGTGGTTGGGCTCATGCTTTGTCTCAGAAATTCCGGTGACTTAGGAGAGTTCCGAGCTGAGAAAACGGACACGGCTTATGTGAAATTCTCCAAGATTGACAAGGTGGGTTAGGGATCGCCATTCTCGACGAAGCCACTGAGAGGCCGACACTGAACCATCTACGTTGGGGGTGACCTTTCTCTCACAGGAGAAGGAAGAGAAAGAAGCCAAGGAAGCGGAAGAGAAGAGGGAAAGGGAGGAGAAGGAGGCGCAGCGACAGGCCGAAGAGATTGCGGGACGTGAAGAGCGTGAGAAGAAGGCCAAGATTGGCCGGGCCCAGAGCTCGTGACTGAACGTTACTGAACGGTCAAATTTTCTTGACTGTATCGTGCGTGCTCGTGTAAGGTATGGGTAGGAGAAGAACACGAACGAAAGAGGTCCAGTAGATAATAACAAATATTAATTTAGGCACCAAGAAGATAAATATAACACATTGTAGCGGATCTCCAGGGAGAGGTCTTCACTGGCACAACGCCCAAAAATCTGTCCCGAACAAAAGCGAACACATGCTGTCCACTGTGCCATCAGCCTCCGCCAAGATGGACGCCCATTGCTTCTCGACCTCTCGCAGCGCTTCCCGGTCGTTTGATGGAGATCCTAAGGCGGGGTTGGGTTTGCCAGAGTCCTTCCACAGCGTCTCGGCGCTCAGCGTCTCCCACCTCATGTCGACAGGTTTGAGTCCTCTGGCGAGGTTCAAAATGCGTTGATACCAGCTCGACAAGTCGTCCTCCCTCGCCTCTCTACCCGGAGGGGGCATGAACTCGGAGCAGCTCGGGAACATGATCTCATCGATCGTCATCTCGATGCGGGCGGGGGGCTGCGTACACGGCAGGGGGAACAGCAGACACATCTAGCGGCGGGCGTACCATGCTGTCAGGATCTTTCAATGGAGGGCAGAGTCGAGAGGGAACCGGACGGACCAGCACAGGAGGGTTTTCTTTAAAGTCTTCAATCGACGTAAACGGACGAAGGTGAAGCAGCCAGAGCGCACAAATGTTGGTTGAGAAGTCTTGGGTGACGAACAAGGCCCGTTCGTTCTCCACCGACAACTGGATGATCGCGGCGTTCTAGGAAGGAGACGTAGACTTCTCGTCAGCTCGCTGGTTAAATGAACCAATTGCGAGTTTTTGCATACCGTGGTCAGCACTACTGTGGTATCTTCCACTTCGCTAGGGCTGCCGTTGATGAGCGTCTTCCATTTGGGGATCCAGATTAATTTCCCGGACCCTGTCACACCTCGTTCTCCCATGCTGGTTGCGATCAGGTGACCGTGTCGGAGATCGTGATGAACCGCGGTCCAAGTGGGCGCCTTGGCGTTAGATCGGTAGTGTGCGCGAGCAATGGTGACGCGTGAAGCGGGTGCGGCTGGGGGGAACAGAGCGACACAGCCACGGTCCGGGTGCCAAATCGAAATGGACTTCCTGCCCGCGACAACGACATGATCTCGATCGAGGATCTCGACGTAAGTGATCGTACTGTCCGCCAAAGCGTTCTCTCCCGTGGTTTGCCAAAGGCGCGAGAGGTCCAAGGTGGACATTGTGCCACGATGGTAATCGAAACGATAGAGCGCACGGCGTTGATTAGACGAGCCAATAAAATAGGGGTCACGCATCTTGGTGGCGTTTAAAGAGCCTGGCGCCGCAATCTCGGCGAACGGTCGAAACTCGCGACCACTGGGTCCCCCGATCTTAATTGAACGAGATTCGAGGAACTTCGCGCGGGCTTGAGAAATGGGGGCTTTGGGTGTCGAGATGTCGCTGCGTCGCCAGATGATGTGCTGCTCGCCCGCCATGCACCCGATGTATCCTTGGCTATCCCACAAACAGTCAACTCGCGAGGACGGGTGATGCTATAAGCACAGTTCCAGACGTACTTGAAACGAGAAGGAAACGTACCTGAATTCGATGTGAGCGTACATCGTAGTGGGTTCACTGCAGAGCCATTCCGCGACCCCGTTGTCGCGAAAGGCGCCGATGCCGGCTGCATCAAGGCTAAGATTGCGGCGATCAATGCTGGAAAGACGATATCCCCATGAGCAAGAGGAGACTCCTACAATCCACACCAGTGGTCAAGTAGATTCCCGAATCCGGGTCGACTTTGAAGCGATGGATGCCGCCGGGTGGTCCACCATTCTCGATCTTCGTCGAGGTGAGCATGAGTTCGCCCAGCCGCCAGGAGCGATCGAGAAAGAATCGCATCTTGGCTGAAGCGGCAAAACCACGTTTCGCGCGTGTCAGTAGACAACACTCCCCGGGTGCACTCCTTTTTGGCCCAGTGTAAATCTTACCGAACCGCTCCCACCGTCTCACGCAGTCAAGGTAAATGGGCTTTCGTCGACTGTTCTGTCTCCCGAGCGCTTCGCGCAATTCGAGTCCGGGGTCACGGTGCGACATGCGCCAACCGCCTCGCCATTGCGTGTCGATCGCGCTCGATGCGCCATAGCTGGTGACATCCGTATAGCCAATCTTGAAGCACAGTTGGCGGTAAATCTGTTCCGAAGCCTCGTGCATGAACAAGTAGGTCGATCGACAAAGGTTCGCAAACGCAAGCAGCGTCAACACCGAGTCGAACTGGCCCACGATCTCGAGCAGGATCTCGGGCGGAAGACAGAGCAAGTGCATTATTGATCGATTTGTCGAATCAGTAGCCGGCGCGTCGAGGTGAGATTCGATGGCTGGTGAGGGAGGGAGGGAGCAGGAGAGCCAGAGGCGGAGGTGGGGGCGGTTCCTGACGCGTCGAGGGTGGGGGGGCGGGGGTGCGCACTCTTGCGCACTGTGGGGCATATTCTTCGCCGCGGCGGGAGGCGGAAGGAGGCGGAAGGCAGAGGGAGGCGGCGGGCCGGCTACAGCTGCTACAGGGCCAGCAGGCGCTCATGCTCAGCTCGATCACTCGACCACCGGCCCAACCGCTTCTCACCCCTAACCCCCTCAAAGCACGATGGCCTCGTTCGTCAAATCCGGGAAAAAGATTGTCGCAATCGGACGCAACTACGTCCAACACGCCCAAGAACTCGGCAACTCGGTGCCCAAGCGCGAACCCATCATGTTCCTCAAGCCGACGTCGTCCTACACGACTCGCGATGAGGTACACCTGCCACGAGGAATCCTTGTTCATCATGAGGTCGAGCTTGGATTGGTCATGAAGGCTGGAAAAGACATCACCCAAGAAAATGCCCTCGATTACGTTGCTGGGTTCGTACGAACGGCCGGTGGTGCAAGCTCATGAAGGGAGGGACTGATGTATCCGAACTTGGTTTCATCGCCCCCCAGGTATGCACTTGCTATCGACTATACCGGACGGAACATTCAAAACGAAGCTCAATCCAAAGGCCTCCCGTTCGTTCACGTTGTGCCAAACTCTTCGCCAAGAGATCCGAGGAATCTGATATTTAGTCGCGATCTCCGTCTACAGGTGGTCAGCGGCCAAGGGTTTCGACGATGCATGCCCCATCGGCGAATTCATACCCAAGTCTAAAATCAAAGATCCCCACGCCGTCAAGATCTGGCTAAAGGTGCGCGAGCATGTTTCCAGTCCATGTCTACGCAGAATTACGCAGAATTTACTGACCCGAGGAGCCGAGTTTACTTTCCAGATCAACGGCGAAACAAAGCAATCGGATTCGACCGAGTTGATGATCTACAAGATTCCTCGGCTGATCGAGCACTGCTCCAGCATTATGAGTTTCGAGGACGGGGACTTGCTTTTGACAGGTGAGTCGACCCCGAATTCTCCCAGCTCTCGGCGTCCGAAGTCTTCGAGCTGATCTTGCCACGACATGTCATAGGAACACCCGCCGGAGTTGGACCAGTGAAAGAAGGCGATGAGATCGAAGCTGGTACGTCACAGGTACCGAATGAGTGCTGCAGACTTGTAGCTTACTCCAAGTCCCCGACCCTTCGACGTCCAGGCCTGGTACAGGACGGAGAGCTCGTTTCCTCCATCAAGCATCTCGTCCGGACCCGCAAGGGAGGGTACCTCTTCAAGCCAGAAACCAAGTAGATAGACTGCTTCACCCTCTTAGAGAATCACCAAGAACGTTTGCATCGCAAGTCTCGATAAATTTGGATGTTCATAATGCAAGTGGACCTCGGCCAGAAATTATCCATGATCCATGAGGGAAATTTTACATCTTTTTACAGCAAGTCCTTTGGCCGTTCACCTGTCGAATCTATCGACGATCTCCGATGCGCAAGTACGATATCGTCCGCGGGTACTCTGATTGTCCGCCCATCGACCTCACTGACGACTTCGACCATCCCTTCGTTTGTCAAATGCGCTGACCGCGCCATGCCGTGGCCTAAAGGCTCGTCTGCGGACGTCGCCAAGTCGGCTTGAAGTCCTGGCGAGGCTGCCGGAGAGCTGATGGAATCACGCGATGCTGCACGTGGTAGGGATGGTGGTCGACTAGTGGAGCTGGTCGGTGTCTTAGGGGTAACTCCCTCTGTCGGTGAGCTCGGGGAGGATAAAGCGCCGAAGGCCGCGGACCCATCCTCGACAGTGTCCCGCCTCAGTAATGCCCCTGGTCGAGGCGCGCAGAAAGTGGGTGCGATCGTAGCCGAGTTGGGCGCGTCGAGATTCGAATTGCCCGCTGCAGCATTCGATTCGACGCGTCGCCCTTCTTCACCAAAGTCGAAGTCGTCCAACGCGTCATCCATCGATGGCAAGGTGATGGAAGGCACCGAAGCATCCTCAAAGTCACCAAAGTCATCCTCGTCGTCGTCACCCGAAGGTACGGACGGTGAAGAGGCGAAGCTGTCGGTGAACGAGTCGACAAAGGAAGACCCAAAGCCAGCGACGGCAGCGGCAACGGCGTAAGCGGATGAGGAAGCGACAGTGGGCTTGAAGTCGTCTGAGAAGAGCTCGTTTCCTTTCGTCGTAGCACTAGACGGTGCTTTGGAAGCCGGCTCACTCGTTGCGAAGGCTCCCCCCCATTCGCCTTCCTGCATCAGAAGAAAGGGATGCCGAGTCAGTTCACATGGCTCAACACCTACACGAACTGGTACCAACACCACTCACATCATCACTGTCCTCCGTAGATGACCTAAATACCTGCTTGCCCGCCATCTCGAACCGATCATCGAACCCAAACTGCTTCGGTGGTCGTTCCAACTCGCCCAGAGCGAAATCGCGATCGCGCGGATCACCAGATGACCCAACCCACCCCGTCTCGTCGTCATCCTCATCCTCTTCATCCGAACTCCCGAATTTGTCCGGTCGATCACCGGCGATCGCATTCGCGAGATACCGCGAGAACTGGTCGTGGGAACTGGCATCGGCGATCTCGGCGTCCGTGGCCCTTTTGCTCTCGGCGTCGAACAAACCTCCTGCCAATTGCCCGTCCTCGGCGCCGGGCAATAGTCCATTCTTAGAGTTTGCCTCTACCGCTCGCAGAGCTCGCACGGCATTCATGGGGAACTCGTCATCCTCGTCGCTCAGAGCACTTGTGACCGAGCTCGTGTCATGTAAGTGGTTCGCGACGCCTCCTCCTAAGGGTGACAGATCCCGCTCCCTCGTTTCGCGCAAGGTCTTGGTGACGTATCGATCCCATGCCGGCTGCGGAATGTGGGGTTCGATAACAAGGTAGATTTCTTCCTGGTAGTGCTCGAACAGCTTGACGATCTCCTCTGCGATGAGAATCATGTGACCCATGTACCCCAATCGACGCTTGTGTGTTCGCTCGGACTGCTCATTCGCTTCGTGTCCCGCGAGGATGCGATCGATGAGCCGACCGTTGAGGAAGACCGAAAGCGCGAGTTGTCGATCCAGCCCTCGGTCAATGCGGCCGTGGAAAATTTGTTGGATTAGGTCGAAGGTGACGTTGTGGATGAGGTTGTTCCAATGGTACCTGAAGAATATGTCCTGTATTATCAAGCAAACATACCGAGTGAGCTTTTCAATCTCTAAGACAACTGGATGTTGGGGTGACTTACCAGCATTGTCTCAATGACATCGCTGTCCAGGAAAGCGCGTTTGAGCATCGGACCCGGCGGCAGGTCTGGTCTGTGGGGTGTATACATCTTGGGCAAAGGAGCCACAGTTGGTGCCGAGGGCGTCCTCGCATCCTCCTCCCCGTTGGATCCCAGAGTTCGACCTCCTCTGGCAAGATGTTGATCTTCAACCGAAAGTTCGTGCGGCGGTGCTCGCGTCTTCAGGTCAGAGTCCAAGCTGATAGTCGCGGTCGCCGCAGCCAGGTCGTCATCGTCCGTAGGATCACCAAACGGATTCTTCCCATCATCTTCACCATTCTTGCCGTCCCCTCCATTACAGGAGTCCGAATCATCATCATCATCGTCCGCTCCTCCCGTCGAGGCAATTAAATCGCGCAACTCGCGCGCCTCCTCCCGCGTCAAGATCCCTGACTCAGAGTCCAACGACCCCTGCACCGAAGGCGAGGACATCCCCGAAGCGGGCTGTCGTCGCGGTACAGTGATCGGGCTAGTCGGAACCGACGAGTGTCCACTCTTGTTGAAGCGGTAGTTCTCGTATTCGTAGTCCTCCTCCAGGGCGGTCGGCTGCAGCGCCTCAGCCAAATCATCAGCACCTTGCCACCCCTTGGCGAGATGCCCGTCCTTATCGTAAAGCTGTGCTGAGCCGACCGGTCGATTGAGCAAGCCCATGTTGGAGCAATGTAAAAGCTCGGCATAGAACTCGCAGACGCGGAAGCGCTCCAATGTCACGGGTTCAATAGGGCCTATAGTGGAGGCGATCGGCCCTTTGGCACTTCGTGGCGATTTGACGAGGCGCTGCAGCCCGTGTATACGCTGCGAAACGGTCGTGAGCATCGCGCTCAAGTCAACAACCGATGGTCCCTTGTCATCGCCATCGATTTGGTGGTTCGAAACATCGACAAATTCGGCCCCTTCTGCTTCCAGCATCTCACGTTCGATCTGCTCCGCTTCCTTCTTCCGCGCCCACGTGAGCATGTGCTGCTCGACAAAATCCGAGTTGTTCTTCCGGATCAACTCGACAAAGATGGCGATGGAAGCGATCAACGACGACGTCCTCAAGTCGGCCGTCTTTTCCGGCGAGTCAGGCGAGAGTTCAACATCGCTCGACATCCGTGGTGTCGTTTCAACTTGCTCCTCAGGTTCATTGATAGCGGCCGTCATAAAGCTTTTGCGTTGTTGAAGTTGACCTACGGGCCGTTTCGAGTCATCGTTCGGCGGCAAGACCCAATCGAGCAAAGTTCGCACCGTCTTTTCTTCGGCGATTTGGCGCGTCAGCGAGTTGTCACGCCACACCAGTTCGATCTCCTGCTGCGCCTGCGGGTCCCCTGGTCCGTTCTGTGGCGGTTGCATAGCCGGCACGGCGCTACCGAGTTCGAGGCAGCCCCGCAAGAGTTCTTCGGCGGCGGCATGTCCCTCTTTGCCGAGGGCAGCAAAAGGCTCGAGCAGCCGGATCGATTGCGGGACGACGGAGGAGAGTAAGGGTGATGGGGCTGTCGAGACGCGGATCAGGACGAGGAGCAAGTCGTTCAAGGGCGAGCAGTAAGGTAAGAGGGCGAGCAGGCGGGGCAAGAGATGAGGGATTGTCAAGATGTGGGCGAGGACCTGGAGTCGCAAAAAAAATAAAAAAATCAGTACTTGGTTTTCTCTTGATACCACAAACACATTCAATCCTCCTACCTCCTGTTCCCTGGGACCATTCAGCAGTGTCGCGTTGACACGGGTCCAATATCCGACCTGGGCGCTCCGTGTCTCGAGCTGTGTCTCGGTCGAGCCCAGCAGAGTTTCCCTGGTTGAATGGGCAGACCGGCGTCAGCAGGTCGTAGCGGGGCAGCACAGGGGATCGGATCTATGAACTGACCAGAAGGGCATAAGAAAGGATGGTGCGTCGGGACATGTATGGGGTTCGGTCGACACGGCACTCGGGTTGAAGAGCGTGTCCGTCAAAGAGGGGGCTTCGGACGAGAGGATTTCGGTGCACAGTCTCGGGAACCTGGTGGGAGAGGAGCCGGGCAGTCAGGAGACGCTACTTTATGTTCACCACTGTTCTCATTGCCTGACTTACACTGCCCATTCCTTCTCCTGGTCCGTCTCTGGCTCACCACCCTCCAATATACCCATCTCATTCATGTCCCTCCGTCTCGGAATGCCGCCCATCCCGATCTTGATCAAGTCCTTATCATCGGCGTGCACGAAATCATCAGGCACTTTTCCATCCGGTAAATCATCCGAGACCAGACCCCCATTAGGTACAGGATGCAACGTCGTCGCTCGTCCCAGTCCCCATACGACCCATCCACCCAATCGGAGCACGACGTCCTTGCGCGCGAGGAACGTGTGCAGCTTGGCGTTGCCACCCGTCTTGAACTCGGACAGCAAATCTGGTGATCCGAGCAAGGCGTCCAAGGTCTTGTCGTAGATGGTAGGTTCGACGACTGCCACGGGACCGACTCCGGAAGCGGCGCCATTCGCCGTCGGTCGCCCCACACCTGCGCTCGAGACGGACCCGCTCCGAGTCGACGACGCGCCCTGGCTCAGCGACGAGAAGGACGAGGCTGAATCAACCGAGTCCGAGTTACGATGGTTGGATGTGGTCGCATTTGAGGCCGAGACAGCGGAGTCGGCGGGCGAGTCCGAGTCCGGTAGGCCGGCAAGGATCGACGCGATCGAGTCGACCGCGGGCGCGTTGAAGTTGAACTTCCAGAACGACATGATCGCAGCTGCAGCTCACTCAAACGGCAAAGTTGTACAGTGGTGAACCTCAGGATCTTGATTGCGGAGGTTGGGGCTCGGGAGTCGGGATCAGGATCGTGCTTGGGTTGCGCTCGCGGTCGGGTGGGAATGGGGCGGTTCCGAGTTGCGGTCGGGTTGGTCGCACTGCGCAACTCCAGACTCGGAAACAACGTCGCGAAATCGGCGAAGAGAGAAGAGATACACCCGAGGCCAAGTACGACGACCGGCGAGGGCGAGGGCGAGGGCGAGGGCGAACTCCGGGATGGCGGTGTGGTGTCGTCGCCTGCCTATTACTGAGATAGACTGAGACCGACTGAGATGGGGGTCGTCACGGGAAGGGGGGCGGCGTCGTCGTCATACTGCGTCACCAGTTCGGCAGCGCAAGAAAACCAGGGCACCGCTTGTACTGCGTAACGATTTTGGGGGAATCTCCACATTTGTCAGAGGTACTTGGAACATGAGAGACGACATCAAATAATAACACATCATCTACACTTTTGAAACGGATCCATTCACAGCTAATTCTACCCGCCTCTCCTCGTAGCGTAACCCCCCTCGGCCACTCAGCCGATGGATTCTAAAATCCACTGACCCTCTTCTTGGCCTTCTTTTTCGCTTTCAGCCTCTCCTCCAAACTCAACCCACCCCCACCTGTCCCACTCCCCGCTCTCGTCCCAAAAGCCCCCGGAACAAACTGAGAAGCCGCCATCGTCCTCGGAGATGACGGGGGCCCGACCCCGCCCGCACTCCGCGACAACGTCGGGGGTTGACTGGCTGAGAAATCGCGTACGCTCACGGAGGATTCTTGTGACGAGTCCAATGGCTGAGATAGATCGTCCGTGATTTCAACCCTTCTTTTGGTCGGCGATCGCCGGGCGTTGTGTTGCGGTGGTGGTGCATGAATGACGATGGAAGGGGGGACAACTTGGGACGAGCTAAAGATCCTCGGTGGTGCTCGAGACCCGTAGGCTTCGTGAATACGTCGAGGAAACGACGATGAAGGTAACCCTGTTCTTCGCTGGGATTCTTCCTTCTTTTCTTCCCCCTTCTTGTTCGTATCCCGACCATCATCGACGTACATGTCCTCCCATTGGTACGACTTGGGGTCCGCACCCGTGTGCCACTCGGACAAAATCCTCCGAACTCCGCTCGACGCAAGAGAAGCACCCGCCCCATCTCCATCATCGGACGACTCGGATCCATGCTCCTCGTCGTAAAGTTGGACGGAAGATCCCGCTCTAGCACTAGCGAAGAGTCGACCCAATCGCTGAGGTTTGAAATACGCCAAGTGCAACGAAGGTATATCCTCGTCCTCGGAGAGGCGCGCGGGCAGAGGTCGATTTATCAAGTCGGGTCGAGGGGGCGGGTCAGGGATGACCGGTCGATCAGAATATGCTCGAGTTGAGAGAGCGAGATCGAGCGAAAGGTGAGGAGTATACGGCTCGTCGATCGAATTGGCTTGCCCGTAGCGGCTTCGGAGGGTCCGAGTGTAGGCTTCGACCGACGCCTCGGTCAACTCAGGTGAGCAGTCGTACAGCCGAGCAAGTGCTACAGCCGAGCCTGGATTGTCGGAGTGAGCATCCAAGGTTTTCAGAAAGTGCTGGAACTCTGTTGGAAATCGATGCGACAGCGCTTCCTCCACCTGGGCGAGCTCGTCGTCGTCAAAATCGAGCCGTGCTCGCTTTGGTAGCGCGGGTCTCTCCGTGGAAGTGAGTCGATCAGACAGAATGTCGTAGCTGCAGTTGGCGAACGTGTTAGAAAGTTTAATCATACGACTCTTCCCTTCACCTAGACTTACAGCGTCTTCATCTGTTCCGCCCTCGGCGGCTCATCCTCATGACCCTCCTCCGTGAGATCCGCAACTCGCATCGTCGACCTTTGCACCCTCCGATCATTATCCAACATCCTAGCCAACCCACTGAGAGGCTTCATTTCTTTCCCTTCCACGACTGGGATCCCCGAGTCCTGCAAACGCTTGAATTCTTGCCCTGTTTGCCCCCAATCTACGTCCACCCGACCCTCCCGCCGTTTCTCCCCCACCAGGGCCCCACGTTCCCACAACCCACCCCCCATCTCAGATTCCAAAAACCTCCACCCCCCTTCCTCGCCCGCAACCCCGATCCCACTCCTCGACCACCTCATCCCATCCTCCATCGCTACCACTGGGCCAGGTATCGAATACGGGTCCAGAAGACTAGTTACGACTCCACCTTTGATCTCGAGGGTGTAGACTTCGATCCCTGAATGAAGGCGAGAGGCGAGGCCGATACGCCAAACATCTCCCGAATCCGTATTTGCGCTCGAAAGGGTGCCTATCGTGAAAAGGTATAACGTCCGATCGTAGCCTTTTCCCGTTGGACCGACTCGAGGCATAGGGAAAGACAGGATCGGACGGAGGGGGAAGCGAGCGTCGAGGATCGTGAGGGGTGACGAAGGGGTCGAGATGGCCGCATAGGGCGTTGAGGGGCGGGTGAGGAGGGAGGTGATGCATGAATCGACGTTACTTGATGCGGGGGAGGTGAAAATGACGAGAGATGAGGTTGGGGACTGTAGCTTCAAGAGTGTCAGTCCTTTTGCGCGACTTTCGACTGCGACTGATCCCATTCCCACCTACTCTGAGATCATACAAAGTGACCTCACGTTGACTCGCGACGATCAATTCCCTCTCATCCCTTCCCCACCCAAGCCTTCTGAACTTGCCTTGCTTGGCATCCCCTTTCCTCAACCTATACATCTCCGGTGCCTTCCCTTTCCAATCCCCATTCGGATCGCCTATCCGATCTGACCCTCGCACTCCGATGCCAAAACTAAAGACCGATCCGTCGGTATCGATCAAGGCACCCGAGCCGAGTTGATGCGGGGACAGAGAGAAGGAAGTGATGGGTCGACGGAAGAAGGAGGCGGAGGCATAGGTGAATGAGTTGAGGATCTGAGGCTTCGACGTGCTGTAGTTTGATGAGGGATGCACAGCCAGGTGGGTCAATGTGAAGTCGGTCATCGTCCGCGTTGCGAGTAGAGCGGTAGAAGGGATGGGAAGAGGCGAAAGCTCCATATGGACGATGGGTGTAGAACATGGTGTCTCAAGCAGAGGTTCACCACACGGTGAAATGCGGGTCGTTGGTATTGTAGATGAGTCTTCAGCGCATGCTGCCGGGGAGGGAAAAGTCTGCGCCCATCCGATCGAGGTAGTCCTACCGCCTTCGGCCGACGTAGCTGTGCTCGTACTTGTGCGCCAAGCGGCACAGACTGAAGAGGTACCATCGTAATGTGTGATCGATGTCAAAGCTAGACAGTTGCCGAGATTGAGGTTCAAAGATTTGTCGGCATCGGAGCGTCGCTCGTTGATCATCGCCGAGAGCAAGATTGAAGGATGAAAAGGGGGGCTCGAGCGGAGAATAGACTGGTTAGAAGGATTAATATGACCTCATGATGAGATTCGCTTCCATATTGAGCATCTGCTTTGCGGCTACGACCTACAAATTGCCGAAAGAGCTCGACCCTGCTCGCCGCAGCCAATCTATCGCCTTGAATTTCGATCGCCTCGGCTTCGTCGTACGGGACGGCGGTCGACCTGTAGCGTCGTATCGGTGGTCTGGAAGGATTGGGCCGGATACGCAAGTCTGAACAAAGGAAGAGGATCAGCACAGCAACTCGACTGCTTTTGCTCAAAAGGGCCGGCTCGGGTACCGTAGCCCACCTTGTCGCTGCTGAACCGCTTGAACCCATTTGAATCCTAGCAACCGTTGCTCATCATCCTCGTCCTCGTCGTCGATCTGAAGCTCCAATCTGGCCGCCCCAAAGGCTCCCGGAGTCAACTTGAGGTGGTGCGACCATGTCTCGTTGTATGGGTTCCGGTAGTCATGGTCACCTCCGCTTCGTGGGGGTGGAGGAGGCGGTGGGTAGTAGCACGTGATCGACGAGCGCCTACACGACGTGCATGGGTATTGTCCGTCGCAAGTGGGTCGTTGGTGCTTTGAGGTCGTTGAAATTTGTTCGGAGCCTGTATAACGTGAAGAAGATCACCAGCTCAGCTTTGGCCTTCACCGGCAATACGCGGGGACTGCATCGCAACTGACAAGCGAGGCAAGCGACGGTGCTCATACTCGTCGAGTCGGAGCGCACAGGGTGGAGAAGGGAGAGGGCGGGGGGGGGGGGTCCAAGCCCCGCGTTGAGCGAAGGTAAAGCGAACGCGTTGAGATCGGGGAGAACAAAAGTGGATGATAGGAGTGCAGAGCCAAGCCGAGCCGAGCGACCGATCAAGCTCGGGCTTAGGCTGGCTCAAGCACTGCTCAGACTGGCTCAGGCTTCGATATTCGATACTCGATATCTGTCACGAAACACTTGTCTCTGACTAACCACACCCTCGCGCAAGCGCTCGGGCGTGTTGAAATCGCGCCGGCCCGGCTGCGAAGTGCGGCGCGGGCGCAGGGCAAGTCACGTCTCCGGCTTCGACACCCTACTCCCGCCCAAACCCTCGAGCAGTGATCGCAAGTTCTGTGAGCTCAACTCCTTACCGTCTATACCTACACACTCAACAACACTCTACGATGGTCAGTACCGCGTCCTTGCTTCCCGTTGACTATGCAACTCTCGGCTCATTTTCATTCCCGCCCCGCCCTTCTCCTCCGCACCCATACTCTTTACCTTCGTTCCCACTGTGCAGGCCGAAGTCAACCCCAAAGCTTTCCCCTTGGCCGATGCCGCCCTCACCAACCAGATCTTGGACTTGATCCAGCAAGCCAGCCACTACAAGCAGGTCAGTTCGCATACCCGCAGCGAAACGAGCGACGGCGCACATCTCCCCCTACCAAGGCATAGACAATACTGACCACAAACATGAAGGCCCACAGCTCAAGAAGGGAGCTAACGAAGCGACCAAGACCTTGAACCGCGGAATCGCGCAAATCATCGTCATGACCGCCGACACGGAGCCGATCGAGATCCTGTTGCATCTCCCCCTCTTGTGCGAGGACAAGAACGTGCCTTACGTCTTTGTTCCCTCCAAGACGGCATTGGGTCGCGCGTGCGGTGTCTCGAGGCCCGTCATCGCTTGCTCCGTCACGACCAACGAAGCGAGGGAGTTGCAAGGCCAGATCGATACCATCCGAGTCAGTCCGAGCGGGGCCCTCTGAAGCATCTGTTGTCTGGTCAACCGAATGCTAAACATCCTCTTTCGTTCTTTGTCCACAGAACCAAATTGAGCGTCTCCTCATCTAAGTGGTGAAGCCTCATTTTCGGACGGTGGCCGACCTTATCAAATTTTGGGAAGAAGTTGCAGACAGAGCGCCAACTGTCCGCATGACTTGGTTCTTAGTGATGCAATCGATATGCAGGAGACCTTGATTGGTTCATCCTCATAATCTCATGATTCTAGGCCTTTGCAAGATCTTCTGCACACTAGTCGGACTTGGGAGGTTGAATGGGCACTGGGATAACTCCGAGCAACTTTCGAAAGTGCCATTCTAACCGATTCTAACCCCATGAATCCGAGCTCTTGAACATGATCAAATTCACCGCACCTTGCTTTGCCACTATAATGCAAGTGCGATGCAGGCCCATGCACCCGCACACCCTAACCTACGCTAGCCAACACTAACCTACACTAGCCATTCGACTTTGAGACCTGTGTCCGGACAAGTCCGGACAGGCCACAAGAGGTCGTATCCTAGTACTGGCCGGGGCCCGAGCGTGTCATAAAGGCGCCCTGCACACCACTACAGCCTCGGAGAGCACCCGTGTCTTGGTTGACTTTATGTGATACATATACCGCCTCGCAATCTTTCACTTTTCGATGCTCTCCAGCATCCCCAACATCAGCTTTACAAGAACACTCTACCAAGCCACACGATCCTCCCCTCTCTCCCGATCCTTACGTACCTCTTCTGCCCTCATGTCGTCGTTCCATCATGAACCGGGTCCGATCGAGGCTTCCATTCATGAAAAGGTACGCTCGCTAAGATCCACTCACCACATATAGAGTCTGGATCATCCAACTGACACTCCCCACCCATCTCCCACGGCCGTCAACTGTCCTAGTTAACAACCTCCTTCTCCCCCTCCCACCTCTCCATCTCGAACGACTCGGCCTCGCATTCCCACCATTCTGCGATGCGATCGATAGGAGGAGGTTCAGGCGAGACGCATTTCACGGTCGAGATCGTTAGTGAGAGGTTTGAAGGGTTGGTGAGTACGGAGAAGCGGGTGTTGTTGAGTTCAGGGTGGCCCAAAGCAGCGAGGCAACTCTTTCGCTCCTTGTACCTCGATGTTTAGCTTCGATCAGAGGGCTGCAAGTCCGGGCGACCTGACTTTGAACTCTCGCATCTCCCATCACAGCGAGCTATTCAACGACATCGCCTCGTCAACGATTCGCTTAAGGAGGAGTTCCAAGTCAAGGGGTTGCACGCGTTGACGATCAAGGCGAAAAGTCCGAACGAGGTCGCTGGAAAACCGTGAATGGACAGGAGCAATTTTAGGGCGTAGATACTGGGGTGTAGCGACGACAACGCAGAGATACTTGGATATCTGACAATATCACCCATGATCAGCACGATTGAGATCAGGCTAAATTCCGGAGAGGATGTCCCGATCTCAGCCTCGAGCGAACCCGATCCCTTGGGACGGCTGAGGGGAAACTCAGCTACGTCGTCCAGCAAAAAACACGACACTCTCACCCCAATATACGAAAGCCTTCGATTATCATCATTGCTACGCGGCCACGTAGCCCCAGTGGCTCAAGCCCTCGAATCCCCTACAACTCCAACCCACCTATCATTGCGCCCTCATCACAGCTTCGCCACATTCGCCATCCCATGTTCACCAACCTTGACGAACCCATCGATCGGCTGATCATCACAGAACGCCGAGATGAACTCGGTCCAGAATTGAGGGGTGTAATAATCGGCCCATCTGTGGTGCGTCGATGGCCAAGGGGAGTCGACGGGGTCAGGTCAGCCGCAGGGAGGAAGAAGAGAATTCCTGCTCTCACAACGTACGAATGCCCCATCCCACCGAACCTCGCGACTTGGGCATGCTTGATACCTCTCAGGATATAATCGAGTTCAGTGAAGTAGACAGATCGATCCTCCCTCCCGTGGACGACGAGTACAGGAGTCGAGGTCGGGATCGAAGGGATTTGTTTCCGCACGTCGTATTTCGCGATCTGCAGTGGGAGGTGAGACGAGGAAAGAGGTCAGGGAAGCTGTTCCGGCTTCCTGCAGTACCTTGAGTAAACCAAGACTCACTGCTTGCATTTGGTGAGCTGTGAGACTCGCAAGCGAACTGCCGTAAATATCAGTGACGAAATCTAGGAGCAGGATTTCGACTCGCTGGTGGCGTTGCATTGAAGGTTGACGCACCAATTGTTCTTGCCGGCCGTCGGGTCATGACTGATTCCATTGTGCGTCGTTCTAGAAGGTCATTATTCTGCACATAGGAGAATTCTGATTCAGTGTCTATGGTTGCTACAGACAGCCGCCCTCCTACCCCGGGTACGACTCACCCTCGGGCTGGCCACAAATTTCGGATCGTAGTTGACCTGACAACAAAACAAATACGCAGGACAAAGCGGCGGCTCAGTTTCTTAAATCTCTCAGTGTGCATACTTGAGCTGGTTGCTTACCCTGATGAAGGGCCTGATCAACTCCTTCTTTTCATCAAGCGTCAACTTTTTCTCGATCGGTTTCGGCATCGCCGCGAGCAAGTCCGAATGGGCTGCTTTTCTGCACACGGCAAACGCAAACTCGCACTATGAGTACCTCGTTAATCTAAAGACACGAATCCCAAGCTGGACATACGCAGACGTTGCGAACAACAGGGTGTGTCGAATCTTGAAGGAGCGATGAATCTTGTCTTCGACCAGGATAGCTTGCGCGATCATGCCTCCCATGCTGAAGCCCAAGAGGTCGATCTCCTTCCAGCCCAATCTCTACAGAGGTGTATCATTCGGAGGATGTCACAGATGAGTTCACTGCCAGCGTACGCATGTGAAATCTAATGCCGAGCGCTCGCCGTGTGGGGGCCGAGCTGGTTCCCCACTTCAAACCGTTCGTACCTTGACGATGGAGATGACGTCCATGCCCATATCCCTAATACTAAACGCAACCGCTTTGTGCCCCTTTGCAATCTTCGACGATCCCATTCCACGGTTATCAAAGATAAGTACTAGAGGAGAGAGCGAGGAAAAAAGGAGGGCAGTGACCCCCGATTAGTTAGGAGTGTCTAATGAGCTTGACGGGCAAGAGCTAGAGCGCTAGAGCGTACCGGGTCGGGTATTGCCCAGGTGTTGAGCGAGAGGTAACCAATCGACAAGGCCTACTGCGCTCAGACTGAAACCGCAAGCCGCTCATTAGTCTATGAATCCAACTGGAGCCGGGTCAATGATGTCCACTGACCCTTGCACCAACACCAACGGCGTCTGGGCTCCCAAGTGTTCTCGTCCGAGCACCTTGTACCCAAACGAATACCCATCGTGCCTTTGGAACAACGACACCGCGAAAGGTGGGTATTGAGCTGAAGAAGTGGACATGGTTTGCTTTTTGCTTGTCCAAAAGATACGAGAGCCACGGGTAAGAAGAAACGAGCCAGAGGAAAGAGAGGATTAGAAATATTCCGGATGTGCGAGGAAGAGCCTGCCCGCACGCCGATCGCACGAGGTCACACGCTCCGGTGCGGTCAAGTAACCGGGCCGCGCTGGCCCGGGGGCCGGGTTTATGGGCCCCCGTTTGGGCAACAAATGGATCTGCGCGTGCGGGGCAATTTGCGCGTTACGATTCGTTTGTACGCGCGCCGAAAATCGTGCAATTGCGCACCAATGGGCCTTCATACGCGCGTCATTCACAGCTTTGCATCCCTTGGACGCACTTTTGGTCTCTAACGCGCTCTGACTCCGTCGGAGTTGTGCGCTTTCCAGGAAGAACATCTGTTTCTGGCCCCTATTGGTGGTCCACGCGCGTTTCGCTCGCCGCATGTCACAGTCCGCGTCTGGACGAGTTTGTGTTCGCATGTGGTCGTCAGCGCCGGGGACCCACAACGCGCTTTCACCGAACTTGGCTATAAGAAGTGGTTTCAGTTGATGTTGAGATCGGGACTTCAGGGAGCGACTTACGTTTTTTTTTGGAAGGGACACTGCAAGGTCAATGTCACGGTAATGGACCTCTTGACCGGTGATAGCTTTTTCTTGTGCGATGGTGGACGGTCAGTGAGAAGAGGGGGACAAGGCTGTAATGATGACGATGCGGTAGAATTGTTAAATCAGCTTACCCATACAGGAATTTAGTTGATTGTACGCGTGACTTGCATGAAGAGGGGCTTGTTCCTGGCATGTACCCGGATCCGATGCGGCACGAACTGAAAGCGAGCGTGTGGGGCTTGTCTCGCCTGGTTGAAGTACGTGTGTGCTTGGACGAAACGCCAGAATACGGTCGATATGCGGTAAATTCGAGCAGTGCTGCTGCGATTCGAGCCACCTTCTCTTTGGGGACCCGAAAAGCGAGGTGGCGAAACACGTCTCGTCGGCGGAGAATGTTCGAGATGATGAACGGGAAAGACGGGTCGCACCGAAAATCGCTGTCGTATAGATTGAGCCAATGGTTGACTTGCTCCTCCAGAGAAATCTTGACGTCGCGCTCGACACAGACACCGACGAGACCGAATGGATCGAGGTGTGGCCACCTTGCAGCTTTGAGAGCAGGAAGTCATCCGAAGATCCCCACAAAGGGTCGTCGCCTGTCGGAATGACATGGGGGGGCTGGTCTTGCAGTGGTTGAAATAACGGAGAGCTTTCTCAGAGAACTGCCACGAGTGAACTGGTTCGTCGGTAGCGGGTGGCGGCACATGGACGTGTTCGAATACTGGTTCATCAGAGTCGTTATGCGCTGTTGCGTAGCCTTCAAAGAGCGATGATGTTGGTTCCACTGTCTCTGCGGTAAACACATTCGCCAAAACTGCGTCGGGCACGAGACTGTCTCCATCCGAGGTTTGTCCATCCGACACTTGGGGAGCAACCGAGACGGAAGCCGAAGCCGAAGTGGAAGCTGAAACCGCCGTGGGTGCTGGAGAGGTAGAGTTGAGCACACCAGAATTGCGTCGAACGAGCTGTGCAAGTCTTTCGCCATTAAAAAAGGAGACGGCAGAGTACGCCGGATTCTTCCTTTCGTTGATCAACCACCTGAGCATCTTTTGGATCCGACTCTGCTTCACGATCATGGGTCGACACTTGTCCAGCTCCGCAAGGTTGGGGTTCCCTCTGCAGAATAGAACGCACACACTGTCAGCGAGTTCCTGGACTAACATAGACAGTACATCGGTGAACGAAGCGGTGTTCTGGCTGAAAATGAGGGTGTTTCCGCGCGTATATTCTTGTTGAACTTTGGGATCTCCGAAACGAGTTAGCTTGTACACGCTCTTGTAGGCTCTGGCGCGCGCAGCGAAGAGGTGCTCAAGCTGACTCGCGTAGGAGAAGCGTACTCGGACATCAGCGGGGACATGATCCAGTGCGCGATAAAATCCGTTGCTCAACGACCGAGAGGGCTTAGTCGGTGGCCCTGTGGTAGGGAACAACAGTTTGAAGCAGTCTGGACAGAGTGAGCACTGAAGCGTATTGTTCATGGGCGAGTACGCGATCTGATCGATTAAATCTTTCGGTCGCTGAAGACCTCGGGGATGGATGAGTGCGCCCCGCCAAGCTGAAGAATCGTAAGTCGGTGGTCGGAGGTCCGTACGTAGTGTAGAGTTGGTTAATACCTTCCAAATCCCTGATTCCTCACGCTTGATGTGGTGTTCAGGCACCCATCGTACTTTATGCCCGAAGACTCTCTCGGAGCACACCAGGCAGCAGAAGAGATGGGAACAAGCGTCGGTGAAGTAATCATTCCATTCAGAACGGTGCTCGGTCTTGAACTGATCGGATGCTGGCGCAGATTGCGATGTCACTTTACCGGGTTCTTCTTGTTCGGGTTCGGGATGCAGCGGTGGAAGTCTGTGCAGCGTTTGTTTAGAGTCAGTCGCTGAGACGTTCTCGCAATTCTTCTGGACTTCCTCGTTCAGTCAGGCTCGAAGCACGTCAACAGGTTTTGATGCGTATGCTCTGTGGTCGGGGAGGCAATGTCGACGTGGCGGAGTCACGGGGGTCGCGGGAGTCCAAACAGAAAGGATCAAACGGTGTAATTCGCAGGCGAAGAAAGACTACTAAAAGGACTAAGGTCAAGAGACGCGGCGGCGCCGCGCGCGAGGGCAAGCGTGAGGCCGCAGAGGTTGGCTCGAGGTCGTCGTGAGGCGTAAGCGGAGCGGCGCCTTACACGCGGCTTGTTGTCTTCTGAAGACATACTCATTTGAACAAGCATCACAGTTTGGATCGCACGACCAGACGAGTACTCGTAGGAATCGCTCTTTCGCAAGCGGGTTCCTCCTGGAGTATCCTTCCACATGGTGCGCCCGACAAAGCTCCTTCAGGAGATCCATGCTGAAGTTGATGCTGCTGCGCACGAGCTGCCCAAGACTGCATTTGACAACCACATCTTCGAGTACTGACACTCAACTATTGCGTAGGAGCGGACCGGAAGACACACACTGTGCTCGATCGGTGCGGCAGGAGGATCGGCTGTCGCTAGTGGTGGACGCGGGCTTAACACGTTATGGAGATTCGAGGCGTTGAGCGTTGTGGGTGTGGGCTGACCTCGATGGTGCGGAGGTGTACAAGATCAGAAAGCAGTGACATTCCGGCGATTGTGTGATAGCCTGTCTTAGAGATGCGAGGAAACTCGGTCCAAGTTAGAATAAGGCAGTACAGAGAGACGTAAAGGAGAGGGCCGGGCGGTGGCAACTTGCTAACGGAGGCCAGCCTGAGTGCGCTAGCTTGCGCTTGTCTGCGCTAGTATGTAGTGCGCTCTGGCGCGGGAACTCGGGAAGGCTGATGACGCCCAAGCTAAGTGCTGAGAGAGCCGACTCGGCAGGTTAGGTAACCTTAGGTTAGCAACCGGGCTGGTGGCCACTGGCCATTGAGAATTAATGATCGGCGCGCTTAGCCGGGTCCTCCTATCCGGGGGAGCATTGTTCAAACCGATCGGCGCTGACACCGAGTCGGACTCTCCTATTGCGCTCAAAGGCAGGGTCCTCCCATCGGGGGGAGCATTATTTAAAGTTTAAAGCCATAAATTCCAGCTAGTCTTATTCCAAGATGTTCGCACCAATCGGCGCTGATATCGGGCTCTCCTATTGTGGTTTCGACAGCCACGCGCGTGCGGGGTATTTCGGCCATTTCGTCCAATAAAATCTCAGAATACAGTCAGACCTGAGAAAATTTATATCGCCCAATCTTATACCTGTCAAAATTTATGGACTTTTCAATCTCCCGACTTTTTTGGCTGACAGAACCTGTCCAATCTTATACCTTATAATTTATGGGGTTACAGGTCAAATTATAAGATAAGAGAGAGCCGGAAATGAGCGATTGATCAGGAATTGGCCTCTCCTTCGGCGTTCTTGTTGACGAGCCGCCTGCTGGAAGGGTCCGAAATGCCCCGAAACAGCCGAGAAGCGAGCACAGGAGAGCAAAGGAACAAGTACGACCCAAGTGATATCTTCAACATGGACGAAACCGGTCTCTTCTATGCGTCCGTCTACGGGCCTTGCTCGGAACGGTCGAAATGGTGTCAAGATGAGTAAGACTCGCATCATTGCGAGCGAGACATGAGGCGTGGAACGACATCCGCCCCGAGACGATTGCCAAGTGCTGGCGCCACGCTCAAATCTTGTCTCATCGCAAGGACAAAGGATCGACCGACCATACACCTCTTCCCAACGGTCGCGGGCCTCTCAATGGCGATCGCGGCATCATCAACGCGATGAATGCTCTGAAGACGGCGAACGATGAGCTGGTCGAAAAGGGCATAGTTACGAGCAACGAGAAGATGAGTATCCACTTTCTCGTCGATGGAGGTGGAGAACCTTGCTGGTGGGGCTGAATTGACCGATCAGGAGATTGCGGACCTGGTCATTGCCGAAGAGTTGAAGGAGAATTGCGAGGGAGAAGGAGGAGAGGAGGAAGGGGAGATAGAGCTCCGACCGGCGGAGCGAACGACGCTGCAGGAGGCAATCTCAGCGCTTGATGTTTTCCTTAGGTTTGCTATGAATGGATACTCAGATCCAACGTATTTGATTTCTTTTGAGGACGAGGCTAGGAGGATTCGCAGGACTCTTGTTGCCGAGCAGGATGCCGCGAGGATTCAGACGACAATGACTTCGTATTTCCAGCGTCAGTAGGTCAAGATATTTTTTCTTGAAGCTTTCAAAACTTGTTAGATGTCATCATGCCTCAGTAGAGGCCGTACATTGGCTGCAATTCAGTGATTCGGGCCTTCTGAATTTCCTCCCCCTCCAAAGTCAATGTATCGACTCAAACGATGCACGAAAATTCTTGATTTGATGTAGGAAGCTCAAAAACGGAGTCTCAGGTCATAATGTAGTGATCTGAAGCCGCACTCTCCAAGCTTATACCTGTATTAATTTATGGGAAAATCCGTCCACCGAAAGTATAAATTTTCTCAGGTCTGACTGTAGCATCATTGACGCGCCGCGGGGCGGCGACGAGTCCCTGAACCTCTTAAGCGCGGCGCGGTCGAGTTTGACATCGAAAGGGCATTCATCTCAATTCTATACCAGTTGGTAAAAATGAGCTATGTACTAGAAAGCGAGTAGATTGGTCAGGCGCCCAAGTGTCCGAAGCCCGCGAGGCCGATTTCGTCTTCGTCCGAGTCGGCGCTGCTATTGTCGCTGTCCGACTTGATCTTTTTGGCTGCAAAAGGGGGAGGCGCCGCCGGGGGTGAAGAAAGGTCATGTCAGGTTGACTTATGACCTAGTGTTAGGCGCATCGGTGTCTCCACTTACCCTTATTAGTTAGGTCAGCAAAGTCCAATTCGAACTCGGCCTCGTACGCAGACCTCTTCACAGGCGACTGAATGGCCGATGAATTTGGAGGCGTGCCCTGGTATCGTGGTGCCGAGGAGGTCTCAGTAATTTTTATTTTTTTCCAAAAAAAAAAACGTGGTTCAAGAGTAAGAGACCATGCTGATGGGGGCCCACCGCTGCACTCACCGATCCGCTGGCAGCAGGCTGAGGTGCACTGGCAAGTTGACCATGGATACGGGCTGCCACCGGGGTCAATTGATAGCGTCCAATCCATTGCTCTTTTCTCTTGTCTTCGTACACATGGATCTGTACGTTGCACATAATCCCCCACACATCCTCTGCTTGCAGAATTCTGTGTGCGTATTTTTGTCGATTCGGGTCGTCTGCGAAGGAAACCGGGAAGGGCGTCGGCGCGGCCAGCTCCGTCGGTTTTCCTTGAAAGCGGAGCTGCAACAGCTCCTTCCAAAATTGTAAATATTCCCTTTCCCTTGCCGGATCCTCACTATCCGTCCCCAGCCAAGGAGGGATAGAGGCCTTGATGCTGGCAGGGAACGGAATGTCGCGGCCAAAGACGTGATTCCAGCAGCTGCAGAGGATGCCATTGTGAAACCAGTGTCAGTTTGGCCCCTTCTGCGGGAACTTAGTAGGTGAGGAAAACGCGCACTCACTCTTTTGTGGTCACCACACGGTGGTGGATGTATGCACTATTTGAGTTGTGCCCAAATGGCGATGCCAGTTCCGCAAGTTCTAAAGTAGCCGGTGGGAAGCAGCAGCAGAATCAGCACCCTGCTCGCACGCCCAACACCGCCTAAGTTTAGCAAGCGGCTCACCTTGAAGATTCTTGGGAAGTTTTCAGTGCTGATGAAGGGTTTGAGACACCCCTCCTTGGAGCCAGTTTCGAAACTTTACGACCTCCGAGTCGGACTCGAACAGCTCCAGTCGAATCTCCCGGTCGAGATCTTCAGGCCTGACGCAATCTCGCTCAAGGCGCCATTGCTGGCTGTTCAGGGGCATGTATAGAAGTTTGCGGCATCTTGGTTAGCGCTAGCGTAGATCTCCAGTAACACGTGGCTTCGCTTACTTCTTTGGCACGATTCCCCCTGCAGGATCAATGGTTCGGATTCGGCCTACAAGCCATATGTTGGCGACTTCACCGGCCGCCGTAGCCAGTGCGACTTCGCCGTAGTTCCCCGGTTTCTGTAGACGAACGAAATCGGCAACCGAGCGATGATCGACGATGTTGGCTAAGGTCGTCAGGGAGGCGTTGTAGACCTCGACAATGTTCTGAACGTCTTCGTGGGTGAGGGAAGCTCGCTCGTAATCTAGAGCGTCGTATGATGTTGGCAGTCGGTCGGTCAGAGAGGGGGTCGGAGTCATTGCTTGTCGCGGAAGAGGTAGATGAAGGTGGCGTGGTGACAAGTAGGGAGAAAGAGATGAAGAGACACCGAGGTTTTGAGGACAGCCAAAGATGCTCGCGGAGTCGACCCTGAACCATCCTTTGGACCATAGTAACTGTGTAGTACGACTGGCTGCTCTCGAGCTCGAGGGCCAACTTGTGTCGTTAACCTGATCTCATCAAACTCATCAAGTGTATTCAGCTGAGAAGGCGCTTCAAATGTTTGAAGGTGAACAAGGTGCGACAAAGTAGACATGTTGGCTCGAGAAGCGTGCAACTGGGCACAATCAGCAGCAGAATTTGACTCGAGTTCGGGGATCTGGATCAAGACAGGCTAAATCCGGGTGGTAGGTCTGGCCAGTGTCAGGTCCGGATGCTGTAGGTCTGGCTACTAGGTCCGCGCTCCTAAGATGACAAGAAGATTGCAGAGTCTGACAAGCCCACAAGTGTAGAGTGTGCAGGGTGGGTCGGGCCGTGTGCGAGTGACGAATGACAAGGCGGAGCTTCGAAAGCGACGTGGCTCGAAGGGCGTGAAACCTGTGCTATTCTTAGTTCTTGCCCTCCCGCCCCGTTATGGCAACCGGCCCCCCCTCGCCCCCCTATGCTTTATGACGAGGTCCAAGGAGTCAAGGACCAAGAGCGACCCCGCCGCCGGGTCCGTGACTCCGTGGTCCCTGTCTCCTGAGTCCTGATCCCTGAGCTAGGCCGAACAACGCCGCGCGCGTTTTCATAAAGTGCGGGGAAGCTGTGCCTGAGGACTCAGGGGCCGAATTCTGAGACACTTTGAGATTTGCACCAATTCTGGGCTGGAACCGCCCAATTTTCGAAACGAAACCTTCAGCTCTTTCAGAGCCCCCCCCCCCCATCAGCTCTAACGAGCTTCAGGGATTGGACAAATTTGACGTGGGGGCGGCGAGTGTGTAAAGGAAGGTGGCCGCGCGCGCTGCCAGGCTGGAGTTGCGCATGAACGACCGGAGACGAGGCTAGACGAGTCGCGGGCGCGCAGAAGCCGACGGCGGCGCGCGCATACCCATTTGTTGCTAAGGTCGACGCCCCTCCCTTTGGGAGGGCCTTGAGAGTTATCCGCGCTTTTGGCTGAGTTGCCCTCCGAAATTTTGGCCCTGAAAAGTGCCCCCTTGCTGTAGCATGGCGTATATTGGTGCTAACTGAAAACTGGAGGGATACATCTTTACTTCATCATTATTGATGATGCTTCATCGAAGCTTGAAGTCTAGGAACGCTTGATCATCTCGCTACAACAGCTTGAATCAACTGATTCCGAATGACACAGGTTGGCGCACGGACCAGTCGTAGTCCAGTCCGCGTCGAAGGCTGCATAGAGCCAGGTCACTTAAGCCCGGCTGCGCCTCACGCATCCTCTCTCTCCTCCACTCAACATCGCACCTCACCTCATGATGAGCCATGTCGGTACAAACACCCAGGCCGGTTAGGGGACCGCCCCGTCGACATCCATCAATTGAGTTCAGGGCGTCTCCCTTGCGATCAGCTTCAAGGGCCAGTCCTACGACCCCAGCACCGAATCATTCAACCAATCCGACAGCCGTTCTCGGTCACTGGAGGCCACGTTTGACTCACCAGGACCGACGAGATTCCAGCGAATTACGCAAGAAGATCAAAGTGATTCTGGGCGAAAGTCTTGACGAGGACTCTACCCCTCGGCCTGTGCAGATCGAGGCCATTGCTGCCCTTTTCGAACTCGATCAATTTGGGAACCGGAATCGATATGACGCTGTGTTCGTCACAGCGCCAACGGTTCAGGCAAACGTGTTATCTTCGAAGCAATGTATCTCATTTACGGACGCCGGGCCGTCACCATTGTTGTCATTCCACTGAATGCACTGAGCAATCATCAGGTGAGTTTTTCTGCCGACTGGGCTTGCTGGACCGACATTCGTGCTGATTTCCGCAGTCACATGCTTCTTTCAGGCTGCCAGTCTCAATTGAAAGGGAAAGAACGCGATTGTCGTATCTGAGGAGACCTGGAGAGACGGCGAGCTGTACAGGCAGTTGGACGACCCCAATCACAAGATCTCCTTCATTCTGATCGTATGTGCCGGTTGACCTCCTGTTTGAGTGAAGTCCACATGTGTTGATTTTCCTTCCTGTTTGCTGCGTGTAAAGTCTCCTGAAATGCATATCAACAATGCAGATTGGGCAAAGTTGATCTCTAACGAGTCCTTTCGAGAGCGCGTCAAGTTGCCCGTCTATGACGAGGACAGGGGGGTGGTGTGCATCAAGAAGACTGAGGCCAAGATGAGGGACCAGTCGAGCAAGCGCTCGATATATCTGAGCTTTTATCCCGGTCGTAGATGACGAGTCGGATTGGGGAGTTGGGAGGAGATGCTGGAGATTGACTCGCGGTAAAGACGCTTGATGTGCAGAGTAGGCTCGAAGGTTGTAAGCGTCGGCAATATCTCCGTTCTGAATGTGGGCGTAACCAAAAGTTCGATGAAGCAGCTCGGTTCGTCGATCCAATTGCCGATCGTTGACGTGATGTGTGACGTCGATGTTGTGAACGGTCACATGGAAGTACTTGTTCGAGCCAATCTCCTTCAGTTTCGTCGAATTCGCCTTCGTCAAGCTCGCAGCTGCCTGGAGAGTCGCCCAGCGAGATATCGTCAAGCCGCAATCGTACAGAAACATTGTCAATCGGTCGTTCGCTCCACATGCGAGAGTCATGAGACCGTTGCGATGCTGCATGGCGTTGTTCCTTCGGTTGCAAGCGAATGCGATCTGACCCATGACACTGCAGTAAAGCTGCGGCCAGCGTGTTGAAGTTTTTGGTGTCAGTTCGCTGCGATACCCAGCCGAGCCATGGTCAGAAACACTTACAAACTCGATACGCTTTCTTTCGTGACCAGGCTCTTGTTCTTGCCCCGGATCGGAACCATTCTCCGGGGTGGCTTCTTCCATCTCGACATCAGTGGAAGCTGTTGGGTCCTTGTCGCGATTGATTGGCTCGGCCGGTGGAGGGTCTCCGCATTGTGATAGCAAGGTACGAACCCGTCCGCTGATTAAAGGGTTGTCTTCGGCGATTGCATCGAGCCGGGCGTCGATGTAATCGGATGCGAGGACTTCGGGAGTCAAGTCATGGCTAGCGACGAAGGCGGACTTGGTTCGCTTCATCTCTTTAATGATGATTGAGTCGGCCTGCACGCGGATAAGGCAAGTATTCAGTAGCTTTTTCGAATCCAGTACGAAGTGTTGCCCACCTGCTCGGCGATCCAGTCATTGATTCGGCTTCTTGACTCTGCGCCATCCTCGCGTGCAAGTCGTAGAATGAGATCAAGTACACGCTTGAGGCTGGACCAGTTGCTGTTGAATAGCTTTGGTCGGTGTGTTTGAACGCCCTTCAAATCGTGTGGATGGGCTGAAGTACCACGATAGGTATTGACATAGCGAGAGATCGCGGCTACGCCTCGCGGCGGTTGTTCTGGCGAGTTGACGAGGTGTGGCGTCTGCTTGTTCGGGTCATTTTTGGTTTTAGATATTGTCGCGCTTGACGTGGACGACGGTGATCGTGAAAAGAGGAGAATAGCGAAGCGTACGCAAAGGGATCAAGCCGAATTAGCAGGCTCGCCGATGATGAGAGCGCCAATTACACGATGCGCTCGGACCATCTGAGGCCCGATCGACCGAAATCGCAGACTTCGGATCGCTGTAGCTCCACCCACAGCTTATGAAAGCTCTCGCCACTTGGGGTATATCATTTTTAGAGCATAAAGAAAAATAGGGTCCTTCATTTTTGCATGGATGCGCCTACTTGCCAAGTTACAGAGAACCACCCCAAAATGGCCCTGAAATTTCGGAGGGCAACTCAGCCAAAAGCGCGGATAACTCGTAAGCCCCTCCCAGAGGGAGGGCTTAGTTGAGCTTAATTTGTTGCCCAAACGGTGGCCCATACGATTTGGCTTGCGAGGTCTCGGGGCTCGGGGATCGCCCGGTGTGGAATGGTCTCTGCAAAGCAAGGGGCTGGGAGACCAACCATGTCGTTCGGAGAGGGTCAGTGCTTTCATACGAAACTTGAAATTTTTCACTACCTAGACAAGCGTCTTTCCGACGGGATTGACTACTCAGATAGCGACGGGAAAAGTCGTCACGTGACGTCATATTTCCATGGCAGCTTTGCGATCGTGAGAATAAACGCATACGCACTTTACAATACATCCGAGACATCCCTCAGGAGAGGAAGAAACACACAGACACCGTGAGGAGAACCCTTACAGAAGAGATAAGCATCGACAAAAACATGGTTCCAACCAGAGCGAGCAAAAAGGTTCGAGGTTGAGAACCCCAAGGAGCCGCTTATTGAAGCTTGGGGAGGGGTTTCTGCCGATGGAGCATTGACTCGAAGGTGAGTATCACAATAAAACAGTGTACACCCTGGGTCAAACAAGTACTGACCAAGCTAGGGTGAGTGACCATCTCGTGCAAAGCCCGCCCAGCAACGACCATCGGGTACACATGCTCGTTCTTGACGACGCGCGCCTCAAAGAGGACGGGCTTGTCGTTGTCGTACTCCATAAACTCCTCCATCTTGGCCGGAAGGTCCTCAATGTTGTCGCAGAAGATGGACTTGACGCGCATCGACTCGGCGAGCTTGCAGAAGTCCGGGTTGATCATCTGCGTGTGCGCATATCGCTTTTCGTAGAACAGATCTGTGGGCACCGAACTCCAACGATCAGTAATGCGGAGGACGACATCTCCGACGTCTCCAGGGCTCGCGACAACTCACCCTGCCATTGCAAGACCATTCCTTGGAACTCGTTGTTGAGGACCAACACCTTAACACCAATGTTGTACGCAGAGGCCGTGGCCAACTCCATCGCCGTCATTGAGAACGAAGCATCACCATCGATGTCAACGACCTTCTTCTTCGGTGCGGCGACCTTGGCACCGATCGCCGAGGGCAAGCCGTAACCCATCGTTCCCAAACCACCGGACGAGACCCAGCTGCGCGGCTGAGTCCATCGGTAGTGCTGGCAGGCCCACATCTGATGTTGTCCAACACCGGTTGCGACGATGACGTCCTCCTTGCCATGGGCCTCGCACCAGTCATTCAACGCCTCGACGACCTCTTGCGGCTTCATCAACTCGCCCTTCTTGGACGGCATGTACGTGAAGGGATAATCCCGCTTCCACTCGGCGATTTGGTCGAACCACTCCTTGCGCTCGAGCGGCTTCTCGGGGAGGAGGGGCAACAGGGCGTTCAGCGAGTCGAGCACATCACCGGTAATGGCGACGTTGGCGTTGATGACCTTGTTGACGTTCTTGGGCTGGATCTCAAAGTGGATGATACCACCTCGACCCTGCGCAGCGGCTGCCTTGGCGGTCGGGGCGAATGTGTCAATCTTGCCCGTGACACGATCATCGAATCGAGCTCCGAGGGCAATGACGACGTCGGCGCTTTGCATCGCCAAGTTGGCGTAGGCCGAACCGTGCATACCGAGCATGTGCAGACTGTGCGTCTCGTTGTTCTCATCGAACGCACCGAGACCCATCAAGGTCGTCGTGACGGGGATGTTGCCCTCGGCCGACAGACGGCGCAGCAACTCGGGACCCTCAGGTGTCGAGAGCATGCCCTGACCGGCGTAGATGAGGGGTCTCTTGGCATTGGAGATGAGCGTAGCGGCCTGTTGGATGAGTGCATCCGAGATGGGGGTCGACTCGCCACCGACTTGGGACGTCGCTGAGTGCGCGCGCTGGCGCGAGGGCAAACCGGACTCAACCAACTCGGGGTGAGTGAACTTATGCGGAATCGCCTTGCGGAGGATGCTCGCGGTCACGTCCTTGGGCAAATCGACGAGTACAGGGCCCGGTCGACCCGAAGTAGCAATCTTGAAGGCCTCGTTGATCCTTCGGGGTAGTTCGGCAATATCCTTGACCATGACGTTCCATTTTGTGCACGATCGCGAGATACCGACCACATCGGCTTCTTGAAAAGCATCCGAGCCGATCGCCGAAGTGGCAACTTGGCCGCAAAAGACAACAAGGGGGGTACCGTCGGAGAGTGCGTCCTGCATCGGTGTGATGACGTTCGTCGCTCCGGGGCCGGATGTGACGAGCACGACACCGGGCTTGCCACTGACACGGGCGTAACCTTCGGCCATGTGACCGGCGCCTTGCTCGTGTCGAGGGAGAATGAAATCAAAGTGAGGAGAGTCGTAGATGGCATCGAATACGGGCAGGATGGCACCACCGGGGTAGCCAAACACCTTCTCGACGCCGTGCCGGAGCATCATCTCGTGGAAGATCTGACCGCCGGAGAGTCCGATGAAGGATCGATCGAGGTCATTGGGGGAGGAAGGTCGGTCGAGGGGTGATTGGGGTCCAGGTGTCGATACACCGGGGGGTGGCGGTTGTTGGAATGTCGGTGCCGGTTGCGCTCGTCTGTGGATCAGGGAAAGCGGAGGTGATCAGCAAGCAGCCTGCTATCGAAGCACGTTCTCGGCGTGCGAATGGGCTAGGCTGGCAGAACGCTCGGAGTCGGTTTGGTGTGTGAGTTCCCGCCAAAGTCATCGTACATCTTCCCTTTCCAGAATTTCCAGTTCGCTTTGGTTTGGCGGATGCAACAGGTTGGCATCCGTACGCCAATGTGCGAATGATGTTCTGGGGAGTGGGCCAGGAAAAGCCCCGACCGCCGAACGCGCTACGCCACTGGCACAAGATGTGACCCTCCCTCCTTCCCTCGCGACGTCCCGTCCGTATAGGCAACCTGGACTGAGTGAATCGTAGAATTGTAGAGTCGAGCAGTTTACTCACGTCTCGACCTGAGCTTCGGTTTTGGCGGATGCAGTGGCCAACGCGCGAACGGTCTGGCTCCTCCGCGCTACCGTAGCTCGCACCGACATGGACGTCGACGCAGCACTAGTCGACGAGGGCAACGCCGAAGCGACGCGTCGTGTCAAGGTTTGTCTCAACATGGCCAGAGCGGGGTCGAGGGGTTGAGTCGGAAAGCGGCGTGTTTGTTCGGAGCGTGGAATGAGATGACAAAAGTGGGGAAAGGGGAGGCTCCAGCTGGTCGTCGTCTTGGCCGCGGCGCACAATTTTGACTCGGGCCAGGACCTGGCAGCTGGACTCAAGGATTTGACTCATAGCGCGCGCTGGAAAGCCACATTGGGCCGAAAGGCCCGACAGATGCTTCCCTCCCTTATACCGCGGTTTACTACTCAATAACATCATCATTTTTTAAGCACCAATTCTGCCGTGTCGTATCTTCATGAGTGCCCAGTGCGCAGAATCTTCGCAGTCGCCACTCGGCGGGCAGTCCTATATCGATCGACCCGTATCATTTGATCACGAGGATTTTTATTATTAATTTGATAGACTTCATTAACAGCATAGCTATATTAATACCTAGAAATCTTCGGAAAAGTCGGAGGGAATGCTGTTACGCACATTGGCAGAATCCAGTAGTGTAGGACTCATTGACCCTGAACCAGGATCAACCATTCCCACTAAAACCCTCTTTGGTGGCTTACAGAGACACTAGGCGACCCTTGGACTCCTGAATAGAGGCTCGAAGCCCCTCGAAGTCCGTTTCGGTGATCGGTTCCAAAAGATCCGACGAGAATCGGCGACGGCGACAGAGCTTCCAGATTGAGTGAAAGAAGAGGACTCGTAGTTCGACAAGTCGACGTTCCGAGCGAGGCACGACCGGACATACAAAGTCCACAAAGACTGGGTGGGGGGTCGGGGACAGAGCAGACCAGAGACGCCGGGCAAATGGGCAGCCGACCGCGAGGTGGGCCAGGCACTCGGGTGCTTCCGAGAGGCACATCACACAGGAGGCCGATCGATTGTTGGGGTGAGGGCTGGTTGGGGAGGCGACTTGGCTGCCCGGATGGAGGGACCCCAGGGAGAGAAGGTGGCCGGTATCCTCTGCGTCCGAGTGAACCCGGCGAACCTTGCGCAAAGCCTTCCACCAAGCGTTCCAACGTTGCTCAGGCAGATCGAATACCTTCTGGTGTCCCTTGGGGAAGATAGGAGGGAAAATGAAGGCTTGGTGGCGTTTGGACGCGTTCACAAACGAAGACGGGGTCATCACCTCGCCATCGGGCCCTCGAAAAAGCGTCGGGTTTACCGAGAGTTGTATTCCGTGGCCCGCTGGGAAGTAGAGTACGTGCGTCGCCCATTGCTCGAGGTTCTGGCTCTTGGAGAGTTCCGGGGGATTGAGCGTGGTCACCGACGCCCAGGCTTCGAAGTATCGGACCCAACGTGCAGGAAGTAGTTTTCTCGTCTTTCTCACCGCATGGTCCCACTTCGGGGGAGGATGGCAAAAGTATGCCCACCAGATCCAGATCCAAGGGCGACGATGCTGGTTGGGGGCCGGTCTGGACAAGGTGAAAGGGGTTGGTTCGTTCGGTGCCTGGAGGCGAATGCGGATGTCGAAGAGGTGGCGTGTGAAGCAGCCGTCCGGGGCCCGGAGCTGGAAGACCCACTTCGCGTGATCGATCGCTAGACGCCGAGGCAGATCAATCAAGCCGAAGCCGCCGTGATCGAGAGGGGTGCAGAGGCGCGACCGGGAGACCTTCGGACGTCGCTGAGTACCATCCGACGCTCGACCGTGAATGGCGAGCATGGCCGCATCCTCGATCTCCTTGACAACGCTCTTGGGGGCGGGGAGGAAACGGCTGTAGTACAGGATCTTTGTGTAGCAGTAGATGTTGATGATCGAACACTTTGCTGCATATGGGAGATCGTACATCGGAATTGAGCGTATCCGAGCGAGAGGAAGCCACGGACCATTGCAAAGGCTAAAATACAGCGCCATCTATATCTCAATCTGAATCACTCAATTCGCCCAACCTCGGTCCAAGACGATCTTCCTCATCCGTGAGGTTGAGCCTTTCGGTCCTTTCGTACAAGGACGTATCGACCTCGACGCCATCTTCTTCTTCGAATCCACTGTCCGATGTGACGAGGGATGGATCACCCTTTTCGAACAGTTGTCGACCTGGTCGCCATGATGGTACAGATCGTCAGCTTCACCGCAGGATCGCAGCAGCACGTCGCCCGACTCCCGACTCTCCCGACTGACCACTCAATTTGGACCTAAACTTCTTGGCCTCTTCTCTCTCTTTTGGTGGTAAGGCCTTCAGTCTTTCCTGTTCCTCCTTGGCCGACACATCGGCCATCTCCTTCTCGAATTTGAGCCTCCACTGCGTGAACGACTCGTGCGTGACTTTGGTGCCTTGCATTTTCCGTGTCGCGGCCTGATCGCGCATGGTCGGGGTCGAGGAGATGGGAGTCGCATCAACACCTACTCCAGGTCAGTGATGAGCTTGCTTTCTGATCGTCGCTCACCTCTTCTTCCCTCTCGTGCCGCTCGGCTTCCTCCTTTGCGATTCTCACTTTCCGCTGTCGGACCAGCTCGGCCAACGAATCCTTCAAATACGATGCTAGAGTGTACACCATTGCCTGATGTTGAAATGGACTCGGTCAGAGTAGCTCCAGCTTTACAGATTATGCAACCAACGACGAACCATCCCCAAATTATCCTCAGCAGCGGACTGTAACCCCGTGACGAGAGTCGAATTCTCTTCATCCGAGATCTCGCCTTCGATCGCTTCGACCTCGATGAGAGGGATCTCGTCCGGGTATGTTGGCGTGTATGTGATGAGGAGGGAGAGGACGTCTGTTTGCGGGGCCCGAAGTATCGTGTTTGAAGATGGTCCGCAGCGGTTGTTCGAGCCAGCAAGAGTTGGTAGGGTAGGGGTGGAGGATCTAGGTCAGCTTGAGCCTCGCCTGGGGTAGTGGTCTTGGTCGCAGTGGGAGTAGGAACTTGCATGGATCAGAAGGCGATTGTTCCTCCGGCTCAACCTTGAGTGCAAGCTTGTCATCCGATATCACTGTGACATCGAGAGCAGCACGAGGGTCGTCAGCCCCCCTCGGTCTTCAGCCAGAGCTGCTTGGGTAGCCATTGTAGACACTCACTTGTGAGCTCATCGGCAAAAATACTCTCCAACACCTCGACTTCGGACCGTCGTTCCTCCGCGTAATCTATTCCAGAGCAGGCCGCGGGGGAAGATCGACGAGGAGTCAGTCGAGCTGCGAAGCAGGTATAAGGTGGGAAACCGACTGACCGGTCATGTTGGGGTATCCGAAGAGCTCTTCTGACGATCTTCGCTAAAACCGAGGTGATGAATACTTGCTGTTTGGGCGAAGGGAGTACAAGAGCAAGAGCTTCGACTGATCAGCGCGAACGTGACGTTCAATCGGTCTCCCAAGTCCACCCTAGTCCACCCTAGTCCACCCAAGCTCAGGCCTCCTCTTTGCAAGCGATCTCAGCAGACCAGTCCCTTCTTCGTGCCCGTCTAATCAATCATAGCCGGAAATCGCGTATATGGATTTCAGGATGCTATAACACAGACGATCGATCGCCCAAACATGCTCCCACTCTCTCGAAGGTCAGCGACCACGACCGACGCTCGTTCTTCGTTGAAGACCTTGCTCGACATCCTCGAGCCAATTCAGCTTCAAGATCCTGACTCTGCGGCGAGTCAAGCGGAAGGATAAGAGGGCATTAGTTCAAGATCGCAGTTTCACCTATAGGAACAGCACATACCCTCTTTTGTTCGTCAATCTCCTCCTTGATCTTGAGTTGATCTGGTCAGATGATACCTCGTAGTGATTGAGATCACGCCACGATCTCTCGTTGTGCGCGATGCGCTGGAATGATCTACCACACGAGTGCACCTTGCGTGAATGGACATGATCGTGGGCCAAGATCTTAGGTCTTTTCTAAGCTCAACTAAGCCCTCCCTCTGGGAGGGGCTTAGGAGGGCTTAGGAGGACCCCAGAAAGCCCAGCCGGAGGCGCAATTTTTTTTTTTTGACATTTTGAGGACCCAAAATCCTGAAAATCGTTGAGGCGCATTGCAAAAATTTGACATTTTGGGACGAAACACACGTTTTGCCCCCGAGGCGCCTTTGCAGATTTTGACATTTTTCCCGTGGGTCGACGCAATTTTGGCCTACCCTGAGCAGCCTTCGGCATGACTTCGGGCCCGTTCGCCTTCGCTTCGAGACGCGCGTCGCGATGCTCGCGCTTGTACAGGTCACTAACCATTGTTTGTGATCTTTTTATTAGTGCAGTGGCTGTTAGATATTAAGATACCAATAGTTCCCACTGTAATTGAAGCGGCGCCGGTTCCGTTCTGACATTGAAGCATAGCACGACAACATGATCCCTTCCTTATTTCTCGACGAAGACCAGGACTGCTATGTGAACAGACGATGACTTCGATCGATTATCGCCGCTCACCAACATGACGATCGCCGAGCTCCTCGCCTTCGATGTATCATGTCGCTCCCGCCGACGCGTCTCTTCACACCGAGTTGTCCAAAGACAAGCCCACCCAGTAATCGACCTACCCTACCTACTCTCCAGACCAGAGACGCGTTTCTCGCCACGGATGCTCTGATCAACGCACGCAAGAATGGATATCGACCTTTGGCCGTCGCGTCGACAAGCAGTACGGAGCGCTAGCACAACGCTCTCGTCATTTTGGATCGCTAGACGGAGTTGTAACCACTGCCACACCATTGGAGATCGGATCTCTGATCTGCTTTGGCCTCAAGCGTGGCACGCAGCTGCGATTAAATTGCTTATGGAGAAGAACCGCTGTCCATAGGAGCTTCGCTTCATCGAGAAAGCATGCTATTTCACTCACATTGATGGCACTATGCCGTTCCGCATGATTGATGGTCGACAGGTCATCGAGTCATTAGGCCCGCCAACGACTACATATTGTCCCACAAGGATATCACCTCATGTTACCCCGACGAGCGCATAATCGGCACGTGCGCACGTGCCGAGCAAAGATTGCCGCCCTTCGGAGCATGCGCGGGCCACGAGATGCCGCCGGTAGAATCTCTACAAGCCGCACAACTGCCACCGCGGATACAAAGAGCTTATGTTCAAACGGAAGTCTGACAACGAAGTAGCGAGTCCGCCTGTAAAGCAAGGAAGGCCCTCTTGATGCCTGGGACCACGCGCGACACTATTAGCCGAAGAGGACGCGCGCCGCAAGCCACTTTCTATTGGCCGCCGCGCGCCCGCAAACGCTCGGAACGCGTTTTCGAGGACGTTTGAGCGATTTTTGGAGCATGTAGAACACATTACCCTAACTAGTAAAAAAAAAGTGTCGATCCGCGACCCATGTACCTAAAATCGCTGTTTTTGTGTGTGTTGCGGTCCGGAGGGCCGCAAGTGGTGAATGTATCATTATACTGTTGAGTCTGCCGCACCTGCCTGTGGTATCGGCGTCCCAATCAGAAGTCATGTACGCCCCTTTCTGCATTTTCTGGACCATAAAAGTCGAGCTACAGCCCGACTACAATTTTTGTCGAGTTTTGATATGGTGGGGAACTATTGATCAGTTTGTGTAGGATTTAATGTATAGCAAGCGCGTGGGTTTGCATGACATTTCTTCTACAGATCTCAGGCGTGGTCTCGCTGCGCGATGCCCCGTCGATCACGTGACGTATTTTTGGCATCCCGACACCGGTTTTAGGGGCTCAACAACAACGTGAGGTTCCAGACACTGTGAATACGCTACTCTCTCTAATTTTCGCCTTTTCCCTCCCACTCTCATCGAATTTTCGGGACAACCGCGCCGAGTCTCTCGCGCGAGGGTAGCGCCGGACGATAGCGTACCGCCGTACCATGGGAGACCATGGGCCTGCTCGAGCGCCCGCTCTGCTCGACTCTCCTCTTCGTCCCCCTCCGATCAACAGAATCAGCTCCCCGCGCGTGACGACAACCACTCGACCGATCTTGGTATTGCGACCCGTATAAGCGTCCGCCGTACAGCTTTGTAGAACGGACAGCGTGGTCAGCGCGATGGCCCGATGGCCGAACCGACGCTGAGCTACTGCTGAGCTCGCCCCACCACCACCTCTTCCCGCGCAGAGCAAGTGCACAGGCCTTGAATCGCGCTCAAACCACTCAAGCCCCACGTTCCCATCCGCGACTACCTCGGCCCCAGATGACCGTGTGTACCCACTGCAAGGCTCGACACTGGGAGTGCGAAAGGACGAAGTTGACCGGACACTTCAGCACGTGCTGCTCGCAGGGCAAGGTGCAGCTACCTCCCTCTCTCCGGCCCAATCCCAACTTTCAACAGCTACTTGAAGGCTCGGATAGCGGTCAGTTGCCCCGTCCAACGTCATTCGTCTGTAGTAGACCCACATGCTGAACTGTGCGACCCACCTACACAGAACCTAAGGCATTCCGGCGTTCCGCGAGAATGCCCGGTCGTACAACAACGCGCTGTCGTTCACTTCGCTCGCTACCCACTTTGACCAGACTCGACCAGGCACTCAAGGACCCCGCATGTTCTGCGTTTTTGGTTGCTTTTAGCATCGACTCGCCGCCTTGATTCCTGCCGTCAATCAGCGCCCAACCTTTGCCAAAACATGGCTCATCTGCCCGGCCGAGGCCACCGACACTCAACTTGGACGCGACGGCGCAGACAGTCGCATACAAAGATCTACTTTGACCAAGCTCGAGTCCATGTTGCGTACCAAGAATCGCTTTGTGAGGGAGTTCGCATCGGCCAAAACCCGCGCAGAATGGGATACGGCCAAAGAATGGGTCCTACGCCACTTGGCCGAGACCGACGCACCCACAACCCTCCTACCTCGAGCACAGAAATGGCGATGCTTATCTGCGATTCCGACACCTACACAGAGACCGTGGACCATAAGACCTTGTTCTCCAGGTGCACGGTGATCGATGTCCCGATGGTCGGCCCAAGTACCAAGTCATCAGCTCGCTCCATCCGTCTGCGTTGCCTCTCCGGTAGCCACTACTATTTCCTGCAGGGGAAGATGGCTTCCACCCCAACGCTTTCTCTTTGCGGGTTTCGCCAAGCTGGGCTGCCAATCGCCAGAAACCTAGAGCAGATCGACAATGGTGTCCAATCGCGCGAGGTTCTTGCCGGTCTCGGTCTTGATGACGAAGGCGAAGAGGAGGACGAAGACCGCGAGGATGAGGATGAAGACGGCGAGGAAGGGGACGAAGAGGATGGTGATGGCGAACGTACGCGTCTTCGGCTCTTTCTCGGATGTTCCATTCTGTTTAAGGCGCAAGCACTGATATTGAACTTTTGAACACCTAGGACGAAGGTCAAGTAAAGGGGTCGAGGTGGCGAGTCTCGCGTTCACAATTATTTGCGCACTACTTGCCAAACGCGACGAGTACTTCTCAATCCCGCATTGCACCCAACGTCCCTTCCTGGAGTTTGTGATTTTAGGATATACTCCCAAGTCGAGACCGATCGACTCAACACATCCGGTTGCATCAAGAGAACCTGCGCCTCACCACGACCCAAGGCATCAACGGCTTCACCCCGAACCAAATCGGACGTTCGATGACCTTGGGCTCGACGTTCAAGAATAGACCGCGCGACATCACGCAGCGATACCAGGATGCGATGGCGTGCGTTGTCAAACATGGAAAGCCTCCGCTGCTCATCACGATGTCGCAGACCCCGAATGACCGGAAATCAAGGCTGCACTGGGGCCGAATGACAAAGCATGCAACCGTCCGGATCTCATTGCATGAGTGTTTGAAGCCAAGTCCGGCAACAAACGGCGTGCAGGCTGTTTCGGCGATGATGTGGGATAAATGGATTTTGTTTCTTTGCTGTACTTCGTATTGTGTTTTCTCAACCTCTGCGCTGAAATCATGTAGACTGTTCGATCATCCTGCTATTTTTTGGATTTCTTCCTCCCGTTAATTTAACGGGTTCCCACTGGTTTTGATAATATTTTCGAGGCGCATGTGAAATTTTGACATTTTGGGGCCAAAATAGGGTAAAAAACTTTGACAAAACCAGTGGGAACCCGTTAAATTAACGGGAGGGTGAAATTCAAATAGCAGGAGAATCGAACAGTCTACATGATTTCAACAGAGGCTAAGAAAACACACTATAAAGTACAGCAAAGAAACAGTTCTCCATTCATCGCCCAAACAGCCTGCCCGTTGCTTGTTGCCAAAATCGTCGTCGCAGAGTCGGTTCAACTTGGCTTCAAACACTCGTGCAATGAGATCCGGTGCTTGGTCGCTCGGCCCCAGTGCAGCCTTGATTTCCGGCCATTCGGGGTTGCACGTCACCGTGATGAACAGCGAAGGCTTTCCATATTTGACGACGCACGCCATCGCATCTTGGTAATGCTGCGTGTTCTCGCGCGGTCTATTCTTGAACGTTGAGCTTAAAATCACTGAACATCCAATTTGACCGGGGTCAAGCTGATGATACCTTGGCCCGTGGTGAGGCGGAGGTTTTCTTGATGCAACTGGAGGTAAGTTGAGTCGATCGGTCTCGACGTGGGAGTATCCGTCATCACGAACGCCAGGAAGGCACGTTGGGTGCAATGCGGGATTGAGAAGTACTCGTCGCGTTTGTGCAAGTAGTACGCAAAGAATTGTGAACGCGAGACTCGCCACTTCGACCCCCTTTATTTGAGCTTCGTCCTAGGTGTTAAAACGTTACATGTCAGTCTGTGCGTGCGCCTTAACAAAATGGAACATCCGAGAAAAGCCGAAGGCGCTTACGTTCACCATCACCATTCTCTTCGTCCCCTTCCTCCTCGTCTTCATCCTCTTTGTCGGCGAAGGGTGACCCAGCTTGGTTGGAACTGCAAAGAGGAATGTTGGGGAGGCAGTCATCTTCTCCTGCAGGGAATAGGAATGGGGAACGGAGAGGCATCGCAGACGGATGGAGCAAGCTAACAACTTGGTACTTGGGCCGACCGTCGGGACATTGATCACCGTGCGCCTGAAGAATAAGGTCTTGCGGTCCACGACCTCACATGTTGGTGTCGGAATCGCAGATATGCATCGCCATTTCCGTGCTCCACGTAGGAAGGTCGTGGGTGCGTCGGTCCCGGCCAGGTGTTAGACAGAGGCGCAGGACCCATTCTTTGGCCGTACCCCAACCTGCGCGGGCTTTGGCCGATGCGAACTCCCTCACAAAGCGATGTCCGGTGCCCAACATGGAGTCGAGCTTGGTCAAAGTAGATTTTTGTATGCGACTGTCTGCGCCGTCGCGTCCAAATTGAGTGTCGGTGGCCTCGGCCGGACAGATGAGCCATGTTTTGGCAAAGGTTGGGCGCTGATTGACGGCAGGAATCAGGGCGCCGAGAGTGCCCGAGCCGATGGTAAAGGCGACGAAATACCTGAAACATGCGGGGTCCTTGAGTGCCTGGTCGAGTCTGGTCAAAGTGGGTAGCGAGCGAAGTGAACGACAGCGCGTTGTTGTACGACCGGGCATTCTCGCGGAACGCCGGAATGCCTTAGGTTCTGTGTAGGTGGGTCGCACAGTTCAGCATGTGGGTCTACTACAGACGAATGACGTTGGACGGGGCAACTGACCGCTATCCGAGCCTTCAAGTAGCTGTTGAAAGTTGGGATTGGGCCGGAGAGAGGGAGGTAGCTGCACCTTGCCCTGCGAGCAGCACGTGCTGAAGTGTCCGGTCAACTTCGTCCTTTCGCACTCCCAGTGTCGAGCCTTGCAGTGGGTACACACGGTCATCTGGGGCCGAGGTAGTCGCGGATGGGAACGTGGGGCTTGAGTGGTTTGAGCGCGATTCAAGGCCTGTGCACTTGCTCTGCGCGGGAAGAGGTGGTGGTGGGGCGAGCTCAGCAGTAGCTCAGCGTCGGTTCGGCCATCGGGCCATCGCGCTGACCACGCTGTCCGTTCTACAAAGCTGTACGGCGGACGCTTATACGGGTCGCAATACCAAGATCGGTCGAGTGGTTGTCGTCACGCGCGGGGAGCTGATTCTGTTGATCGGAGGGGGACGAAGAGGAGACTCGAGCAGCGGGCCCAGCAGCGGCCCTCGAGCAAGCTCGAGCAGGCCAGAGCAGGCCCTAGCAGGCCCGCTATCGTACGGCGCTACCCTCGCGCCAAAGACTCGGCGCGGTTGTCACGAAAATTCGATGAAAGTGGGAGGAAAAAGGCGAAGATTAGAGAGAGTAGCGCGGGAGTATTCACAACGCCTGGAACCTCATGTTGTTGTTGAGCCCCTAAAACCGGTGTCGGAATGCAAAAAACACGTCACGTGATCGACGGGGCATCGCGCAGCGTAGCCGCGCCCGCGTCTGCGCGTCAACGACAGCGAGACCACGCCTGACCTCTGTAGAAGAAGTGTCATGCAAACCCACGCGCTTGCTATACATTAAATCCTACACAAACAGCTCAATAGTTCCCCACCATGTCAAAATTCGACAAAAATCGTAGTCGGGCTGTAGGTCGACTTTTATGGTCCAGAAAATGCAGAAAGGGTCGTACATGAGTTCTGGTCGAGACGCCGATACCACAGGCAGGTGCGGCAGACTCAATAGTGTACAGGTACATTCATCACTTGCGGCCTTCCGGGCCGCAACACAGACAAAAACTGCGATTTTAGGTACATGGGTCGCGGATCGACGTTTTTTTTATACTAGTTAGAGTAAAGAACAAAAATGCCCTCGGATTCCAGACTTCTGTAATACTTGATATATCAGCTCACAACCAAGAGGGTAGCTTCTTGTAGTCTTTGTGATCAGCGCCGTATACTCAGAATCTCCAGAGGTGCCGTGAGAAGTCAGTTATCACGGTCGAAAAGTCAGGGGCCTCATCGATCGTCGACGCGTCGAGGCGCGCGAGTTCGCGAATCGACGTTGGTCTCCTTCCGCAGTCTCGCCCCCGGCCCGGACGCCGAAGTCACCACCGACTTTCGACAATGGAACATTGTTTCAAGAAGGGGGAAAATCTCTACGAAAAGAAGGAGCTCACGGATGCAGGCTATCGATATGCGCTTGATGACCAGAACCAGCTCGACGTTCCGTAAGTCTGACACGCGTCGTTGGCACGTCGTGTGCAAGACATGAGGTCACGGATGATGAGGACGATAGTGACTCGACTGGCGAAGTAGAGGGTGCCATTATCATTCCGCCACATTTTTCCAGACGTACAGGATGTCCAATCAAGTGCAGGGTCCGGGGTGCGAACGAGAGGGCCAAGCGCGATACGATCTGTGGCCTCTGCAATAGGCCCGGACACAACCGAGTTACATGCGATAGATAGATCGAACATTTGAATCTGAGTATAAGGTGCCAAAAGTGTCAATACTACTACACGTTGAAGGCGTGCTGGTCTGTTTCATATGGTAATTCACTGCGGTCTATACTCATCGCTTTCAACGGGGCCTCGCTTCAGTCGCAATAGGCCCCTGCCTTTGCGACCGTGATAACTGACTTCTCACGGCACCTCTGGAGATTCTGAGTATACGGCGCTGATCACAAAGACTACAAGAAGCTACCCTCTTGGTTGTGAGCTGATATATCGAGTATTACAGAAGTCTGGAATCTGAGGGCATTTTTGTCCTTTTCTCTTTTTTTTAACTAGTTAGAGTAAAGGCCAAAAAATGGCGTTTTTCCACATGCGCCTCTGGATGGGCTTTCTGGGGTCTTGGCTTAGAACTTATCGGCGCGCCTGGCCCAGTTGCCCTCCGAAAATTTCGGGGCCATTTTGGGGTGGTTCTCTGTAGTGTGGCAAGTACTTACAATTATCCAAAACGCAGAGATTTTATTGATCTTCTACTAGATAAAATGGCCTATGCCGAACGGCAAGAGGATACCCCATCTGTAGGCGAAGCTATAATGATCTGAAGTGTGTAAATTTGGTCAATTTGGTCCCGAGTGGTCCGAGCGGCAGCACTGCTGCAGCCGCCGACTTGCGCACTTCGGCGTGTGCGCATCGGTTTCTCTCCCGTCCCATTCCGCATCACTCGGCTTCTCGGTACTATGCTCTTCGCTTGTTCTCGGTGCAACACCGCGCTTATCTCGGAATGACGCGCAACCGCAGACGCTATGACTCGACGACTCGCCAGGATCGCCGCCGTCAGGCGGAACTATTCGCTCGGTTTTGGCTTCACAAGCTCTCACTATGTCAATGCCTCTCGTGGTATTTCAGCCCATCAACACAACACGATGGTGTTCACGTTTGACGTGGCTTCCCGGCTGTTGAAGTACATGATGGACTGGGGAAAGGTGCTGGGATCTGACCGCTGGTTAAGGAGATCCCTGATACTTCCCATTGTACCGTTTGTTCTTGGGTTCATCTCGACAACAATATTGCGTAGGTTTGGTCGGAAAAGGTCGGCTTTGGCGAAGAACGTCCGCAATTCGGAGAGACTGGATACCTTTAGGATCTTGTTGATTTTGTAGGGTGGAGCGCCGGCGGTGAGGAAGAGTGTTTGACAGCCAAGTATGAGACGCCGCTCCGCAACTTGCCCATACACGGGGCGAAATGCAGTCGAGCCTTCCATTGTGTGGCTCATAGCTCCGGCGCGCTCCCTTTCGCTGAATCCCCACTCGGCGATCTTGATTGCCTCGTCATAGGCAAGCAGCTTGACTCGGTCTCGGAACGAGTCCTTCAATATCAGCTCAGCCCAGCGCTTGTCTCCACTGTGCATCTCTGGAGACTGTCGGAGATTTTTAGTAGCAAGATATCAGTACGGGGGTTGTGAGCATGCAAAAACCTGCGGCGGATTGAATGGCCGGCCACGTACGATGAAGATGAATGAGACAGTATGGGAGGGATCGCTCAACTGCTGGTACAGCTCTCCGTCACCCCATGTTTCCTTGCATATGACAACCGATTTCTTTCGCTCTTGATTGAGATTGTCGGCCTGTAAAGGTATCAAGACCGTGGGACTCAGCGCCGGCGTCGCCTCAACGGCCAACCGAATAAAACCTAGGTGATGTTGGCTCAGCGCAGTCAGAGGACTGACAACTATGGTCACAGCCCGGCGGCCGTAAATCAAATACATGGCTTGAAATATCAAGCTCTTCCCTGAACCCGTTGGAGCAATGACGAATACAGCGTCATACTGATTTCGAGTCTTGAACCGCTCGAGCTGAAAAAGTCCCGCGAGAGCTTCGATTTGCACCGGCCGGGAGACGAAGTCCTCGCCAAATTTGTCGTCCAAGAGGAGTCTGAGCTTCTTGCGTAACTCAATCGGGTCAACTCGATCTTCTTGAGTTAATTGTGATCTCCAGTGAGCAGCCCGAGAGCGACGGGTAGGCAGTTCGGGGGTTGTGTTGGTTGAGTGATGGTCCCTTGATATCGTTGACTTTGCCCTCGAAGCTGATCGTAAGGGCGACTCTCTGAACTCAATCGATGGAGACCGACGAGGTGTGCCCTTGACAGGCGTTGGCGTTTGTACGGGCATGGTGGATCATGAGGGCGGTAGCGACGTCGTGGACTGGCGTTGTAACTTGTGGACCGAAGGTGAGACCGGTGAGGCGCGGCTAGCTGATTCACGTCGGCGCGAAGAACCGTCCCTCTGGGTCCGTGCGCGAGCCAGCTCCAAGTCGAAAATAACGACTTCTCACCGCTGTAGCTCAATGAATAGGATTTGCAAGAGTCTTCCCTTGGGTAGATGCTCGAAAAAATAGCATAATAATGCGCCGATTGAAACGGATTGTATAGGTTGATTTTATTTGCCATGCTACAGCAAGGTGGTACTTTTCTGGGCCAAGATTTCGATAGGCAACTCAGCCAAACGCGCGGATAAGGTACAGGCCCCTCCATCTGTGGAGGGTTTCGAGCTGTTTCGAGCTTAAAGTCGTTTCTCCAACCCGTCACTTTTCCTCAGGCTCCCCCCTCTCCTCATATTCTTATTCTCACTCGCCCAGTCCCACTCCTTTTATATACCCTCTTTCCTTTGTTGTCGCTTCGTGGATCTCGCCTTTCGCTGTGGAGCAGAGCATGTCGACCTCGATGATGTACGTCCTTTTCGCTTGCCTCCTCACTCAACGTACTCAACCTCGACGATCCGACCGCGCAACGAGCGACGACCCCCACATTTGGGGCCTGTCTGCGTGCGGCGGCCTTCAGTCAACCAACCTACTGGCCGGCCACCTCTCGCGAGCCGTCAGATGAAGATGAACACCACAACTGACACCCATGATCATCCCAATCCATTCTCTAACAGCTCCACCTCTGATTACGACTGTTATGTTGCGATCGATGGTCGTCGAGTACCGGTGTACGCGGCGTCGAGCTGTGGAGGGCATCTGCATGGCTACGTCGAGTCGATCGCAGGCAGCGCCTTCACCGTCCACGTCCTCGCTAAGGGGCGGCAGCTCAACCGGGATGAGCGGGCCATTGCATTGGATGTGGATGGAACTAGGTAATCGAGGATCGTTCCAAGTCCCTATTTTCAGCTGGCTGAGCATCTTCCGCTCGGATCTGCTTGCAGGATGGCGTTCCAGAAGGCGCCGCGGGACTGTCGAACTTCAGCCAACGCTCCTGACCGGGTCGTCAGCTTCCTTGGGCAACGATGCAGCGCCGTCAGTATCTGTTTTCTGCCCATCTTGTTTCCGTTCCGGAATCCAGACTAAATCAACGATCTATCTGAATATCAGACCACTATTAAACCCTTCTACTTTGCCGACTTATCGCTCACCGACGACGATAGGAGAGCCACTCACGTCGACGAGCACACTCTTCGTAGCCTCGGCACGATCGCGCTCAAATTCTATCGCGTACGCATCGAAGGAGTCAACAACAACCCTAGATTCGCAACGGCCGATACCGCTGTTGTGCATGAGAAAGCCAAACATAGAGCGCATCACCAGGTCAAGTGAGTCCGATCGCCCCACGGAGTCGGCGAATGGCTGCGGCTTCTAATGCGGTGAACCTCCCTGTCTCGAACGCTACAGACTTGGTGAGGCGCGGTCTGCAACACAAAAAGAGCATCTTCGATACGCCTGGATCGACAAACGCAACTCGCCCTACCTTAGCATTTCCTTCTCTTACCTTCCTCGGGAAATGCTCGAGGCCCGCGATCTCATGCCCCGTATGTCCTTCCCGATCTCTCTCCAATATCTGCTGCTCGGAGACTGACCGTCAACAACTCGCAATTCTGCTCGCAGGATCCATCCCTTCCGACACTCCAGGACGTTCCCGAGCGCTTCCCCCTTCGATCACTCCCGAAACATCTCGCCACTCCGCATCGTTGCGCGACGTCTCCGCAAGCCCCTCACCACCCCAACCAAAGTCCCCCTCACCCCAAGTCAAACGTCCCTTGTCTTCGCCCGCCAGCCTTTGGCCAGCGATCAAGAGTGAACACGGTCCCGAAATCTTTGATGAGCGTCAGGTCTCACCAGAGCAGATGCCTCCACCTTCGATGCCGACACGGACCCCTATGTTGCCTCGATCGGTCAATCCCGAACTTCCCCCTCGTATGCGAACACCCTTGCGTGTTCGACAAATCGTTCAATCCGAGCCTCGGGAACCCTGTGTGGCAGTCGCGATGGCATCACCTGTCGCACCGTCGACACCTTTGACAAGCCTCAAGATGGAGAACCGGAACCTCGAGATCGAATTGGAGAGGCTGAAGCAGGCCAGGTTGAAGGAGGAGTTGGAGAGGATGAGATCGAGCATGGTGGGACAGGAGAACAGTCTTGGGGCATCCGAGGTCTTGAATGGGGATGCGGAGTCGATCAAGCGGACCTCTGTCAAGAGGGAGAGGGAGAGGGGCGAACTGGGCGACGATGGTCGCCATTCGTCCGCGGACTCGCAGTACCCGACGATGAGGTCGGCCAAAAGGAGGCCTTTCGAAGTGATCATCGTTGACTGAGGAAGTGTATTCGATTCGGAAAGATGACAACGTAGTCGGAAGTTACAGTAAAGCTCCGAAAGAAGTGCGAATGAAACTGAAGTGAATCAGAAAGTGCAGACTACCCGTGGTGCGCCATTGTGAGCCAAAAATGGAAGGAAACGGCGCGAATTTAGCTCAGCCTAGCTAGGACTAGCTCAAAGCTGCTCAAAGCAATCCAGTAGCGATCCCCGGCCTACGACGCGGAGGCCCGCATGTCGCTTCCATCGCTCGCCCAGCGGTGTGCGACGCGAGAGTCCCAACAGTGCCCGGATTGGCCGACTGGATCAGCGTGGAAGAGTTCGGTTGCGACTACATGCCGCAATGTTATCAAATCCGCGGCTCCGATACGGTCTGATACTCGGCGCATGCTTCCTAAGCCTTGTGTTCCTGCTGCCGGCGTCGGTCCATCGAGTGCTGTCGTTGGGCTTCTCTTCGCGCATCAAAGCAAGCGAGACATGGTACCGAGGGCAGAAGCTCAAGCATTTCGCTTGGCAACCTCCACGTGACGAACGACTCATCATCACGGGCAAGAAGCTGCCCACACCCGAGGACCTCGGCACAACCACACTGACGACTCAGCCTAGGGTAGGTCGAGCCGCTTTCGTCGTGCTGGCGAGGAACAAGGACCTCTATGAATTACTGGAGTCAATTAGAGGGATGGAAGGTACGTTGAAAGTGGACCTCATAGTGAAACTCGTGCGGCTCTGCACCCTAGTTTTAGCGTGAGCGGGCTCGGCAGTCGCCGCGGTTTTGGGGTGGGGGCGATGCGTAGTGCAGGCGTTGACAATCCTTGCTGACATACACTACACCCGGCTACCCTTCTTCAGACCGCTTCAACCACAAGCACGGGTACCCATGGATCTTTCTCAACAACGAACCCTTCACCGAAGAGTTCAAGGAGCGCACCTCGCAGTTCACCTCGGGCGAGTGCAGCTACGGGTTGATTGATCCATCGGAATGGCCGACAGGAAATTCAATGCCCGAAAGTAAGTTGCCGAAGGCAAACTGAACCCTATTGGTGGCTGCTAACCGCTTTGGGCATGTTATGAACACCCTAGATATTAATGTTACTCTCGCGACCGAAAAAATCAGCGCCATGGGTCAAAGGCCGATCCCCTACGGCGGTTCCATAACTTGTGAGGTTGCGGAGGCCTGGTTCTGCTTTCTTTCGCACGCCCGTGTGTACTGACCCGTTCCCCTGGGTAGACCGTAAAATGTGCCGGTACCAAAGCATGTTTTTCTGGCGCCATCCCTTGCTGGACGACATCAAGTGGTATTGGCGAGTCGAACCGAGCGTCAAGTACTACTGCGACCTTGACTTTGACCCGTTCCGCTTCATGAAGGAGAACAAGAAAAAGTATGGATTCGTCTTGTCTTTATACGAGTACCCGGACACTATTGCAACTTTGTGGGAGACGACGAAGGCGTTCCTCATCAAGAACCCTGAGCACTTGGCGCAGCCCAATATGATCCCTTTCATCTCGTACGACAATGGGCTTAATTATAACCAATGTGAGTGGACCCTGGATGTCTCGGGGGCGCACTTCCAGAAATTCTGACCGTACTTTCTCATCTTTGCCAGGTCATTTTTGGTCCAACTTTGAGATTGGCGATCTCTCGCTCTGGCGGTCGCAAGCATATTTGGACTATGTCGAGTTCCTCGACAACGCCGGTGGCTTCTTTTACGAACGATGGGGCGATGCGCCGGTTCATTCGATCGCCGCAAGTTTATTTCTGCATCCCGACGAACTTCACTTCTTCGATAATATCGGGGTGAGCATTCGGGCGCCTCAGATGCGCGACATGGATGACCTTAAGAGCTGACTGTCATCTTAATCGGCCCATCAGTACTTCCATGCACCCTTCCATGTTTGCCCCGTCGGAGGTCCCACACGGAATTGCGCTTGCGACGAGTGAGTCTTTCCCCCAATTCATGCCGGAGATTACGGTACGGAGAAGCTGACGAGCGCCTTGGTTGACCTGTGCAGGAAAGAGCCTTTGAACTTTGGTGCGCGCGGAAGGTGGACCCCACCCCCCTGGACGCTGCTAGCTAACGTCACTTCGAATTTTGCCCTCTGCAGAGTTTCATGCATACTCGTGCACGCCCCATTTCAAGGTGAGACCTTCTCACATTTGGCAACAACTCTGACAACACAACCAGATCACTGACGGCTTCGTCGCTCATCTCGACTCCTCAGCGTGTTCAGAGCACGGTCTTCAAGCCCGCTCCGCCACCGCCTGCTCCCAAAGCGACTGATACGACAGACGCTCCGGCCAACGTCATTATCGTGACCGAGAGCCGAACGATTGACTAAACCTGTCTGACAAAATTTTCTCCATGCTGCTTGTCTCTCTCTTAGATCATGTCTTCTTGTTGTAACGAAACTGGAATCATCAAGGAAGGATTGATATATGTGGCAGTGTTGCATCATCGTCGTCAAAAGGTTCATGACCGGTAAACACACAGTCAAACAGAGCGTCAACAGTCGAAGTTGAAGACTTGTCCAACAAGCTCATACACAACGTCCAAAAGTGTCTATTTAGCTGGGTCGTCCGCTTCTCACGAAAGCGATCGAGCTTACGAAGCGCAGCACAAGCGATCAGTACTTCGCGCCCGTCGAGTAGTACTGCTGCGGCGGCTGATGATGTTGCTGCTGTTGTTGTTTCTGAGGCCACTGGGAAGCCTGAGACGTGTGGGACCCATCGTAGTAGTTCCCGTGCGACGCCGTCTGCTGAGGGTACGAATAGTAGCTCGGCGAGCTGTGCCCTTGCTGTTGATGATAATCGTTCTGAGCCGTTGGCCACTCAGGGGCGGGAGGAGCAAGGTCGTATCGTTGTGCTTGGGGGTGCGCATAATTCGATTGGTCATAAGCCGAGGTGTTGTTCTTCGTCATCGTCGACGCGAGCGAGGCCGTCGAGGCTTGTGTGCGCGAGTTGACGGGCGCAGCCGAGGTCTTGTTGAGAGAAATGGCATCGCCAACGAGCTTGTAGGTCTTGGCCTTTCTGGAGTCCTTGCGGCGGGCTACGCAGGTGCACAGCGCGACGATCAAGAAGAGGGTGACCAGCACGATACCCGCGATGATACCGGCTTTAGCAGCGGTAGGAAGCCTGGCCAGGCAACCATGTGAACGAGAGTTAGTCGAAATGGTCCGGATCACCGACAATGACAACTAAAGACTGACTTGGACCACCAGCTTCCGAGCGCCGAATTGGACAGCGCGTTGCCAGACTTGTTGGTCGGAGTGACACCCTTTGTATCCGAGCCTTTGACGATCACTGGCAGAGATTTGACAAATACCTCATCAATGTCAGTCATGGAGTGCAGGTCTACGCGGCGGCTAAAACTCACTGTTCTTTCCAGTCGAGTACACCGAGTTAATGATGGTCGCGGCGCTCGAGGCGGTAACTTGAATCTGTCCAGCCGAGTTGTTGACGCCCCAAATGTAGGAGTTTATCGAGTCGGCTCGTTCCACCAGGCCACCGCGCTTCCACAGAGACGACTCTTCCCCGATTTCGCGCTTGGCAAGTCGGCTCGACGAGTTTGAAGACGAGGTCGTATTTCCAGCGACGTAGCTCAGATTTGAGCCGCTGTAGCATTGAAGCGAGATCCACTGGATGCGAGCTTGGAAAGGGGCTTTGCTCCAATCAATCATACCTCCGGCCCACGTGACTGTACCGGGGGCAGAAGCAGCGATACCGGCGGGCCAGACAGACATTTGGATACGACTGGGCGTCTGTGGGTACTCGTATCGGCCCGAGGCAGAGTCGTACGTCGAAGAGCGCGTCAAAGTGCGAACAACCTTGCCCGCTACGGTCCACTGAAGCTGATCAGGGGTCCAGTTGAACCCATAGACGATGTAGTTGTTCGCTCGGTTGCTACTCGTCTCGGCTGCACTCGTACACAATATGGGTCAGTTCTCGTATTCAACGTATGGAGATGCGAAGCGAGTACCCGCACCTGTGCCTCCATTCTTGTAATCGTTCAGTTCGCCTTCCCAAAAGTAGTTCGACTGCGCCTCGTTTCGATCCGTGCCTGTCCACTCCCAATCGATCTCATCCTTGGATCCACTCATGGTGATAAAAGCTGTGACGACTCCGGGGGCACCGACGGTCTTGATCGAAGCTTGAATGTTGCCGTACAGCACAGCGCGGGTCGTAGAGAGTCGAGTTCCGCCACCAGCTTCGGTCAGGGTCAAGGCGAGCTCGCCGTCCTGAATGAGCGAGGTGGTGCCGTCTTGCTTATCTAGTGTGAAGTCGTATTTTGTCGCATCACCAGTGTAGGCGGAAGAGTTCAAGGCAATTCGCGATGTGTCGGCGAAAGTGTACTGTGAAGGGCGGAAGGATCAGACCCGACTTTAGCTGAGCCGTCCACGAGAGTTGACAGGTCTGGTACAGATTGTCGGTAGATCCGAAATTGAGCATACTCGTTCCACAGGGTCGCACTGACTCACATTTGTGGATTGACAGACAGGGATAGGGGCGCAATAGCCCGCCGCGCTCCATTGAGGCTGTGAGAATCAAGCACCGCACCAGATTCCCATCAACACCACTGGCACATTCGTGAGCCAACTTGGGGTAGCCGATTCCGGTGGCCATTCACTCACGTTGCACCCGTTCAAGCACCCGACCCCTGAACTACAGTGTCCAAATCTGTGAAAGGCGCCGAGCAGGTAGGAGATGCGTGTTACTCGACGATCTTGTGCGCCTCACTCGACCCCTCATCGGACTCCGCCTCGCCCGTCAGTTTCAGTTAGTGCCATTCCCCACTCACTCTGAGCAGCACGGCGCCGTTGTCGGGCAATTTTGTTGCCAACTGCATGTCGAACCAGCTGCTCCTGTCGTGGTTGTCGCTCCAGAGGCGCCCGAGGGAGCATTTTGTCCGACCGCTTGGCCCACAAGAAGCGACGCGACGCAGGCGGTGAGCGCGGCACGTGAGATGGAGCTTGACATGTTCCTAAGACGTCGGCGGGTGGTGGTGGTAGACCCAAAGACGAAGACAGTATCTGACGATGGAAGCTCTTCTGTGTGATTTGTCCTGTTGGTGTAGACGAAGAAGGCTTTGAGAAGGCTTTGGGGAGATCGTGAGGCGCCAAGGGGTCAGAGTTGTCCAGGTAGAAAGGGTGAATGAAAGAGGCACCGTCCCCCCCAGAGCGGTGAGGCGCGTCACACGCGCTCGCGCGAGAGAGCGCGAGAGCTCGCGAGACAGCGCGGTAGTAGGCGGGAGTCGCGCGGGCCAGTGTGGAGGCACCAACCAAATCACTCATGGTGGCGATGCTGCTGGTCAGCCCGTCTCATGGCACTGGAAGCATAGCAGTTTACACCGAGCTCTTAGAGTTGAGGCAAACTGTAACTGGGATGGCTATTTGGAAAGGCTTCTCCCTCTTCCATTCTCAGGTATTTCATTTATAGGCATCTAGAACAAGGATCGGCACAACGGACAACTTGATCCATGCGATGTCGAGAACCACTTTAAGACGGCCCAGAAATGACGGTCAGTCAATTGAGTCCTCGCGCCAGCTCTGATTCCAACAAACACCGAGGAGACGCACCTTGTACAAGCAACCAGCATGGAAACGGTTGTTGCATGTTTTGCATGCTTTTGTGGGCAACGAGCGATCGACGACCGAGATGGACGAGTAGCAGATCGCACACGCCTCGACACCCTCAAAGTGCAAAGTCACGTTGCGTTTCCACAGCGACAACCCTTCGGCGATAAGTCCATTCTGATGAGAGGAATGACGAGGTGAATGTAGATTAGATAGCATCTCTTTGTAGTATTTGCGCCAAGCCACCCACCTGATTTGTGATGACCTGTTGCACACCGAGCAACCAGGCCCGCCACTGCGAATCTGTTACTCCGACCCGTCGGACGTCCTTGACCTCAACCTGCTGCAACGGGAAGTCGGCCGGCATCCTCACGCCAATCTCCATGCTTTCCTCATCAACGACAAATACGGCCTTCACCTCGTTCGCATTCGCCGCGACTTTGACGGTAAAGTCGTCGTTGTCACGTAGCGTCCTGCCCGCAGGATCGTTGGGATCTCGAAGGTGCGCCAGTTCGTGAGCGATGAGCACGGGCGAGAAGTGTCGTGACGTCAGGTTGGCGACCGCCATCGACAGCTGCCGGTTTTTGCAGCCTTCCCACCACTGCCTCACCAACGAAGGGATGGCTTGAAGCGAACGATAGTAGACGAACGTTGCGAAGGCGGGTAGCGTGACAGGCGTGAGGTCGTCGACCACTGCGGAGGAGGATCGGGTCTCAATACCAAGATCCACAGACCTGTAGTCCGCACATGATGACTCGACTCACACCCTAGATGGAACTCGTCGATGCCCCATGGACTGACGTCTATCGTTCGACTGCGATCGCTGAGGTTGAGGAGGGCAAAGATGGACGGGAGGTACGACGAACCGATCAGCTCCAGCTTGCGCAAATGATTCGTGTAGTCGGCCTTGAGACGAGGAGACTGTGGAGATACAATTTTGGTTTAAGCTCAGAATCTTGTGCAGTTAGCGCAGAATGTGGAACATCACTGACCGCCTCATCGAAAAAGGTGAAAGCGATGAGCCAACTATGCAGAAGGGTCGATGCACGAGCAAAGTGTTGAGGTTCTAGCAGAACTTCTCCGGGCAACTTGTCCGAAAGCAACTCGATCAACGAATCCGGTAATACTCCCTTGAGAACGCCCTCCTGGTCCAGTTCGACTTCGACAACAAGTTCGCCAACGTGCTGCGCAGCGATTCGGGTGACGAGGCCGTACGACGAGTGCTGAATCGCCAAAGAGGGGTCGCGCAAAAGTCGGAGCAGCTGTATAATGGGAAAATGGTCTGTCAATACGGAGGAACTTCAACTTTTGGTGCAGTGTCTTGACCCACTTGATCGAACGGCTTGCCCATTGTCAGGAGCGTAGGAGGCAGGTCCCGCATCAGGTGAGCCATCGTCTCGAGGACGGCCAAGCGAGGTCGATTCCGTGTTTGAGAATCTATTTTTAGGCTTTCTCGTGTCAGTATCGTTCCCATCTCAAGCTTTAAGGCCGTGTTGAGCGCTCACCTGGCCGAGACACGAAAAGGTCACGAATGAAGGCGAGTGACGTGTTGATGCGCTCCTTCGCGAGCGCACGAAGATCCTTGTTGCGGGATGCAAGATCTTGCATCGTCATAATAAGCCGGCACGAGTGGTACAATGATGATAAAGTGGCATTATCGTCCCAGTTGGCAGTCTGAGGGTAAGAAAGTTATTGCTAGCGTCAGGTCGTGGCTGTCAAGAGCATTAGTTCAGAGAGCTCTCACCTTTAGATTGGACTCGATGATGTCGAACATTAGATCCCAATGCGATCCACTCATGTCTTGCACGATCGGTGAAAGGTGAACGAAGAGCTCCGCGACCGCCGCATGGATCTCTTCTGCAAGGTCTTCGTCGCTTGCGATCCATCTCTGGATGTTCTGGATCAAGAACATGGATCGTTGCTGCGGCAGGAAGATGACGGGTGCATCCGCTGGCGGTGCCGTGGCGAGCAGAACCTGCAATATGACGAGACCTTTGCCGCTCGCAGCTGAGGGTAGAACCCCGGCTAGGTTGGCGGCGAGCTCGTTCTGGTATCGTTCGAAGCGAGGGCTTTCGATTAAAGCGTCTTTGATTGAGTAAACGATGGCCAAAGTGAGAGGATGACCTGCGTGTGAAGCCTATGTCAGCACAAGGGTGCGAGCGCTGAGACAAACTTGGCCACGACTTACTTTCACCGAGATTCTGGGCAAACGCGAGCCACCGCTCCGCATCGGCGACACCGGCGTCGGCGTACCGTAGAATCGCCTGCAACACGGTCGAGAACGCTCTCTTCCAATATACGCCCGTTGAAGCATGTGTTCGGCGAGCGAGCACATCCAGCACGCTCACGAGCTGATCGGTCGTCCGACCTGGCTCCTTCTTCCGGAGATGCATCACCGCCTTGGTGTGCCAGTCGCTTGGTAGATCGGCAGCTTTGGCGGCCAGCAAGAATGAGCTGGCGCCATCACAAGAGGTCACGATGCGCTCCAGCACTTCCTCCGATACGTTGGGACCGAACACGCCGCGGGTTGACTCGAAAGCAGCGAGCTCGTCCCGAGCGACATCGCCGAGGAGGAGGATGTGAGCTAGGACCCAGGAGTTGTTACGCAGCCATGCGTGGTTTCGAGCGGCAACTTCGAGGATCGCCACGACAGATCGCACGAAGGCTGAGAATCCGGCAGCGTCACTTTCGATGAAGGTCCGAGGAGCGTCCGAACCGTCGCCGGACGGAGGAACGAGGGGTTGCAGAACCGATATTGATGGTGAAGGATTCGAGAGTACCAAAGCTTCGACCAGTTCGTCCAAGGCGGCAGATGTTGGGAGTAGTTGAGTGAGGAGGCTCGCCTCGTCCAATGCATTCAGGTGCGTGGCGACGCATTCTATCAGCTCGATGGGAGAGGGCCGGATGGATGTGTCGAGTAGGAGTTTGCCGATGCGATCGCATACTCTTTTGGTAAGGGAGAAGTCCCTGACCTCAGATAGAGCGGTCCAAGTAAGCTGAGCCGCGATGACGGCTTCGTCCGGCAATTGGATCCCGGAATCCTCCAGGCGACAATTCGGGAGGAGGTGAGCAACTTCAAAGATCGCGACCGCAAGTTCTGTTTCAGCGAGCCCCTGCATATTTCGACTGAACTGCGAGTACTGGGCGAGCAGTCGACAGGGCGAGGCGAGTACTTGAATTGCCTGTGCCGATGGAGCAAGAGCCAACGACTGTGATGCCCTGGCGGGTAAGACCCGTGCAATTAGATCCACAATTCTGGCTGGCAAGTCGACCGCGACGAAGGGCTCTGACAAAAGTGGGAAGATCAGGTGTGATTAAGACCAGCGGTGAGCCGGCTCTACACTAATCACTCACGCGGCTGCACGATGAGGCGCGTCAACAGGTCGGACTCGGCAATTGAGAAAGCGGTGATATCTTCGCTGAGCATTCGCTGGGCTATTTCGAGCACGTAATCGTCGAGACAAGCCGAAGGAAGCTGGGATGACAGCTCGCCAGTGCTGACGGCATCGACGAGCTTGAGAAGGACGCTGGTCGAAGGAGTAGCTTTGAACAACGAAGTCCAGATGGTGGTCCGAGCCGCTTCCGATGTCGAGCTCAAATGCGATGCGAAATAGGCCATCGTCGCTGGATTGGAATCTGAAGAGACCAAGGAGACGCCTTTCGTAGCTGCGAGCCCATCCAACATCTGGAACGAAGAGGGCGAGACGGGGAGGTCAGCGCTCTGCCACCCGGACCCTGCTGAGTCGTATAACCAACTTTTTGCACTTCTGCATCGCCCGCCACGCTCTCCTTGATCGAACCAATAAACGTCAACAGCATGGAAACTCGCTCGTTGATATCGCCCTGCATGACGCCTGTGACAGCACTTTCAGCCGAACGTCTCGCGAGCGCTTGAGATCTTGACCTCAGCGCATCCGACATTAACGGAGCGTTGACGGCCTTGATTGCGTTCGCCAATGCAGTGAAAGACCCCTCGTCGGCTACATTTGAATCAGTGAAGCTAAACAGCTGCAAAGAAGATTCGGAAATGACGGCCCATGCCTTTTCGAACAGTGGAACATCCTTGTTGGCGATTTTGTTCAGTGTCGATGCGATCTGGGTTGCAACAGCAGGGGTCGATATCCCTCGATGCCCCTTCACTCCGACACCGAGAAATGTGCGCCATGTTCGACCGATCCATTCGACGACCAGAGCCTCGCCGTTATCCTCGCCTTCCTTTTGCAACTTCGCGAGCTCGAATAGGAAGCATTCGAGAAATGAGGTCACGAAGTTTTCGATCGCACTCGGGCCATTCGACGAGCCGAGTGAGCCAAGGAAGAGCGCACGGCCTCCCCATGCTGACCAGAAGGATTCGAATAGAGGCCGGAGATTGGCTTGAGAAGGAGGGAGCACGCTCGTTGGGATGGTCGAGAGAAGCAACAGTATTGTCGGATAGTTCTGAGGTCGGCCCGTGCAAGCTAGAGCGAGATGACCAAAAAACCGGTGTAGTGTAGGGGACGGAAACTCGGGAGAAGCATCGAGCTTTTTGGGTGTGGTGGCACCTTTCGATGGAGAGGCCACGTGCTTGTTCTCGGCGGCTCGCTCCTCGTCCTCGTCGTCAGAATTGGATCCGTCACTCGACGAATCACCATCGTCGGTCTTGAATTTACTTGCTTCCGGTTCGTCGGCGAGTGACCAAGCTTGGGGATAGCGCCGCAAGAACGAGATAGTGCCGGCCCATCCCACATCCTCGTCCCAGCACTCCTTCAGCACGCTGTGGGCAATCCTCGTGATCCCGTCATTCTTGGCGAGCAGCTCGTCATCAGTGCGCCCAGTCGCTGCACCCAACAACTCGTACAAGGCTCGTCGAAGTGCGGCCGGTTCGGAAGATTTGGTGAGCTCCCAGAGATCTTGACTCGTGAGGAAGTCAAGGGCCGTTTCCGAGAGCGGTAACGGCGAAGGAAGACTCGACAAGAGGGAAGAGATGGCCAAGAGAGCCTGCGTTTTGAGGAACGATGGGTCGTCAGATTCGTCCCCTGCTTTCGGTTTAGAGTACGGTGTTAGGATCAGGCGAGCGGCGAAGTCCAAAATGCTCTCGGCGTGCTCCTGCAGATCTATTCCCTCAACCTGGTCCGTCTCGCGTGCTGATGCAAGCTTCTGATCGTTCGGTAGAACGACACTGTCCCAGGATCGACGAGCGGCGCTTCGTACTGCTCTGTCGCCATCAAATGCACTGCAGCACCACGATCCGACGTAGTCCTTCTGCTCCAGCCAGCTCGGCGCCAGCAGCCTCGATCGGGTCGAGGCGAGGAGCACCGAAGGATGGCGAGGTTTCGACGTTAGCAGCTGGTGAAGCGAATGGACCTGTAGTCGAAGACGGCGTGAGGGATATAGTGAGATGCGATTGAAATGATGAGCCTGGGGATAGACCACGAAGAGTCAGCCTTTTTGCAGCGGGAGGTAATACGGCACAGCATCCACGGCACACATGATGTTGAAAATGTGTCGTATAATTCAGGCTCATACTTGAGTGTGGGTGGTTGAACTCACCCAAACGTCCATACTCGCAGTCAGATCGTCTCTGCGCTGATCGAGCTTCCACTGCTCGTCCTCGTCGACGGCTTGTGCTTCGTCCTTGATGACTTGTCGCACCCACATCTCGAGACCTTCGATACCCTTGATAATGGTAGCTTCGTCCTTCTTGGCCAGCCGTCGCAACACTACCACGAGCTCGGCGTCGACGGCCGACCCACCTGCGAGCCAGACGTCGACCGGGTCGGGTACTCCCTTGGGGGGAGGCTGAGGTGGGATGTACGACTTGACCATGGGGGCGATACGATCCTTCTTGACCTTCTTGACCTTCTTCTGACCGCGTTGAATCGGTTGCTTGCCTGTTCCAGCCTGTCCTGTGCCGCCGGCGATCGAGCCCTCCTCCCCGACCCCTTCGTCATCGTGGGCCTCTCGAGCTTTCTTCTTGGCGGCATTCTTTTTGCGAGTGCCCGACGAGGCCGACGACTTGCTCTTGACCATACTGTTGGCCTAGAGTGCGGACTGGCGTGGTCCAAATCGGTTCAACGCGTGGCACGCTCGCACCTCACTCGATGACGCTGACCACTGACTCGCTCAATCGCGCCAGATCGCGCCAGCCTGCCAGCTGCAGATCGCGCCGGCTTCTGCCGGCTTGGACCTCGCTCTACCTCGCGCGCCCACATTATAATATGTGCGCGCGTGGGAAGGTCGCCAGATATGAGGCGAGGCGCCTTTGGGGACACGAGAATCACGCGCGCGCGCAAGGGGGGGAAAAAAAAATCACACAATACTGCGCGCGAAAAAAATATAAAAATGTGACGACAGCGCGACAGCGCTCTACGTCTGCTTCGGTCCCCCTTCCAACGCCCGAGATAGCTTCACTGCCGCCTGTTCTCATTCACTTTCAAGACAGTAATCAGCATGCCCTAGGAACGGAAGTAGACGACGAACGAAAAAGCCAAGACAGCGACAGCGCTGTTCGAAGAGATCCGAGTTCAAGGTTTCAAACTCATGCTCTTCAGATTGTGGAGGCGCGGCGGAAGTATCTGGTGGCTGTTCGATGGTCGAAAGAGAACCTTTCAATGTGATAGCTTTTCAAACCATACCCTATCGCTCGCTGGCTGGAATTGATGGTCCAAGCTGGACCTCGTCCGAGTGACAAAGTGACAGCCGCGCAGTGTCGCCGATGCGCCGATCGTCTCTGTCTCGCACAAGAGTCAAGATTTGGTACATGTTGCAAATTATTGTCTATAGTTGCAACCCGAACTTGCTAGTCTACGACAACGCATGGTTAGTCTCGTGGCCGCGGGGGACGAGAGGTTTGTTCCGAGTGTCGAGGGGAAAAAATCTCCGAAGGGGGTAGCACGGCGAGTGTGATCTTCTGGAGGTTCGGTCGAAGAGCTAGCGGTAGCATGTTCCCTTGAGTCGGCAAGTGATTGCATCTGCTGCTCAATCACTTGCCTTGGCTGTCGCTTCGGACCCAAGTTCGGCGGCGGAGGTAACGTATTACCCTCTGATCCCTCTTCGGATCCTGAATCCTTTGCTTCCCCGCAAGGATGTCCTGAACCTGACGCCTCTCCGCACTTGAGTCCGAAAGTCCCGACGAAGGTGAATCATCCTCGCTCGCTTCGTCGTCGTCGTCGTCCAGGCCGATCAACGCTGGCGCTCTTCCCCCAGTCTTCCTCTTCTTCTGCTTGCTCCCCGCTTGCGAATCTTTGCACGCCCTTGCCCTTCCTGCTCTCCTCCTTGCTAGTGGGCATTAATTGCATCGCTTCGGCAGGGGAGGGGGCGTGCGAAGCGGGTTTCTTGAGCCCTAGCTGAACGCCACTCAGCCGGCCACGCGCCGAGGGTGCCTCTGGTGTCAAGAGCCCACCCCCATTGCGATCATTCGCATGTACCGGAGATGATCGCGACGTCCTTGCGTTGCTCGAGGTCGATCGGCTGAGAGCCGGGTCGGGCATTGGCGCGGCGGGAGCTGGATGACGGGTGGTCGAGGCGCGACTCGACGACTGCGAAAGAGCTGAGCTCGATGCCGAGGGATAGACGAGAAACGAATTGAGGATGTGGAAAGAGTAGAGCCGGATTTGAAGGGATTTGACCAGTCGTTAACGTAAGGCTAAGGCATATTGCCGCGGATCCAGTCTACGAAACCGAGAGCCGAGAGATCGGCAATGGGACACGGAACAAGGGACGGCAGACGGCAAACGTGAATCGACGGGACTGACCTAAGCTGAAGAGGCGATTGCAGATGCAGATGTGGGTGCGGGGTTCGACGTCGAAGGATCGAGTCGAGGCGTCGTATTCGAAGTCCCGGATTGGGATCCGAAGAACGAAAACATCGTTTGCATCTTTTGCATCGCTGGCACCATTTTCTGGAACGTCACCATCATGTTCGTCATTTCGAGCTGTTGAGCTAGAGTGAGTGGAGCTTGAGGTTGAGTTGAGGGCGCGAATGGGCCTAAGAAGAGTCGGGCGCGAGCCCCACCACGCGGTCGATAGGTTGTTGTACCGAAAGAGGTGCATCGCCAGCGGTTGCAGCGCCGAAAGAAGAAGTCGTATAGGAGTTCAAGGCCAAGCTGAACAAGTCGTCGGCCGAGCCAGATGTTGATCCGTTCATTTTTATCACGAGATGCGAGGGGAAGACAGTGGCAGGAGGAAAAGAGGCAAATCCAGGCGGGACTCGAGGCGGTCGCCTGGGTGCCGGCCTCAGGGTAGTGCTGCAGCAGTAATAGCAGCAGGCTCAGGGCAGTGCTGCAGCAGTAATAGCAGCAGGCTCAGGGCAGGTAGGTGGGTACAGAAGAGCTGATGGCTACAATGAGATTCAAGAGAGCTTCCTCTGTCCCTTGGATTGAAGGGAAGTCATGCCATGCCAGAGTCACGAGTCATAACCGAGACCTTGCGCAGGCGGGCTTTTATTTTTATTTTTATTTTTTTATTTTTTTATTTTAATCTCTTTGTCTCTTGTCTCTCTTTGCTTTTTTTTTCTCGCGCGAATCTCGTGTCCCTCCCGGCGACTCATAGCCAGAAGTGTATGCCAATTTTCGCCCGCGCAAAAATCGCTAGGCTTTCAAGATGAGGAATGGCCACTTTGGGCAGGTGATAATCACCTGGGCAAGGAGGACGAAGTGTCTAGGTCAGGCCAGAAGCGGCTTGCCTAAATAGTGTGGTCCAGCGCCCGATGAGGGCTGTCCTTCGATGTAGACGTAGCTGCAGTTCAGTCTCGTTTTCTGTCTCCCCTTGAAAGTCGTATCTCTGCCGGTGGGGCCTGAGCTTGGCGGGGTACTCGAGTCAACGACCGAAGGGATAATTGAGCTCCAACACCTACCCTATTACATCTTACTCGATGGGGGTACGGGCCACCCTCCCGCTGCTTTAGGAAGCACGCCAACTGAACTCTTGGCACCTGCAGTGCAGCCCCCACCCTCACTCGCCGGACACGGAGCCGAATCGGCGTCGCTGACGGATGAGTACGGCCTCTGTCGCTCCTCCTGCATACGGGTGCATACGGATGCATGCAGGTGCACTTTATTTCAGGCGTATGTCTAATCGTTGAGTCTCGTTCACTTGTCTCTGCACGGCATTGCACTGCTATGCACCCTCGTGCACGCTCAGCTCGAATCGACCCTCCGCGACCCGCTTCGTTGCGAAAGCCATTCCTTCTTCTATCGCCGAGAGCACCGCCACGATCCGAGGTGAAGAAGCAGCAAGGTGAGGACCACAATCCACGAGGAGTGATCAGTCGGACTGTAGGCGGTATGATGAGTCAGCGACAGAGTGATGTGGGAGACATGGCAGGAACGAGCATGGCGGCAGTGGATCGATTGCAGGGCAGTGAGGCTCAGGCTCCGGTCGGCCAAATATCCTTCGGAGCAAGTCGGATCCACTCCTTACTCGTATAGAACCCTAACCAACAGTTCAAAATACCAATGAACATGTGTGCACATTGATGCACAGCGAGGCACTCGCATGCATCGCCACGCAGTCTCGGCGCATCGAACGGCGTGGGCTCTGGTGTGAGACACTCGTATCCGATTCCCAGCACATGTCACAGCCCCGTGTATGCCAGTGCATGGCAGTGCATGAAAGTGCTCACCCGTACAAACCAGGGAGATGACCCATGAAACCCGGATGCACAGTTATGCAGGCCCAAGCCCAACCATAGTTGTACTTGAAAAATGAGAGACTATTTTGTGGCCCTTGACCGCTGAACAGCTGAGTGAAATGTTGAATTCCATACACTCTTGCTTAGGTCGATCTCCAGCCCGCGCCCAGCCTAGCCAGCCGCGCGCCGCTCGGACCCCTTTTGGACTTAGAGATATTTCGCGCACTCGCACCGCGAGCCTCTTTAGTCTTCCCCCTAACGCTCCAAACTACTTCCTACCACTCGTACTGTGTCTCGTGTACTTACTGGTTGCCGATCCAGTCCCCTCTCGAGACATACGATTTAACAGGTTATGAGCCCGAGCTAAAGCTGCTACAACGATGCCATCACCATCGTCACTTGCGACCATCATGATCGTCTTCGTCATCATCATCGCTCTGTACCACACCGTTGCAACCGCCCTCGCCCATGCGACCGGCCGTTACCGCACCATGACGCAACTTGACACGTCGCACCTGGACCCGACTGTGAGCGTGACAGTCCGGCCCAGCGTGAACGTCGTCGCACTCCTAGGTCGTCTACCATCGAACCGTGAGCTCCACCTTCCAAATGACACCCTTGTACTCGACTCGGGCGCCTCCCACCACATGGTCAAGGACGCGTCTCTCTTCGACGCCTGGCACACACGGTCACACGTCGCCGTTGATGGCGCTGGCGGGTCACTCATGGCACAAGGCACCGGCTCGATCACGATACGAACGTCGAAACAACGAACGATCAAGCTCTGCAACGTCTACTACGTCCCCGACCTTCTGGCCAACCTGATCTCGGTCATGCAGCTGCGACGCGAGCACGTTTACACCCACTTTGGCAAGACCATCGAGCTCCGGTCACAAGGTCAACTCATAGGTGTGGCATCCCTCATTGCAAATCAATTGTCGACACTGGACGCCACCCCAATCCGCAGCACGGTGTCACCGGTCGCAGCAGCCGCCATCCCTCTCCTGACTCTGCACCAACGATTCGGCCACCTGTCCCTCCCCAACCTGCGAAGGGCAGTCTCGTCGGGTCAACTCCAAGGTCAAACATGGACGTACTCTGCGACCGAATGCAAGGCCTTCTCCTGCGACACCTGCAAAGCCGCCAAAGCAACAAGGACACCCTTCCCAACGTCGGACTCTCGCGCTTCGCAACCACTTGAACTGGTCCACTCCGACGTTCTCACTCTGCCCGAACCCGCCACCGATGGGGAACGATACGTTTTCACCTTCATCGACGATTTCTCCCGGAAGATGTGGGTCAGCGCGCTGAGGAACAAGAGTCAGGTCTTCGACACCTTCCAGCGTTGGCACGCCATGATCGAGCGCTCGACGGGCCTCAAGCTCCGCACGTTACGAACGGACAACGGCGGTGAATACACGTCCAAAGCCTTCATCGAGTACTGCTCTCATCACGGCATTACCAGGCAACTCACGATCCCTTACACCCCGGAGCAAAACGGCCGAGCCGAACGGACGAACCGCACAATCGTCGAGGGGACGATTGCCCTGCTCCAGCACTCGGGACTGCCCATGACACTCTGGCGCGAGGCCCTCCGGTACGTTGTTGACACCAAAAACCTCAGCCCGCACAGCGCCATCAATCACAAAATCCCGGACACTATCTGGTATGGCAAACCTCCCAGCACGGAAAACCTGAGAGCATTCGGCTGCCGCGCCTGGCACACCACCCCTCGGCACAAGCGGGCAAAACTCGACCCCAAGGCCAAACCATTCATCTTCGTCGGCATCGAAAACAAAACCAAGGCCTGGACGCTGTACGACCCAGAAACAACTTCGTTCTTCCAGAGCCGCGACGTCAGATTCAATGAGAACGTCTTCCCCGCTCGAGATGCCCCGATTGGCCGACCGAAGCCTCACACGACGTCCACTACTGGCGACTGGACCTTCGTTGACGCTGCACATGGCTCCCGCGCTGCACCACGTCTGTCACTCCCGCCCGTCGTGCACAAAAATCGATTTGCCGCACTTGAGACTGACGCGAGCGACGACGCAACAATCGACATGTCCGATGATGGCTTTGATACCCCGTCCGACATGTCCATGGCTCAGTTCTCGCCGTCACCTCCTGCGTCGGATGTGACCGATGACTCGGCCGACCCAATTGACTTCCTGTCATGCCCGTCTCGCGCCGCTGCCTTTGCCGCCACCACCCCAGATTCACCGGTCGTCAAACTCGAAGGGCCAACCGAGGACCCCCAGAATTGGTCGCAGGCGGTCAAGTCAGGTAAAGAGGAGATCTGGAGGCAAGCAGCAGCCGACGAGTTCCACTCCCTTGCCACCAAGTACAAATGCTTCATCCCGGTTGACTCCTCCTCACTGCCCCCTGGCGCCAAAGTCCTCGGATCCAGGTTCATCTTCCGCACCAAACGCGATCAACTTGGCAAGATCACTTCGCACAAGGGCCGGCTCATTGCACAGGGATTCTCCCAGCGCCCAGGTATTGATTACGACGAGACTTTTGCTCCGGTTGCCAAGTTCACCTCCATCCGAGCTCTCATCGCCCTGGCCGCCGCCAAGAAACTCCACGTCCATCAGGCCGACGTTGACAAGGCGTATGAAAGGCACGAGATTGCTCTCGAGCCTCACTGATTCCGAATCCAAACAGAAAGGATCAAACGGTGTATTCGCAGGCGAAGAAAGACTACCAAAAGGACTAAGGTCAAGAAGCGCCCGTGGCGCCGCGCGCAAGTAAAGCTTAGGCCGCTGAGGTTGGCTTGAGTTGTCGTGAGGCGTAAGCGGAGCGGCACCTTACAGCATACCTCCACAGCGAGCTGAAGGAAGACCTCTACATGCGCGTCCCACAAGGTGTTGACATGCCCGGTAAAGTCCTCAAGCTCCATCGATCGATCTACGGCCTCAAGCAGGCCGGCCGAGTCTGGAACGAGCACATTGACTTGACGCTGAAAAGCCTCAACTACCGCGCCACAGCCAAGGACCACTGCGTGTACGTACGATGCGACGGCGACCACTACCACTACATCGCCCTCCACGCCCATGGCCCCGAACCGCCAGCTCGAACATTCGCTCGCGGAACCATCCAAAATTGCTCGGACACGCTACATGCAGGCCATTGGATGCCTCCTGTACGCCGCCACCGGTACTCGCCCGGACATTTCCTACGCTGTCGGATACCTCACACGCTTCTCTGCCAGTCCCACACCCGAACACTGGACGGCCATCAAGACTGTCTTTTGGTACCTACTGTAATACACCCCGTAGGAGTGTACACCGGAGCGACGACGATAGGATCACAGGACCAATGACAGGCGACGTCGGAGGGGATGACGTCGTCTACATGCGTTGGTACGGGGGGGGGGGGGGGGGATTTCAGGAAGTGTCGGCTGTTGCGGCGGCAGTCGACAAGGGAGCAACCGAGGAGGGGAGTCGGTCGAGAGGCTTGCAGGAAATCAAGTATAACGGACTTAATTCCTAAACGATCGACAAGAAGAGGAGGGGCAACAAAAGAGAAGAGCGGACCAAGCTCCGGGGGAAGGTGGTAAAACTAAAGGGAAGGGACTGCTCCAGGCCCAGAGGGGACTTAGCCAAATCAACCACTCCAAGAGGTCGCCTCAGGGGTAAAAAGGATTGCTCGCGGGAGCACCGGTAAAAACCCTGAAGCCGCGCCTCGGCTAACAAAAAGATAAAACAAACCGAAAGAAGACTGCGGTCTGGGCACCTCAAACCCGCGACCACCGAGCGCGCGCCCGCGCGCCACATGACTACGCCATCGCGCCCACGATGCTATGAAACGAGTCAAGCATCTGGTCAAGTCAACTCTACCCGCACATAGCCTTGGGGATCTACACTTCACAATCACCGTACTGCAGCCTTCGATACTCGAGTTAACAAGTGATACACCGACAAGATGTCTACCGGAGACCCTGGGTCCCCACTGCCAGCCCCGCCACCACCGGTATCCGCCACCAGCGTCCAGCCCCCCCGCGACCGGATCCCGATAAGCTCGAAGAAGACGCAAGTCACGGGCCCCGCCACCGCCGTGTTGAATTGCATTCTGTCAAGCCTTCGAACACTTCGACATCGGACCGCCGTTTGACGGACTTGCCCGCCTTTCGCCTCGCGCCTTCGCCTCAGCGCCTTGCCTCCGCGCGCTTTCGCCTCGGTGCCTCGCCTCCGCGCGCCTTCGCCTTCGCAAGCCCTCACTGTGCCCCCTGTCTCTCGAGCCTCACCGCATGATCCTGCACCCAGCCTCGTTCCTCGACCCCTGTGCGCCTTTGTCAACTCGCCCACATCTCGGTCTGTTCACCCGGTCGTCGCCTGCCCTACCTGCACGCCACTATGAGACGATCACCACTACTGTCAGGAGAGGTTGAGAGTCGAACAGAAGTGATCTATTTCAGCGTACCTATGAGACGTTCACCACTACTGTCAGGAGAGGTTGAGAGTCAAACAGAAGTGATGAGAAGGAAGCTAAGAAACAGAAAGGGGGGGGGGGGGGGGGGGGGGGCACGCTGGGATAGGCCCAGGCGCGTGACAATGTACATCCCTAAGTCAGCCGCGGGTGAAATCGCCGGCGCGCCTAAGTCCCCACCGCAAGGGGGCGGGCTAGCGGGCGCGCGCATGAATCCGCCGGCGCTGGCGCGCTGAGGCAGTCGCGCGCGTCTAAGTCCCCACCGCCGGGGGCGGGCTAGCAAGTGCGCGCAACGACCGAGGCGCCCCTGTTGAGCTGAGAGTGGACTCTTCACACCCCCCCCCACGCGAATGCGAGGCAGACCCAAGCCGCGGGTGTCGAGTGCGAAGGCCGAGGGCGTAGCAGTGCGTTGAGAAGACCTTTGGGCCGAGAGCCTTGGTGAAGATGTCGGCCACCATGTCGCTGGTACCCACATGCGAGAGAGAGATGGCAGGCAACGTCCTCTTCAGAAGACGTTGACTACACGCGGAGGAGGGGATCAGGCCGAAGGAAGGTCGACTGGGCGGGGGCAGGCGACCGAGGGACAACCGAGGAGGGGACGCGGTTGTGAGGCTCGCAGCAAGTCAAGTATATCGGACTTTATTGCCAACGAGATCGAAAACGAAGGATGAAGGTGAAGGGATCTTGGGAGATGTAGCGGACCAGGCTGAGTGGGAAGGTGCTAAAAACAAAAGGGAGGCACTCAGGCGCAGAGGGGACTTAGCCAATTCAGCTACTCCAAGAGGTCGCCTCAGGGGGAAAAAGGATTGCTCGCGGGAGCACCGGTAAAAACCCTGAGGCCGCGCCTCAGCTAACAAAAAGAACAAAAACCGAGAGAAGATTGCGCTCTGCGCGCCTTGAACCCGCGACCATTAAGTGCGCGCCCGCGCGCCGAACGACTACGCCATCACGCCCACAATGCTTGAATGGAGGGAAGCATTTGGTGACCTCAACTCTACCTGCACATTACCTCAGGGACTTCCTTCGAGTGTTGCTGTCAGTGTATCGCTGTTTGCCTGACATTGTCCCCCCCAGAAGGAAGTCTACCGGGAGGACAGGCGGCGATTTGAGCGATCGAGTTGTGCCAGGTAGGCGTCGAGTAGGGATGGATGGTCGAAGCGGAGGGACTGCTCTGACATCCAAGTGTCATCGATGTCCTTACGGCCAATCCATCGAACCAAGAACGAACGATTGCCCCGAGCGTTCCGACGATCGCGAACAATCCGTTCCGGAATGGCGGAGTTGTCGGCCGCGTCGGCTACATCTTCAACAAAAAGAACTGCGGGGTCACGCCCAGGGAACCTCTCAGCATCGTTCTCAACATAGGGGCGAAGCAGTCGAGCATGGAAGCGACTGTGCACTCGCGACATTGCTGGGGGAAGCTCGAGGTCGTAACTGGACGTCGCTGGAATGGCCGCTCGGATACGGAAAGGACCAATGTAGCGCGGCAACAACTTCGACTTCATCCCTTCAGGAACTGCCAGGTTCTTGGTCGAAAGATAGACATAACTGCCGGTCCGAAAGGCGGGATCATCCGGGCGTCGATGCTTGTTGGCCTGGTGAGTCTGATCGAGGCGTGCACCAATGATCGCATCCGTGACGTCGAGATTCCGTAACTGTCGGATTCGGGCAAACGCTTCCGCACGCGGGACGTCCGAGACAGACCAGGAATCGGTGGGCCAGCGTCGAGGAAGGTAACCGTAAGTCGCCTCGAAAGCCGACAGAGACGTGGAAACCGCAACGGAAGAGTTAAGAGCGAACTCAGCTTCAACAAGACGAGATGCCCAAGCCTCGTGGTTTGACGACACCATGATGCGCAGGGTTTGGGTGACCATCTTGATTCGGTTCTCACTCGATCCGTCGGTCTCTGGGTGCGCCGCTGTTGACATCCGCAAGACGGTGCCGACCTTCGCCTGCAATGCTCGCCAAAACTGCGAGGTGAACTTGGGATCGCGATCGGAAACGATGGCGGAAGGCGTCCCATGCAGTCGAAAGATGGTGGCGTAGTACCTGTCGGCAACGAGCTCGGAGTCGGCGTCGGCTGGGAGGGGAATCAGGTGGACCATCTTGCCCCAAGTGTCAGTGACCACCATGATTTGAGCGACCATCATCCCTTCGAACTCGACCGGAGGCAGTCCCGTCATGAAGTCGATGGCCACTTGTTCCCATGGGCCAGAAGGGATCGGCATCGGATGCAGTCGGCCATAAGGGACTTGAGTGGACGCTTTGCCTCGGGCACAATCTTCGCATGAATGGCAGAACTTGGCGCAATCGGCAGACATGGACGACCACCAATACAAAGGACGTATGGCGGCCAAGGTGATGCGATGTCCCGCGTGCCCGACGCTCCGATGGATCTCCGAAAGCACGAGCTCGCGCAGCGATGGGAGCTTGTCGGAGTCGACAACGCCGGTAGCGAGACCGCGAGGCACAAACAGGGAAAGAGACTCATCTGGATGTACACGCAAGATCCTCCCTTCCTCGGTCACCCGAAACATCGGCCATGACAGCGGGTCGTCAACAATGACTTGGGCTTGCGAATCGTGGGCGTAGGCTCGGATGACGGCGTCGAGGAAAGGTTGCGGCAGCGGGTCGGGCGGTCGATGGACTACAGGGGCGTCGTTGACCTCATCGGCGGCGGCTCCCAGTAAGTCGAGTTCATCGGCGTCGGCATCGACTGGAATGGGCGCGTCGTTGGCGGGGGCCGCGGCGATAGCATGAACTCGATTGACGGCGATGGGAGGAGAAAGGGGACCGGTAGAAGAGTCGACGGCGTCCATAATGTTCTCGGCCAGACGATGGGAACCGGGAGAGCCTGCGTCGTAGCCGTGATCCCAGGGCCCGAAGGCACAATCAACAGGGGGCAACCGATCGTGCGAAGGTGAGGTGTAAGGACGTTCCTCAGGGAGGCTCTCACCAGGTGTAGTGAACTCGTGGCATTCTTCCTTCAAGAACAAATTCCCTAAATCCCGTCCATTCACGTCCTCGTCTTGCGATTCGTCCTTGAGCGCGTAGTATCCGGGAGAGCCTGCCTCGCAATCGTCGCGTTGGGGCCCGAAGGCAAAATCAACAGGAGGCAACCGATCGGGAGATGGTGAGGTGTAAGGATGTTCCTCAGGGAGGCTCTCACCGTGTGTAGTGAATCCGTGGCGTTCTCCATCAAAGAACATATCCTCCAACTCATTCTCCTTGACCTGATCCTCGGGCGATCCCTCCTTGACTTCCCACAAGCGTGACAACGAATCGGCAAGGGAGTTGTTCTTGCCCGCAATGAATTCGAATTCGAAGTCGAAACGGCTGAGTTCGAGACACATGCGGATGTGCCGGGGTGTTTGGCGTAACTTCTGCGTTTTAATCGTGCGAAGGGCTTGGTGGTCGGTGACGATGACGAAGGGGTAACCGATCAAGTGCTGCTCGAACGCCCGACACGCCGAAACGACGGCTAAGAACTCCTTATCAGTGACGTGATAATTGAGCTGAGCGCCATTGAACTTAGCGGAGAAGAATCGCGTAGGAATGGCCTGCGAACGAGTGGGGCCCGAGGCCAGGCAAGCGCCAATGCCAACACGACTGGCATCGGTGAACAAGTAGATTTTGTGCTCGCCGGAGGTGACCTTAGCGCCGTCGATCGGTCGCAGTGTTGCTGGCACGAGGGACTTGACGGTGTCGAAGGCCTGCTGCTCGCGCTCGTTCCAACGCCACGACGTCGATTGCGCTAATAATGCGGTGATGGGCTCCAAGGTGATCGAGAGGTGGGGCAGGTGATCTCGCATCCAATTCACGGTGCCGAGGAAACGCTGAACGTCGGTCTTGTTGTGTGGAGTCGGCCACTGTCGGATACGCTCCCACTTGGCCGGGTCGACCTCGATGCCGTCGTCGGAGATGATCGCGCCCAAGGAATCTAACGACTTTGAGAACCACTCGGATTTGTTGGATCCTAAGTAGAACCGATAATGTCGCAGTGTCATCAGCAAAATCTCGATGTGTCTTAAGTGCGCGCGACGAGTATCGGAATGGACGTGAACATCGTCGAAAAAGATCTTGGCAAACGAGAGGCACGGCTGAAACATCGCCGATGTCAACAAGTTCAGGGTGTTGGGCGCATTGGTGTCCCCAAACTGCATCACCCGCGACGTGTACGTGCCCGTGACCGTGGCGAAGCCGGTGCGATCGACGTGCTCGGGTATGACCCGCACCTGCTCAAACGCTGCGGCCACGTCGAATTTGGACCGGTAGCGCGAACGTGCCACTTCGTAGCGAACACTGGTCATGTCGGGGATAGGTGAAAAACGCTTGGCGGTGTTGCTGTTGCGAGCGCGGAGGTCGATCACAAAGCGAGCGGTCTGGGAGTTCTTTTTCGGAATGGCGAAGACCGGAGCCGCAGAGTCGATCGGACCAGAAACCCAGAAGCGACCGCGAGTGTACTTAGCTGAATGCTCCGCCCACTGGCTACGATATTTGTCGGCAAGGGGATAGACCCTCGGCTTGACCTTCTCGTTGGGGTCGATCAAAGGGATTTCGTGATTGACGGGTCGATAAGGCGGGAGTCGGTCCATTGGGAGCGAATCTACGAACACATCAGAGTATTTCTCGAGTAAGGCAGCCAATCGTGTTCGTGCTTCGGACTCAGACAAATCCTCGAGCGCCGGGTCGTCGACGACATCCAGTAGAGGGTTGTGCGGCTCGAGGCCAATGATCTCGTCGTCAGGAAGCAACCCTGGGTGATCGTAGCCAATGGCAGAGCCGGAGCAGATGGGCGCCACCGTGACTGCGCGATCCCACTCGTGAGTGCCCTTGGCGACCGGCTGCGAAGGGCCCGGCCGTGCGACGGTGAAGACGCCCCAGCCTACCAGCATGCCGGTGTCCTTCAGAAACGGCAAACCCAGGATAGCATCATATGCCGTCACACGGCAAATGAAAAACGCCCGCAAGCCGAGGTCGAGGGAACCGGACGTGAAGAGGGCGTTGGCAAACACGGCGCAGCGGTCAGATTTGTCGCGAGTGCCGAGGCGCAAGTGCAGCGGCGCGGTAAGGCGGGACGTCGTGAAACTCGGGTCTGTTCGCACGACATCCTGATCCACCAAGTCCACTTCCGAACCAGAGTCGACGAGGCAACGCAGCGTTCGCCCAGACGGCAACGTCCACGCAATAATATTGCGGGCGCGCACAATCGCGGGCTCGGCGGGTCGGGCGAAGTCGTCGACGTCGATCAGGGGCGTGTCGGACTCCAAGAGAGAAACCCCCAACGGCACCGGAACACGAACAGAGCTCACCGATGCAGTCCTCTCCGCTTTGCGCGACGACACCACCTCCGGCCCCCAGTATCGCCGCATTCGCGACGCGGCATCAGCATAAGAGGGGACGTCTTCCACCGCGTCAAACGCAGAGTCGGTCGAGTCATCGGCAAGACGACGTAGATCTGCATCACTTGCCGGCGCGGTTGGCTGCGGATTACTTGATGAGACTTCGACGTCGACTGAAGAAGAAGCCCCTTCTTTCATTCGGCCAACGGGGTCTGCGGGAGGGCAAGAAGGGCGCGTCATTGAAGCGGAAACGGAACTCAAAGGTCGAGTCTGAACACGCTCGAGTGAAATGGGGACTCTCACCTCGGGATCCTCGTCACCACCTGCGACCGAGGACCAATCTTCGTCATCCAAGTCGGCCACAGCGACCGCTGAGAGTTGGACGGCGACCGGGGATTGACGCTCCGCGGTGCAGTGCTGCGAGAAATGACCGCCTCGTCCGCAGTTGAAGCAAGCCATGCTGGTGGGTACCCCGCTGGGCGCCGGGGAAAACCAGGTGGAGCGGTCCTTCCACAAGTGCGATTGCTGCCACTTAGTAGCGCGGTCGACCCATCGAGCTCGTCGGATCGGGAACCTCTCGTCGACGGTGGGCGTGTTGGTCGCAGGTGGGCTCACTCGGGGAGCTTTGACGATCGCGCCATAGGTCGCGGTGCGGCTTGGTGGGGTCGGAACCGAAGGCGGAGGAGAAATGTCGTCGGCGATAGCGGCCCACTCGGTAATCTCGTCGATGGACGGGACCTTCAGTCCGAATCGCCCAATTGTCACCAGCGAGTTGTCGTGGTATTCACGTAACATTCCCGCCCGCACTTCCCGCTTGGAGGAGTCACTGAGCGATTGGTAGAAGGTCGTGGCGAGCTGAAGCGGCGACAGGGTGAAACTATCGTTGTCGTGCACGAAGGCACGGTACCGCGCCCGCCACTCCCCGACATGGTCGTAAGCCCGAGACGACGACTGGCGACATCCGTGGAAGTCTTGAGCCACTCTATCGGCGAACCCGGGGTCGGGCCAACGACGTCCCACTGCCTTCATGAGCGACGTCCAACAATGAGGGCGCCCTTCTCCAAGCGCGTCCCTCATCGCCTCGACGGCCCAATCGAGCGGGGATTGGCGGCGCTGTCGGGTTGTCGTACGAAAAAATAGCGTCGCCACAAGCTGGATCACTCGGCTCGTGTCGAAAAGGTCGGAGGTGGAGATGTCGCACAAGAGAGAAAGATACGACTCCCCAAACGCAGTGAAAATCACCAACCTTTCCGGATGATCTCCGGTCCATAACCCTTCCCGGTCCGGCAATGTCCCTCTCCAACGAGAGCTAATCACCGCCGAGGAAGGGCCGTCCCTAATTCCGCTGTGAGATTCCCCCCCAGGGGTACGAGCAAGGGGGTCAGCGGCAGCTCCCGGGCGTCCCAAAAATGTGTGCGGGGGGACGTCCAGGGGGACCGGTCTCACCGGCAGAGCCTCCCCGACCTGCGCCCCAGCAGGTGCGGTGGATTCTCTCATCAATCGTTCCACCATCTGCTCCAATTTGCGGATGCGTGTCTCCGAGTCGCGGCGCAGGGCTTCCGATTCTGCGAGGCGGGATTCAAGGGACGTGATGACGGCGGCGGCCTGGAGCGGGTGCGGCGAATGCGTCGGCGGGGACTTAGGCGGATTCGCGCGCGAGGGGTCTTCGCGGACGGGGGCGGTGGTGTCTCGCGACGTGTCGGTGGGTTCGGCCATGGCGAGTTCGCGGCGTAGCGGTTGGCGGTTGTGGGGAGAACGGATGCGAGCTCGAGAAGGATGGAAGAAGGGGTACGAAGGGATGACGCGTTCGTCGTCGGACTCAGTGAATGAGGTGGCGAATGACCACGACGCGTCAGCGGGGGATGAGTTCGGCAACGGGGAGGAAGCTGACGACTCAGGGGTAGTGGACGATTGCTCGTCCAGGATGCAGGATAGAGCAAGGGCAAGCGAGATCGAAGGTTGGCGGTGCCGGACTTGAAAAAAGTGGCAGGCAACGTCCTCTTCAGAAGACGTTGACTACACGCGGAGGAGGGGATCAGGCCGAAGGAAGGTCGACTGGGCGGGGGCAGGCGACCGAGGGACAACCGAGGAGGGGACGCGGTTGTGAGGCTCGCAGCAAGTCAAGTATATCGGACTTTATTGCCAACGAGATCGAAAACGAAGGATGAAGGTGAAGGGATCTTGGGAGATGTGGCGGACCAGGCTGAGTGGGAAGGTGCTAAAAACAAAAGGGAGGCACTCAGGCGCAGAGGGGACTTAGCCAATTCAGCTACTCCAAGAGGTCGCCTCAGGGGGAAAAAGGATTGCTCGCGGGAGCACCGGTAAAAACCCTGAGGCCGCGCCTCAGCTAACAAAAAGAACAAAAACCGAGAGAAGATTGCGCTCTGCGCGCCTTGAACCCGCGACCATTAAGTGCGCGCCCGCGCGCCGAACGACTACGCCATCACGCCCACAATGCTTGAATGGAGGGAAGCATTTGGTGACCTCAACTCTACCTGCACATTACCTCAGGGACTTCCTTCGAGTGTTGCTGTCAGTGTATCGCTGTTTGCCTGACATTGATCCAATGACGACGACCGGGGTTGTTGGCGAAGCGGGCCAGGTAGGACACGGCGAAGGCGATGTCAGGGCGGGTGCCGAGCGAAATGTAGAGGAGCGAGCCGATAGCCTGCAGATACCATGACCTGATCCGTTCGGTGCCTTGACCCGGGATAGCAGTGAGCGAAAGGCCGGGAGTCATCGGAACTGTAGTGCCGCGAGTCGTGGTGTCGAAGTGGAACCGAGCGAGCACGTCCATGATGTACCGTTCCTGGGATAGGGCGATAGAGCCGTCGTCGAACCGCCTGATCTGGATGCCGAGGATATACTCGGCCGGGCCGAGGCGCTTGACTCCGTAGCGTTGTTCCAGGCCTGAGATTGTTGTTTGTAGGCTGCAGGACCTTGGGAGGTTGGCGTAGCGACCGCTAGGGCTACTGTGGGAGCGTCGACGTGGCTGGGTTGCAACGGACGGTCCGGGCGGAGAGGTCGTGAGGCGGTACGGACGAGGTCTGACGAGACGAACGTGGCACGGCTGGACGGACTGTTCTCTACCGAAGATTAGCTGTCTTGCTAATGTTGGGAAGCGGTAGAGAAGAGGAAGAAAGGCACAGGAGAGCGCGAGTCTGGCAAGGTTCTAGCTAGCGGGCGCATGAGGGGATTTCTACCAATCAGAGGAGCACGCTGCGAAGCCCTTGTGAAGAGTCCACTCTCAGCTCGACAGGGGCGCCTCGGTCGTTGCGCGCACTTGCTAGCCCGCCCCCGGCGGTGGGGACTTAGACGCGCGCGACTGCCTCAGCGCGCCAGCGCCCGCGGATTCATGCGCGCGCCCGCTAGCCCGCCCCCTTGCGGTGGGGACTTAGGCGCGCCGGCGATTTCACCCGCGGCTGACTTAGGGATGTACATTGTCACGCGCCTGGGACTATCCCAGCGTGGCCCCCCCCTTTCTGTTTCTTAGCTTCCTTCTCATCACTTCTGTTCGACTCTCAACCTCTCCTGACAGTAGTGGTGAACGTCTCATAGGTACGCTGAAATAGATCACTTCTGTTCGACTCTCAACCTCTCCTGACAGTAGTGGTGAACGTCTCATAGGTTATAAGCCCACGAGCCACCAGCTGGCATGACCACGACACCACCCCTCGCGACGGGTGCCAACCCTCCGATTCCCGCCGAACAGCTCGCCGCACTTACATCGCTGCTGTCGGGTCTCACCGCTGCCGCTTCCGGCACTGCCACACCCGCCACGACGTCCGGCACCACTCGCACTGCCTTTCCAAAGCACGCACGCTTGGATGGTGCGAAGACCTTCGCGAACTGGACACGCCAACTTCGCCTGTGCCTAGCGGACGACATCCGCTCGTACGTCCTCGACGGTATCGCACCCGACGACTGGACACCTTCGCAACGCTCCGCTCGCGACGCCGTCGCTCGTGAGGTCCTTGCGAATTCGATTGACTCGGCCGAAGTCTCGGCAGTCCTCGACAAAATCCCTACCGCCGACCTGACAGCGCCGACAATCTACTCGACGCTGAAATCGCGGTACGCCCCTGACGACGCCACCCGCACGCTCGAGCTCTTCTCACGACTCTGGGGTTTCCGTCCCATGCCCGGCACGGTTGCCGAATTCGACGGGTGGATCATGGACTTCAAAGCCGTTGCGCAAGAGATCATCGACACAAAGACAACTATCAATGATGTTCTCGCCACACTCCTCCTTGCAATCGCCCACCCGTCCCTCGAGAGCTTCAAGGCGTCGTTCACCGATGAACAGCGCACGCAACGAACTCTCCCCGACATTGATTCGCTTGCCGACCGTATGCGAGTCCAACTTCGGTCAACGAACATCCCCAGCACTCAATCGGCCCTTCTTGCCTCGTCGTCGTCACGTTCTACTCGTCTCAAGTGTCTCGCCTGTCGCAGCCCTTCGCACCGAGTCGCGGAGTGCCCTACGAGGGCGCAACACCCGCCGCCAGGACCCTGTCGCTCCTGCAAGAAGAAGGATCACTGGTCTCTCGACTGCAAGAAGGCGCTCGAGGACGGCAAAAAGCCCGACACCGCTGACTCGACCGTCGACTCGCAACACCATGTCGGATGTCTCGCCACCGGTCTTCTCGCTCGTCGTCGCCAGCTTCGCAACCACTCTTTTGTCGTCGACTCGGGCGCCACTTCGCACATGGTCTCGGACAAGTCGCTGTTCACGACCTATCGCCATATCGCTCCTACGAAGATTGGTGGTATTGCAGGGGGCATCAACGCCATCGGAACGGGAAACATCGCCTTCATTGCCGCCTCGGGTCATCCGATCACGCTTACCGGCGTGCTGCACACTCCGGGCCTGTTTGTCAATCTTCTCTCGGTCTCTCGACTTTGCGACACCGACGATGTCCGTGTCGCCTTCACAAAACACGGCATCCACATTGACAAGGACGGCAACGACATCGCTGAAGGCGCACGACTCGACGAAGGGCTCTACTTGCTGGACGCTGATCATTCCAAATGTCAGCACCTTGCTCTCCTTTCTCGCTCACAGTCGTCCGTGCCCCTGCTGACTCTCCATCGCTGCCTCGGCCATCTCGCACCGTCCTCCATACAGAAGATGGTTGCCGCTGGTTTGCTGGAGGGTCTCAGGGCCGGATATAGTGACGAAGAGGTAGAGAAGTTTGTCTGCAATGCTTGCCTCAGCGCAAAGGGCCATCGTCTTCCCTTTCCCGATTCGGATTCGCACTCCTCAGAGAGACTCGGCCTTGTACACAGCGATGTGCTTTCCTTCCCCGAGCGGTCCTTGACTGGCAAACGTTACCTGGTCACATTCCTTGACGATTACTCGCGCAAACTCTGGGCCTACGCAATCGGACACAAAAGCGAAGTCTTCGGCATATTCAAAACTTGGCTAGCCGAGGTTGAACTCGAGACGGGTGCGACGCTGAAGGTCCTCCGAACCGACAACGGTGGCGAATACTGTTCGAGAGCGTTCACAGAGTTCTGCAAGACACGAGGCACCCGTCGACAATACTCTATCCCACGCACGCCTCAACAGAACGGTCGTGCAGAGCGGGTCAATCGTTCCATTGTCGAAGGCGTCCTTGCCCTCCTTGTCGACGCCCACCTACCCAAGACATTCTGGGAGGAGGCTGCAGCTTATTTCGTTTACTGCAAGAACCTGTGTCAACACGCGGCCCTGGACAAGGCAACACCAAACTCCGTCTGGCAGGGTGACCACACCACTGCCTCGGCGCTTCACCCGTTCGGCTGTACAGCTTGGCTTACGGTCGCGCCCGAACTTCGCTCCAAACTCGACCCGAAGGCGGTTCGCGTTTTTTTCACCGGCTACGACCTGGCTTCAAAAGCCTTTCGCTTCTACGACACTACAACACAGAAGATTATACTTGGCAGAAATGCCACGTTCCTCGACACTGAATTCCCCGGATTACATGGCGACCCCACTGAGCAAGACGGCGACACGCACTTCGCCAGCGCTCCCACCACCGAATCTCAAACCGTTGTCAAGACATGGACCCCACTAGTAAGGTCGGCGCACATGGACGTCTCATCCCCCCTTGATGATTCTGCCATGAGCGCCGTTGACGTGGCCCCAGGGTACACTGGCGGAACCTTACTTAACTTCACAGATGCCGAATCGTCCTCGTCACCGTCGCCTGCGTCGCCCTCATCACCGTCGTCTGCGCCATCGCCTGCACTTTCACCATCGTCGGCTGCGTCATCGTCACCCTCGGCCTTACCGACCGACTCTGAAGACTCCGCCGATCCCCTCGACCTCCTCGGCTCACAGCCCCAGGTTCGCCTCGATCTACAGGACGTGCACCACCCAGACTTCAGCACGTACCGCGAGCCCGCATCGGCTGAGGAGTCGCCCGACGAACTCGACCTCATTGGGCGCCACTCTCGCGACGAATCTCCGGACGAAATCGATTTCCTCACCCGACACCACCGCGCCTTCATCGCCATCGACGACGACACCTCTGACACAGAGGCAATTCAGCCAGTCAAGTCCATCACGAGCGACCCACAGACCTGGCGCGAGGCGATGTCTAGCGACAAGCGTGAAGTATGGGCCAAAGCCGCCACCGACGAGTTCACCTCCATGCGCGACGACTTCAAGGTCTTCACCATCGAGGACCGAGCCACGGTGCCCGCGGGTGCGACTATCGTTACATCCAAGTTCGTCTGGAAAACGAAACGGAACGCACTCGGCGAAGTCACTGGACACAAGGCAAGGCTGGTCGCGCAAGGCAATCGGCAACGCGACGGCATCGACTTCAACGAAACGTTCGCACCGGTCGCACGCTTCTCCTCGATACGCTCACTCCTCGCGCTGGCGGCCGCCAACGGCTTGCACGTGCACCAGGCGGACATCGACAAAGCATATCTGCATGGCGACCTTGACCACGACATCTGGATGACGGCACCGCGCGGCTTCGACCTTCCCAGCGACAAGGTGCTTCGCCTGCGACGCTCCATCTACGGGCTCAAACAGGCTGGCCGAATCTGGAATCGACACATCGACGCTTCGCTTCGGGCCCTCGGTTACACGGCGACGGGCACCGACCACTGCGTATACTCTTGGCTCGATGATCGTCAATGTCCACACTACATCGCACTGTACGTCGACGACCTCCTGATGATCAGCCCGGAACTGGCCGAAATCGAACGTGTCATCTCAGGCCTGGACCAACGCTACGGAGTCAAGCGCCTCGGCCCGGCCGAGTATATCCTCGGCATCCAGATCAGGCGGTTCGACGACGGCTCTATCGCCCTATCCCAGGAACGGTACATCATGGACGTGCTCGCTCGGTTCCACTTCGACACCACGACTCGCGGCACTACAGTTCCGATGACTCCCGGCCTTTCGCTCACTGCTATCCCGGGTCAAGGCACCGAACGGATCAGGTCATGGTATCTGCAGGCTATCGGCTCGCTCCTCTACATTTCGCTCGGTACCCGCCCTGACATCGCCTTCGCCGTGTCCTACCTGGCCCGCTTCGCCAACAACCCCGGTCGTCGTCATTGGATTGCGGTCAAGCACATCCTACGCTATCTCCGGGCCACGTATCGCAACGAACTCGTGTATGCTCGCGGCCAGGCTCGCATCACGGGTGTGGTAGGCTACTCCGACGCGAACTGGGGGGCCTGCATCGACACATCGGTGTCCACCATGGGCTACGTCTTCTACATCGCTGGCTCGGCCGTGTCCTGGTCGTCCAAACGCCAGTCTCGAGTTGCCGATTCGACCACCGACGCTGAATACCTCGCCCTCTCGCATGCTGGCAAGGAAGGGATTTACCTCAGTCAGCTGCTCGAAGAGCTCCATGTACAACCTGTTGCACCGGCTCACATCTTTACTGACAACGAAGCCGCTGCTGCAGTTGCTCACGATCCTGTCCGCGTCTCTGGCACTCGGCACATACGCTTGCGTGAGCACTTCGTTCGGGACATGGTGAATCGGGGCGACATCTCTCTCTCGCATGTGGGTACCAGCGACATGGTGGCCGACATCTTCACCAAGGCTCTCGGCCCAAAGGTCTTCTCAACGCACTGCTACGCCCTCGGCCTTCGCACTCGACACCCGCGGCTTGGGTCTGCCTCGCATTCGCGTGGGGGGGGGTGTGAAGAGTCCACTCTCAGCTCGACAGGGGCGCCTCGGTCGTTGCGCGCACTTGCTAGCCCGCCCCCGGCGGTGGGGACTTAGACGCGCGCGACTGCCTCAGCGCGCCAGCGCCGGCGGATTCATGCGCGCGCCCGCTAGCCCGCCCCCTTGCGGTGGGGACTTAGGCGCGCCGGCGATTTCACCCGCGGCTGACTTAGGGATGTACATTGTCACGCGCCTGGGACTATCCCAGCGTTATGAAGGAACAATATACCACTGCACCAAAAGGCGAGGCACCTCTACTTCAGTGAGCGCATATTGTCCTAGAAGTGAGATGGAGCGAAGTTCAACACCCCCCTGTGCGCGAAGCTGAAGAGCTTGTGGCAGTGGGTGCGGCTTGTGAGGCAACTGGGCATGTTGATCAGGTCGCTTGGGCAAGTGCAGCTTGGGCACTGTGAGCACTGTCGATGCGCCAGGGTGCTTGGCACGCTGCTGGGCAAGTGCGGGGGCCGGGACGCTGAGTGTATGCGCGCAAAATTGCCTGACCCCAGGGGGGATTGAACTCATGACCTGCTGGTTGCTCTGGGCTCATAACCTATGAAGGAACAATATACCACTGCACCAAAAGGCGAGGCACCTCTACTTCAGTGAGCGCATATTGTCCTAGAAGTGAGATGGAGCGAAGTTCAACAAGCGTGGCCCCCCCCTTTCTGTTTCTTAGCTTCCTTCTCATCACTTCTGTTCGACTCTCAACCTCTCCTGACAGTAGTGGTGAACGTCTCATAGGTACGCTGAAATAGATCACTTCTGTTCGACTCTCAACCTCTCCTGACAGTAGTGGTGAACGTCTCATAGCCCTAAGGGCCAAACTCCAAGTGGGCCATCGAGGTTCTGAGAGATGTCATGTTGGACGACAAACGCGAGGGAAACTTATCTACATGATCCAGTGTTGCTCAGTGAGGTGATCCGTAACGACAAGTTCCAGGTTGCAAACGATGGGCATCATGAATGGGCGATGTTCTGAATGGCCGATGGATCATGAGGTCGGCGGTGGCAAACTGGCTGTGGCGAGGCGGAGGCGTTGGCTTGGCAAAGCTGGAGAGTGCAGACTGACTAAGTCCCGGCGTGGAGGCGGCGGCGCGCGAGCGTGAGTTGAGCAGGCAGGCACGGAGGCGGAGACAAGGGGGCGGCTTAGCTGCGAAGGCGAAAGGCGCCCGAGGCGAGAATGCGCCGAGGCGAAAGGGCGCTCGAGGCGAGAAAATGGGCAGGCCTGACAAATGGTGGCGCGAGGTTGAAGTGTTCGAAGGCTTGTAGTAGAATGAAATTCAACAGAGATGACACGTTCGATTTCGGCCAGGTCCGGGCTGATCATCAGGAGGTCGTCGACGTACAGTGCGATGTAGTGTGGACGTTGACGATCATCGAGCCGAGAGTATACGCAGTGGTCGGTGCCCGTCGCCGTGTAACCGAGGGCCCGAAGCGAAGCGTCGATGTGTCGATTCCAGATTCGGCCAGCCTGTTTGAGCCCGTAGATGGAGCGTCGCAGGCGAAGCACCTTGTTGCTGGGAAGGTCGAAGCCGCGCGGTGCCGTCATCCAGATGTCGTGGTCAAGGTCGCCATGCAGATATGCTTTGTCGATGTCCGCCTGGTGCATGTGCAAGCCGTTGGCGGCCGCCAGCACGAGGAGAAGCGTGCGACCGGTGCGAACATTTCGTTGAAGTCGATGCTGTCGCGTTGCCGATTGCCTTGCGCGACCAGCCTTGCCTTGTGTCCAGTGACTTCGCCGAGTGCGTTCCGTTTCGTTTTCCAGACGAACTTGGATGTAACGATAGTCGCACCCGCGGGCACCGTGGCTCGGTCCTCGATGGTGAAGACCTTGAAGTCGTCGCGCATGGAGGTGAACTCTGTTGAATTTCATTCTACTACAAGCGTTCAAACACTTCAACCTTGGGCCGCCGTTGTCAGGTCCGCCCATTTTCGCCTCGGCGCCTTTGCCTTCGCAGCCAAGCCGCCGCCCCATTTTCACCTCGGCGCCTTCGCCTTCGCAGCCAAGCCGTCGCCCTCCTGCCTCGCGCCGGCCTGCTCAACTCACGCCCGCGCGCCGCCGCCTCCACGCCGGGACTCTGGCCGTCTGCCCTCCAGTCTTGCTGAGCCAATGCCTCCACTTAGTCACCAGCAGCTTGCCGCCGCCGTCCTCATGTTCCATCGGCCATCAAGAGTATCGCCCATGCATGACGCCCGCCGTTCGCAACCTGAGTCTCGTCGCTATGGACTCCCTCGCTCACCAACACTCGACATCGTAGATAGGTTTCCCCTCGTGGCCGTTGTCCAACACGACCCCTCTCAGCACCCGAATGACCCACTTGGAGTTTGCCCTTGATGCTTAGCAGCGCATCCGCCCGATTTGCAGTAGATCCTTTGTGCGCCCGCTTGCTAGAACCTTGTCAGACTCGCGCTCCTTGTGCTTCCCGACATTAGCCAGACTGCTAATCTTCGGTAGAGAACAGATCGTCCAGCCGCACCGCCGTCTCGTCAGACCGCGTCTGTGCCGCCTTGCAACTTCTCCCAATTGGACCGTCCGTCGCAACCGTAGCCACGTCGACGCGCCCAACAGTAGCCCCAGCGGTCGCTACACCCAGTTCCGAAAAGTTCCACGACCTACACTCTATAAACTCGTCGGTGGCGGCTTTGGCCCATACTTCACGCTTGTCGCTAGACATCGCCTCGCGCCAGGTCTGTGGGTCGCTCGTGATGGACTTGACTGGCTGAATTGCCTCTGTGTCAGAGGTGTCGTCGTCAATGGCGATGAAGGCGCGGTGGTGTCGGGTGAGGAAATCGATTTCGTCCGGAGATTCGTCGCGAGAGTGGCGCCCAATGAGGTCGAGTTTGTCGGGCGACTCCTCAGCCGATGCGGGCTCGCGGTACGTGCTGAAGTCTGGGTGGTGCACGTCCTGTAGATCGAGGCGAACCTGGGGCTGTGAGCCGAGGAGGTCGAGGGGATCGGCGGAGTCTTCAGAGTCGGTCGGTAAGGCCGAGGGTGACGATGACGCAGCCGACGACGGTGAAAGTGCAGGCGATGGCGCAGGCGACGGTGACGAGGACGATTCGGCATCTGTGAAGTTAAGTAAGGTTCCGCCAGTGTACCCTGGGGCCACGTCAACGGCGCTCATGGCAGAATCATCAAGGGGGGATGAGACGTCCATGTGCGCCGACCTTACTAGTGGGGTCCATGTCTTGACAACGGCTTGAGATTCGGTGGTGGGAGCGCTGGCGAAGTGCGTGTCGCCGTCTTGCTCAGTGGGGTCACCATGTAATCCGGGGAATTCAGTGTTGAGGAACGTGGCATTTCTGCCAAGTATAATCTTCTGTGTCGTAGTGTCGTAGAAGCGAAAGGCTTTTGAAGCCAGGTCGTAGCCGGTGAAAAGAACGCGAACCGCCTTCGGGTCGAGTTTGGAGCGAAGTTCGGGCGCGACCGTAAGCCAAGCTGTACAGCCGAACGGGTGAAGCGCCGAGGCAGTGGTGTGGTCACCCTGCCAGACAGAGTTTGGTGTTGCCTTGTCCAGGGCCGCGTGTTGACACAGGTTCTTGCAGTAAACGAAATAAGCTGCAGCCTCCTCCCAGAATGTCTTGGGTAGGTGGGCGTCGACAAGGAGGGCAAGGACGCCTTCGACAATGGAACAATTGACCCGCTCTGCACGACCGTTCTGTTGAGGCGTGCGTGGGATAGAGTATTGTCGACGGGTGCCTCGTGCCTTGCAGAACTCTGTGAACGCTCTCGAACAGTATTCGCCACCGTTGTCGGTTCGGAGGACCTTCAGCGTCGCACCCGTCTCGAGTTCAACCTCGGCTAGCCAAGTTTTGAATATGCCGAAGACTTCGCTTTTGTGTCCGATTGCGTAGGCCCAGAGTTTGCGCGAGTAATCGTCAAGGAATGTGACCAGGTAACGTTTGCCAGTCAAGGACCGCTCGGGGAAGGAAAGCACATCGCTGTGTACAAGGCCGAGTCTCTCTGAGGAGTGCGAATCCGAATCGGGAAAGGGAAGACGATGGCCCTTTGCGCTGAGGCAAGCATTGCAGACAAACTTCTCTACCTCTTCGTCACTATATCCGGCCCTGAGACCCTCCAGCAAACCAGCGGCAACCATCTTCTGTATGGAGGACGGTGCGAGATGGCCGAGGCAGCGATGGAGAGTCAGCAGGGGCACGGACGACTGTGAGCGAGAAAGGAGAGCAAGGTGCTGACATTTGGAATGATCAGCGTCCAGCAAGTAGAGCCCTTCGTCGAGTTGTGCGCCTTCAGCGATGTCGTTGCCGTCCTTGTCAATGTGGATGCCGTGTTTCGTGAAGGCGACACGGACATCGTCGGTGTCGCAAAGTCGAGAGACCGAGAGAAGATTGACAAACAGGCCCGGAGTGTGCAGCACGCCGGTAAGCGTGATCGGATGACCCGAGGCGGCAATGAAGGCGATGTTTCCCGTTCCGATGGCGTTGATGCCCCCTGCAATACCACCAATCTTCGTAGGAGCGATATGGCGATAGGTCGTGAACAGCGACTTGTCCGAGACCATGTGCGAAGTGGCGCCCGAGTCGACGACAAAAGAGTGGTTGCAAAGCTGGCGACGACGAGCGAGAAGACCGGTGGCGAGACATCCGACATGGTGTTGCGAGTTGACGGTCGAGTCAGCGGTGTCGGGCTTTTTGCCGTCCTCGAGCGCCTTCTTGCAGTCGAGAGACCAGTGATCCTTCTTCTTGCAGGAGCGACAGGGTCCTGGCGGCGGGTGTTGCGCCCTCGTAGGGCACTCCGCGACTCGGTGCGAAGGGCTGCGACAGGCGAGACACTTGGGACGGGTAGAACGTGACGACGACGAGGCAAGAAGGGCCGATTGAGTGCTGGGGATGTTCGTTGACCGAAGTTGGACTCGCATACGGTCGGCAAGCGAATCAATGTTGGGGAGAGTTCGTTGCGTGCGCTGTTCATCGGTGAACGACACCTTGAAGCTCTCGAGGGACGGGTGGGCGATTGCAAGGAGGAGTGTGGCGAGAACATCATTGATAGTTGTCTTTGTGTCGATGATCTCTTGCGCAACGGCTTTGAACTCCATGATCCACCCGTCAAATTCGGCAACCGTGCCGGGCATGGGACGGAAACCCCAGAGTCGTGAGAAGAGCTCGAGTGTGCGGGTGGCGTCGTCAGGGGCGTACCGCGATTTCAGCGTCGAGTAGATTGTCGGCGCTGTCAGGTCGGCGGTAGGGATTTTGTCGAGGACTGCCGAGACTTCGGCCGAGTCAATCGAATTTGCAAGGACCTCACGAGCGACGGCGTCGCGAGCGGAGCGTTGCGAAGGTGTTGTGAGGAATCCACTCTCCGCTCGGCTCAGGACTTAGGCGCGCGGAGCGAACCGGGCGCGGACTTAGGCGCGCGGAGTGAGCCGGGCGCCCCGGCCCAGGACTTAGGCGCGCGAAGCGAGCCTGGGACTTAGGCGCGCGGAGCGAGCCTGGGCCATTGGCTCAGCCCCAGGCTCGCTGGCTGTGGACTTGGGGCGCGCGGGTCTCTTATTGTTAGCTTCCTATTCATCACTCTTGGCTATAACTACATCGCTGACGTAGTAGAGTTGATTGAATAGGTATGTTGAAATGCATTCATCACTCTTGGCTATAACTACATCGCTGACGTAGTAGAGTTGATTGAATAGGTTATAAGCCCACGAGCTACCAGCCCCGCCGCTTGAGGCTTTTTCGCTCGAGCCCAGCCACTCGAGCCGCACACGTCCATCGCACCATCACATCATGGACAGCTCTCCCGCCTCGCCTTTGGCCCCCAGGGATCCCAGCTCCCCTGAATCTTCGATCGGCGAACAAATCGCCACTCTACAGGCCCAGCTTGCCGCTCTGCAGGCCTCGCAACCCGCCGTCGCCGCAGCCGCCGCACCCCCGGCCGTCACCGTCGTGCCGGGGAACGCCGCCACCGCATCCAAGGTCGTGTTTCCCAAGCACGCTCGTCTGGACGGCCCCAAGTCGTTCACCAACTGGTTGCGTCAACTCCGTCTTGCACTCCCGAACCAGGTTCGTGGTTACGTTCTCGACGGTGTCGTTCCCCCGACCTGGACCGCCGACCAGCTTGCCGCACGTGACGACGCCGCCCGGGAAATCATCGTTGGCTCTATCGACTCCGCCGACGTATCGGCCACCCTCGACGCCATCCCCAGCGACGACCTGTCGGCACCGCGCATCTTTGCCGCTCTCAAGGCTCGTTTTGCACCGGACGACGCTACACGCACTCTCGAGTTGTTCGCTCGCCTTTGGGACTTCAGGAAGATGCCTGCCTCCGTCGAGGCCTACGACACTTGGCTACGCGAGTACATGTCGATTGCTCAAGAAATACGCGACGCCAAAACATCGCTCAACGACGTGCTCGCCACCCACGTGCTCGCCATGGTCCCGTCTTGCCTCGACAGCTTCCGACTCACGTTCACGGACGAGCAGCGAAACCGACGCGACCTTCCCGAACTCACGACGCTTACGGACCGCATTCGCATCCAGCTTCGTTCGGCAGGACTCTCGACCTCGCATTCGGCCATGCTTGCCACCAGCTCCCCCTGCCCCGCCTGCCGCGCTCCCGGTCACCGCCTGCGCGACTGCACTTCACGTGCGAAGCACCCGCCCACCGGCCCCTGCCGCCGATGCCACAAGAAAGGTCACTGGGCACTCGACTGCAAGAACCGGGGTGAACAGGCACGTAGCAGCGACGACACCCAGGACGACACGTCTTCCTCCGCGGCCTCGCAACCGAACGTCGGCTATTTCGCCTCCTGCCTCTTCGCTCGTCGCCAACTCCCAACTGACGCCTTTGTAGTCGATTCGGGTGCCACGACACACATGGTCGCCGACCGATCTCTATTCACGACTTATCGTCAGACGGCACACACCAAGATCGGCGGCATCGCGGGCGGCATCACGGCTATCGGCATGGGGGACGTGGCATTCGTCGCCAAGACTGGACACCCGATCACGCTCCGTGGTGTTCTTCACACGCCTGGCCTACACGTCAACCTCCTCTCTGTCTCTCGCCTCTGCGACACCGACCGCGTTCGTCTCGCCTTCACCAGCGACGGCATCGACATCGCCAAGGACGGCCGGGCCATTGCTCACGGTACCAGGGTCAACGACGGTCTTTACCTTTTGGACGCGGATCACACCAAGTGTCAGCATCTTGCCTTCCTCTCACGCTCTGAGTCTCCCGTGCCCCTGCTTACCCTACACCGCTGCCTCGGCCATCTTGCCCCATCCTCTATACAGAAGATGATTGCTGCAGGTTTGCTGGACGGGTTTGGGGCCGGGTACAGTGACAAAGACGTAGAGGAGTTTGTTTGCAATGCTTGCCTTGGTTCCAAAGGTCACCGCCTTCCCTTTCCCGACTCTGAGTCGCATTCCGCCGAGAGACTTGGCCTCGTGCACAGCGACATCCTGTCGTTCCCCACTCCGTCCTTGACCGGGAAGCGCTACCTTGTCACGTTTCTAGACGACCACTCTCGCAAACTCTGGGCATATGCGATCGATCACAAAAGCGATGTTTTCCCGACCTTCCAGACTTGGCTCGCCGAAGTGGAGTTAGAGACGAACGCGCGGTTGAGAATCCTTCGAACCGACAATGGCGGGGAGTACCGATCAAACGCATTCACGGAGTTCTGCAAATCCAAGGGCATTCGTCGTCAATACTCTATCCCTTACACGCCTCAACAAAACGGTCGCGCCGAACGTGTCAACCTCTCCATCGTCGAGGGCGTCCTCGCTCTCCTTGCGGACGCCCGTCTGCCGGCCACCTTTTGGGATGAAGCGGCTGCGTATTTCGTTTATTGCAAAAACAGGTGCTCACACTCAGCTTTGGCCAAACAGACTCCAGAATCCGTTTGGAACGGCCAACGCACCACCGCCACCGCCCTCCACCCGTTCGGCTGCACAGCCTGGCTCACGGTCGCCCCGGACCTTCGCAGCAAGCTCGACCCCAAGGCCGCGCGCGTGATCTTCACAGGTTACGACCTCGCCTCCAAAGCTTTCCGTTTCTTTGACCATTCCATCAACAAGATTGTACTTGGTCGCAATGCCACCTTCCTCGACGACGACTTCCCCGGCCTGCCAGTCACCACGCCCGTCGATGCAGACGACACCGACCGTCAGTTCGTCGTTCCCGCCGACACGCCCGCCCCTGCCGTCAAGACGAGGACCCCACTAGTAAGGTCGGCGCACATGGACGTCTCATCCTCCCTTGATGATTCTGCCATGAGCGCCGTTGACGTGGCCCCAGGGTACACTGGCGGAACCTTACTTAATTCCACAGATACCGAATCGTCCTCGTCACCGTCTCCTGAGCCGTCCTCGTCACCGTCGCCCACAAACCCTTTGTCACCGTCGCCTGCGCTGTCACCGTCGTTGGCAGCGTCATCGTCACCCTCGGTCTCACCGACCGACTCTGACTACTCCGCCGACCCTCTGGACCTCATCGGCTCACAGACCCCGACTCGCCTTGGCCCACCGGACGTGCACCGCCCAGACTTCAGCACGTACCGTGAGCCCGCATCGGCTGAGGAGTCGCCCGACGAACTCGACATCATTGGGCGTCACTCGCGCGATGAATCGCCGGATGAAATCGATTTCCTCACCCAACACCACCGCGCCTTCATCGCCACAGACGACGACGACCCCACCCTCGACGCCATCGAGCCCGTCAAATCGATCACTAGCGACCCCCAGACCTGGCGCGAAGCAATGTCCAGCGACGAGCACAACATCTGGGCTGAGGCCGCCGCCGCCGAGTTCACCGCCATGCGCGACGACTTCAAGGTGTTCACCATCGAGCCTCGCTCATCTGTACCGCCGGGCGCCACCATCGTCACCTCCAAATTCGTCTGGAAGACCAAGCGCAACGCAAGCGGTGAAGTCACGGGGCGGAAGGCACGTCTTGTAGCGCAGGGTAACCGACAGCGCGACGGCATCGACTTCTCAGAAACCTTCGCACCCGTCGCCCGTTTCTCCTCCATTCGCTGCCTCCTGGCTCTTGCCGCTGCCAATGGCTACCACGTTCATCAGGCCGACATCGACAAGGCTTACCTCCACGGCGAGCTCGATCATGATATCTGGATGACGACACCACGCGGTTTCGACTTCCCGAGCGATAAGGTTCTCCGGCTGCGACGCTCAATCTACGGTCTCAAGCAGGCCGGTCGCATCTGGAATCGTCACATTGACACATCACTCAGGAATCTGGGGTACAAGGCAACAGGCACTGATCACTGCATTTACTCTCGCATTGACGATCAGCAGCGGCCTCACTATATCGCCTTGTATGTCGACGACCTCCTCATTGTCAGTCCAGCCCTCGACGAGATCGAACGTGTCATCTCCGGCCTTGAACAGCGGTACGGCGTCAAACGACTCGGCCCCGCGGAGTACATCCTCGGAATCCAAATACGCCGCCTGGACGACGGTTCCATTGCTCTATCCCAGGAGCGCTACATCATGGACGTGCTGGCCCGTTTCCACTTCGACACCACGACACGCGGCACTACGGTGCCGATGACGCCCGGCCTCTCGCTCACGGCAATTCCGGGTCAGGGAACGGAGCGCATTCGTTCGTGGTACCTACAGGCCATCGGCTCCCTCCTCTACATCTCCCTTGGCACTCGACCCGACATTGCCTTCGCCGTCTCGTACCTGTCCCGGTTCGCCAACAACCCCGGCCGCCGCCATTGGATTGCCGTCAAACACGTCCTTCGCTACCTTCGCGCCACGTACCGCGATGAGCTTCTCTATGCCCGCGGCCCAGCAAAAGTCACGGGTGTGGTTGGTTATTCTGATGCGAACTGGGGCGCCTGCGTCGACACATCCATTTCAACGATGGGCTACGTATTTTACTTGGCAGGCGCCGCTGTCTCTTGGTCGTCGAAGCGTCAGACTCGGGTAGCGGATTCCACCACTGATGCCGAGTACCTGGCCTTGTCGCACGCGGGTAAGGAAGCGATCTACCTTAACCAACTCCTCTCCGAGCTCCACGTTTGCCCAATCGCTGCAGCTCACATCTTCACCGACAACGAGGCCGCGGCCGCCGTCGCTCACGACCCCGTTCGCACCTCCGGCACCCGGCACATTCGCCTCCGCGAGCATTTTGTCCGTGACATGGTCAATCGAGGTGATATCTCTCTCTCACACGTTGGCACAGCAGACATGGTTGCGGACGTATTCACCAAAGCGCTAGGCCCCAAGATTTTTGGTACACATTGCTATGCTCTAGGCCTCCGGACGCGACATCCACGGCTCAAGTCTACCTCGCGTTCGCGTGGGGGGGGGTGTGAGGAATCCACTCTCCGCTCGGCTCAGGACTTAGGCGCGCGGAGCGAACCGGGCGCGGACTTAGGCGCGCGGAGTGAGCCGGGCGCCCCGGCCCAGGACTTAGGCGCGCGAAGCGAGCCTGGGACTTAGGCGCGCGGAGCGAGCCTGGGCCATTGGCTCAGCCCCAGGCTCGCTGGCTGTGGACTTGGGGCGCGCGGGTCTCTTATTGTTAGCTTCCTATTCATCACTCTTGGCTATAACTACATCGCTGACGTAGTAGAGTTGATTGAATAGGTATGTTGAAATGCATTCATCACTCTTGGCTATAACTACATCGCTGACGTAGTAGAGTTGATTGAATAGGTGTCCAGTCGTCGGGTGCGATACCGTCGAGGACGTACGAGCGGATGTCTTCCGCTAGGCACAGGCGAAGGTCTTCGCACCATCCAAGCGTGCGTGCTTTGGAAAGGCGGTGCGAGTGGTGCCGGACGTCGTGGCGGGTGTGGCAGTGCCGGAAGCGGCAGCGGTGAGACCCGACAGCAGCGATGTAAGTGCGGCGAGCTGTTCGGCGGGAATCGGAGGGTTGGCACCCGTCGCGAGGGGTGGTGTCGTGGTCATGCCAGCTGGTGGCTCGTGGGCTTATAACCTATGAGACGTTCACCACTACTGTCAGGAGAGGTTGAGAGTCGAACAGAAGTGATGAGAAGGAAGCTAAGAAACAGAAAGGGGGGGGGGGGGGGGGGGGGGGCACGCTGGGATAGGCCCAGGCGCGTGACAATGTACATCCCTAAGTCAGCCGCGGGTGAAATCGCCGGCGCGCCTAAGTCCCCACCGCAAGGGGGCGGGCTAGCGGGCGCGCGCATGAATCCGCCGGCGCTGGCGCGCTGAGGCAGTCGCGCGCGTCTAAGTCCCCACCGCCGGGGGCGGGCTAGCAAGTGCGCGCAACGACCGAGGCGCCCCTGTTGAGCTGAGAGTGGACTCTTCACACTGATGCACCAAGGATCATGGCGGATCCCGCCCGGGTGACACGTCGGTTGCCGGGTGCCGAGCTCGAACGAAGGCGTCGAGGATTTGTCGAGGCTATGGAGGTTGTCGAGGTTGCCGATGATCCCAACGTGCCACCGGACAAAGGCGAAGGAGAGGTCGGGGTCGAAACGGGCGCCGCCGTCGTCGTCTGCGTCTCCTTTGTTGAGCCCAGGGTCGCACGCGTCGACGTCTCTTCCCCAGTGTCGCCGCCCTCCGGTTCGGTCGAAACGACCGACTCGTCGTCGCCGTCGTTCGCGTCGTCCTTGTTGGCGGTTACTGCACCTGCGGGGTTAGCACGAGGTCCCAGCTGGATCATGTTCGCGCCAGAGACACGAGAGTTCAATGCGGCAGGCCCACCGTGCTTCCCATTTTTCCAGCAACTCGGAAGCCGGTGGTCGAAGTCGAAGTCGAGGTCGAGGCCCCCGGAACAGGGGCGGCGGTGGCCGGAGTCGAAACCGGCTTCCTGCAAGCGCCCCACTGGTGTCCGGCGCGATCGCACACCGCGCAGTAGTGCGTCTCGAATTCGTGTCGCAAGCCGTACTTGGCGCCCAGGATCTCGATCTCTTGTGGCAAAGGGGCGTTGAGCGTGTAGAGTGTAGGTCGTGGAACTTTTCGGAACTGGGTGTAGCGACCGCTGGGGCTACTGTTGGGCGCGTCGACGTGGCTACGGTTGCAACGGACGGTCCGATTGGGAGAAGTCGCAAGGCGGCACAGACGCGGTCTGACGAGACGGCGGTGCGGCTGGACGATCTGTTCTCTACCGAAGATTAGCAGTCTGGCTAATGTCGGGAAGCGGTAGAGAAGAGGAAGGGAAGCACAAGGAGCGCGAGTCTGGCAAGGTTCTAGCAAGCGGGCGCGCAAAGGATCTACTGCAAATCGGGCGGATGCGCTGCTAAGCATCAAGGGCAAACTCCAAGTGGGTCATTCGGGTGCTGAGAGGGGTCGTGTTGGACAACGGCCACGAGGGGAAACCTATCTACGATGTCGAGTGTTGGTGAGCGAGGGAGTCCATAGCGACGAGACTCAGGTTGCGAACGGCGGGCGTCATGCATGGGCGATACTCTTGATGGCCGATGGAACATGAGGACGGCGGCGGCAAGCTGCTGGTGACTAAGTGGAGGCATTGGCTCAGCAAGACTGGAGGGCAGACGGCCAGAGTCCCGGCGTGGAGGCGGCGGCGCGCGGGCGTGAGTTGAGCAGGCCGGTGCGAGGCAGGAGGGCGACGGCTTGGCTGCGAAGGCGAAGGCGCCGAGGCAAAAATGGGCGGACCTGACAACGGTGGCCCAAGGTTGAAGTGTTCGAACGCTTGTAGTAGAATGAAATTCAACAATTACCACCCAATATGGCAAGCGACGTCGGAGGGGATGACGTCGTCTACACGCGTTGGTACGGGGGGGGGGATTTCAGGAAGTGTCGGCTGTTGCGGCGGCAGTCGACAAGGGAGCAACCGAGGAGGGGAGTCGGTCGAAAGGCTCGCAGGAAATCAAGTGTAATGGACTTAATTCCCAAACGATCGACAAGAAGAGGAGGGGCAACAAAAGAGAAGAGCGGACCAAGCTCCGGGGGAAGGTGGTAAAACTAAAGGGAAGGGACTGCTCCAGGCCCAGAGGGGACTTAGCCAAATCAACCACTCCAAGAGGTCGCCTCAGGGGTAAAAAGGATTGCTCGCGGGAGCACCGGTAAAAACCCTGAAGCCGTGCCTCGGCTAACAAAAGATAAAACAAACCGAAAGAAGACTGCGGTCTGGGCGCCTCGAACCCGCGACCACCGAGTGCGCGCCCGCGCGCCTCACGACTACGCCATCGCACCGACGATGCTGTGAAACGAGGCAAGCCTCTGGTGAAGTCAACTCTACCCGCACATAGCCTTGGGGGGCTTCCTTCGAGTACACGCTGTCATCCTGACACTGTCCCCCCCAGAAGGAAGTCTACCGTGCGGCGAGGCGGCGGTTCGAGCGATCGAGGCGCGCGAGGTAGGCGTCGAGGACGGACGGATGGTCAAGGCGAATGGACTGCTCTGACATCCAAGTATCGTCGGTGTCGTTACGGCCTACCCATCGAACCAAGAATGAACGAGCGCCGCGAGCGTTCCGCCGATCGCGAACAATCCGTTCCGGATGTGAGGAATCCACTCTCCGCTCGGCTCAGGACTTAGGCGCGCGGAGCGAACCGGGCGCGGACTTAGGCGCGCGGAGTGAGCCGGGCGCCCCGGCCCAGGACTTAGGCGCGCGAAGCGAGCCTGGGACTTAGGCGCGCGGAGCGAGCCTGGGCCATTGGCTCAGCCCCAGGCTCGCTGGCTGTGGACTTGGGGCGCGCGGGTCTCTTATTGTTAGCTTCCTATTCATCACTCTTTATTCGATCAACTCTACTACGTCAGCGATGTAGTTATAGCCAAGAGTGATAAATGCATTTCAACATACCTATTCGATCAACTCTACTACGTCAGCGATGTAGTTATAGCCAAGAGTGATAAATGCATTTCAACATACCTATTCGATCAACTCTACTACGTCAGCGATGTAGTTATAGCCAAGAGTGTGAGGAATCCACTCTCCGCTCGGCTCAGGACTTAGGCGCGCGGAGCGAACCGGGCGCGGACTTAGGCGCGCGGAGTGAGCCGGGCGCCCCGGCCCAGGACTTAGGCGCGCGAAGCGAGCCTGGGACTTAGGCGCGCGGAGCGAGCCTGGGCCATTGGCTCAGCCCCAGGCTCGCTGGCTGTGGACTTGGGGCGCGCGGGTCTCTTATTGTTAGCTTCCTATTCATCACTCTTGGCTATAACTACATCGCTGACGTAGTAGAGTTGATCGAATAGGTATGTTGAAATGCATTCATCACTCTTGGCTATAACTACATCGCTGACGTAGTAGAGTTGATCGAATATCTGGAAGGGTTTTGCGATGTTTGATCGACTCTGGATCAGAGGTCGACTTGGTGGATCAGGAGGTGGTGCGAGTCGACCCGAGCTTCGCAACGGCCCGTTTGACTGCACCGTTGCACTTGCGCCTCGGCACCCAGGATAAGTCCGACCGATGTGCTGTGTTCGCCACCGCTCCCTTTTCGTCTGGCGCCCTAGATCTCGGTTTGCGACCATTCTTCGTTTGCCGTGTAACGGCGTACGACGCCATCTTGGGGCTGCCATTTCTTAAGGACACAGGCATGCTCATTGGTTGGGGCGCCTTCACCGTCGCGCGCACCGGCCCTTCGCAACCCATCGCCCAGGATACGCACGAATGGGACCGAGCCGTCACCGTAGCACCTATCTTATCCGGTTCTGCCATTGGCTGCAATCACCCTGGGTTGCTCCCCGACGACGAGATCATCGGCCTCGAGCCACACAACCCGCTGCTCGATGTCGTCGACAATCCGGCGCTCGACGATTTCTCTGAGTCCGAAGCACGAACACGATTGGCTGCCTTACTCGAGAAATTTTCTGATGTGTTCGTAGATTCGCTACCGATGGACCAACTCCCACCGTACCGGCCAGTCAACCACGAGATCCCGTTGATCGATCCCACCGAAAAGGTCAAACCCCGGGTATACCCCCTTGCCGACAAATATCGGAGCCAGTGGGCGGAACACTCAACTAAGTACACTTGTGGTCGATTCTGGGTTTCGGGTCCGATCGATTCTGCGGCTCCGGTCTTTGCCATTCCGAAGAAGAACTCCCAGACGGCTCGTTTCGTGATCGACCTCCGCGCGCGCAACAACAACACCGTCAAGCGTTTTTCTCCCATCCCGGACATGACCAATGTTCGATACGAGGTGGCTCGATCGCGTTATCGCTCTAAATTCGACGTGGCCGCGGCATTTGAGCAGGTTCGGGTCATACCGGAGCACGTCGATCGCACCGGCTTCGCAACGGTGACGGGCACGTACACGTCGCGGGTCATGCAGTTTGGTGACACCAATGCGCCCAATACCCTCAACCTCTTGACCTCGGCGATGTTCCAGCCGTGTCTCCCGTTCGCCAAGATCTTTTTCGACGATGTCCACGTCCATTCCGATACCCGTCGTGCGCACTTGAGACACATCAAGATCCTGCTGATGACATTGAGACATTACCGGTTCTACTTAGGATCCAAGAAGTCCGAGTGGTTCTCAAAGTCGTTGGACTCCTTGGGCACCATCATTTCTGACGTCGGCATCGAAGTCGACCCCGCCAAGTGGGTGCGTATCCGTCAGTGGCCGATCCCTTGCAACAAGACCGATGTCCAGCGCTTCCTCGGCACCGTCAACTGGATGCGAGATCACCTACCGCACCTCTCAAAGATTTTGGAGCCGATCACCGCGTTAATGGCGCAAGCGACGTCATGGCGTTGGAACGAGCGAGAACAGCAGGCTTTCGATACCGTCAAGTCCCTTGTGCCCGCCATCCTACGACCGATCGATGGCGCCAAGGTTACCTCAGGCGAGCACAAGATGTACCTCTTCACGGATGCCAGTCGGGTTGGCATTGGCGCTTGTTTGGCGTCCGGGCCCAACCGTTCGCAGGCCGTTCCAACGCGATTCTTTTCCGCTAAGTTCAACGGTGCTCAGCTCAACTATCATGTCACTGATAAAGAGTTCTTGGCTGTCGTCTCGGCGTGTCGGGCGTTCGAGCAGCACTTGATCGGTTACCCCTTCGTCATCGTCACCGACCATCAGGCCCTTCGCACGATAAAAACCCAAAAACTGCGCCAAACGCCTCGGCACATCCGCATGTGTCTCGAACTCAGCCGTTTCGACTTCGAATTTGAATTCATTGCTGGCAAGAACAACACCCTGGCCGATTCGTTGTCGCGTCTGTGGGAGGTCAAGCAGGGTTCACACGAGGATCAGGTCAAGGAGAATGAGTTGGAGGACATGTTCTTTGATGGAGAACGCCACGAATTCACTACACCCGGTGAGAGCCTCCCTGAGGAACGTCCTTGCACTTCACCATCTCCCGATCGGTTGCCTCCTGTTGATTTTGCCCTCGGGCCCCAACACGACGATTGCGAGGCAGGCTCTCCCGGATACTACGCGCTCAAGGACGAATCGCAAGACGAGGACGTGAATGGACGGGATTTAGGGAATTTGTTCTTGAAGGAAGAATGCCACGAGTTCATTACGCCCGGTGAGAGCCTCCTCGAGGAACGTCCTTACACCTCACCTTCGCACGATCGGTTGCCCCCTGTTGATTGCGCCTTCGGGCCCTGGGGTCACGGTTACGACGCAGGCTCTCCCGGTTCCCCTCATCTGGCCGAGAACATTATGGACGCCGTCGATTGGTCTATTGGCCGCCTCTCTCCTCCCATCGCTGTCAATCGAGTTCACGCTATTGCTACGGCCCCTGCCAACGACCCGCCCATTCCGGTCGATGCCGACGCCGACGAACTCGATTTGTTGGGAGTTGCCACCGATGATGTCAACGACACCCCTGTAGTCCATCGGCCGCCTGATCCACTGCCCCAACCCTTCCTCGACACCGTCATCCGAGCATACGCCAACGATTCGCAAGCCCAGGTCATCATTACCGACCCGCTATCATGGCCTATGTTTCGGGTGACCGAGGAAGGGAGGATTTTGCGTGTACATCCAGATGAGTCTATTTCCTTGTTTGTGCCTCGTGGTCTCGCTACTGGCGTCGTCAACTCCGACAAGGTCCCATCGCTGCGCGAGCTCGTGCTTTCGGAGATTCATCGGAGTGTCGGGCATGCAGGACATCGCATCACCTTGGCCGCCATACATCCTTTGTACTGGTGGTCGTCCATGTCTGCCGATTGCGCCGAGTTCTGCCGTTCATGTTATGAGACGTTCACCACTACTGTCAGGAGAGGTTGAGAGTCGAACAGAAGTGATCTATTTCAGCGTACCTATGAGACGTTCACCACTACTGTCAGGAGAGGTTGAGAGTCGAACAGAAGTGATGAGAAGGAAGCTAAGAAACAGAAAGGGGGGGGCCACGCTGGGATAGTCCCAGGCGCGTGACAATGTACATCCCTAAGTCAGCCGCGGGTGAAATCGCCGGCGCGCCTAAGTCCCCACCGCAAGGGGGCGGGCTAGCGGGCGCGCGCATGAATCCGCCGGCGCTGGCGCGCTGAGGCAGTCGCGCGCGTCTAAGTCCCCACCGCCGGGGGCGGGCTAGCAAGTGCGCGCAACGACCGAGGCGCCCCTGTCGAGCTGAGAGTGGACTCTTCACACCCCCCCCCACGCGAATGCGAGGCAGACCCAAGCCGCGGGTGTCGAGTGCGAAGGCCGAGGGCGTAGCAGTGCGTTGAGAAGACCTTTGGGCCGAGAGCCTTGGTGAAGATGTCGGCCACCATGTCGCTGGTACCCACATGCGAGAGAGAGATGTCGCCCCGATTCACCATGTCCCGAACGAAGTGCTCACGCAAGCGTATGTGCCGAGTGCCAGAGACGCGGACAGGATCGTGAGCAACTGCAGCAGCGGCTTCGTTGTCAGTAAAGATGTGAGCCGGTGCAACAGGTTGTACATGGAGCTCTTCGAGCAGCTGACTGAGGTAAATCCCTTCCTTGCCAGCATGCGAGAGGGCGAGGTATTCAGCGTCGGTGGTCGAATCGGCAACTCGAGACTGGCGTTTGGACGACCAGGACACGGCCGAGCCAGCGATGTAGAAGACGTAGCCCATGGTGGACACCGATGTGTCGATGCAGGCCCCCCAGTTCGCGTCGGAGTAGCCTACCACACCCGTGATGCGAGCCTGGCCGCGAGCATACACGAGTTCGTTGCGATACGTGGCCCGGAGATAGCGTAGGATGTGCTTGACCGCAATCCAATGACGACGACCGGGGTTGTTGGCGAAGCGGGCCAGGTAGGACACGGCGAAGGCGATGTCAGGGCGGGTACCGAGCGAAATGTAGAGGAGCGAGCCGATAGCCTGCAGATACCATGACCTGATCCGTTCGGTGCCTTGACCCGGATAGCAGTGAGCGAAAGGCCGGGAGTCATCGGAACTGTAGTGCCGCGAGTCGTGGTGTCGAAGTGGAACCGAGCGAGCACGTCCATGATGTACCGTTCCTGGGATAGGGCGATAGAGCCGTCGTCGAACCGCCTGATCTGGATGCCGAGGATATACTCGGCCGGGCCGAGGCGCTTGACTCCGTAGCGTTGGTCCAGGCCTGAGATGACACGTTCGATTTCGGCCAGTTCCGGGCTGATCATCAGGAGGTCGTCGACGTACAGTGCGATGTAGTGTGGACATTGACGATCATCGAGCCAAGAGTATACGCAGTGGTCGGTGCCCGTCGCCGTGTAACCGAGGGCCCGAAGCGAAGCGTCGATGTGTCGATTCCAGATTCGGCCAGCCTGTTTGAGCCCGTAGATGGAGCGTCGCAGGCGAAGCACCTTGTCGCTGGGAAGGTCGAAGCCGCGCGGTGCCGTCATCCAGATGTCGTGGTCAAGGTCGCCATGCAGATATGCTTTGTCGATGTCCGCCTGGTGCACGTGCAAGCCGTTGGCGGCCGCCAGCGCGAGGAGTGAGCGTATCGAGGAGAAGCGTGCGACCGGTGCGAACGTTTCGTTGAAGTCGATGCCGTCGCGTTGCCGATTGCCTTGCGCGACCAGCCTTGCCTTGTGTCCAGTGACTTCGCCGAGTGCGTTCCGTTTCGTTTTCCAGACGAACTTGGATGTAACGATAGTCGCACCCGCGGGCACCGTGGCTCGGTCCTCGATGGTGAAGACCTTGAAGTCGTCGCGCATGGAGGTGAACTCGTCGGTGGCGGCTTTGGCCCATACTTCACGCTTGTCGCTAGACATCGCCTCGCGCCAGGTCTGTGGGTCGCTCGTGATGGACTTGACTGGCTGAATTGCCTCTGTGTCAGAGGTGTCGTCGTCGATGGCGATGAAGGCGCGGTGGTGTCGGGTGAGGAAATCGATTTCGTCCGGAGATTCGTCGCGAGAGTGGCGCCCAATGAGGTCGAGTTCGTCGGGCGACTCCTCAGCCGATGCGGGCTCGCGGTACGTGCTGAAGTCTGGGTGGTGCACGTCCTGTAGATCGAGGCGAACCTGGGGCTGTGAGCCGAGGAGGTCGAGGGGATCGGCGGAGTCTTCAGAGTCGGTCGGTAAGGCCGAGGGTGACGATGACGCAGCCGACGATGGTGAAAGTGCAGGCGATGGCGCAGACGACGGTGATGAGGGCGACGCAGGCGACGGTGACGAGGACGATTCGGCATCTGTGAAGTTAAGTAAGGTTCCGCCAGTGTACCCTGGGGCCACGTCAACGGCGCTCATGGCAGAATCATCAAGGGGGGATGAGACGTCCATGTGCGCCGACCTTACTAGTGGGGTCCATGTCTTGACAACGGTTTGAGATTCGGTGGTGGGAGCGCTGGCGAAGTGCGTGTCGCCGTCTTGCTCAGTGGGGTCGCCATGTAATCCGGGGAATTCAGTGTCGAGGAACGTGGCATTTCTGCCAAGTATAATCTTCTGTGTTGTAGTGTCGTAGAAGCGAAAGGCTTTTGAAGCCAGGTCGTAGCCGGTGAAAAAAACGCGAACCGCCTTCGGGTCGAGTTTGGAGCGAAGTTCGGGCGCGACCGTAAGCCAAGCTGTACAGCCGAACGGGTGAAGCGCCGAGGCAGTGGTGTGGTCACCCTGCCAGACGGAGTTTGGTGTTGCCTTGTCCAGGGCCGCGTGTTGACACAGGTTCTTGCAGTAAACGAAATAAGCTGCAGCCTCCTCCCAGAATGTCTTGGGTAGGTGGGCGTCGACAAGGAGGGCAAGGACGCCTTCGACAATGGAACGATTGACCCGCTCTGCACGACCGTTCTGTTGAGGCGTGCGTGGGATAGAGTATTGTCGACGGGTGCCTCGTGTCTTGCAGAACTCTGTGAACGCTCTCGAACAGTATTCGCCACCGTTGTCGGTTCGGAGGACCTTCAGCGTCGCACCCGTCTCGAGTTCAACCTCGGCTAGCCAAGTTTTGAATATGCCGAAGACTTCGCTTTTGTGTCCGATTGCGTAGGCCCAGAGTTTGCGCGAGTAATCGTCAAGGAATGTGACCAGGTAACGTTTGCCAGTCAAGGACCGCTCGGGGAAGGAAAGCACATCGCTGTGTACAAGGCCGAGTCTCTCTGAGGAGTGCGAATCCGAATCGGGAAAGGGAAGACGATGGCCCTTTGCGCTGAGGCAAGCATTGCAGACAAACTTCTCTACCTCTTCGTCACTATATCCGGCCCTGAGACCCTCCAGCAAACCAGCGGCAACCATCTTCTGTATGGAGGACGGTGCGAGATGGCCGAGGCAGCGATGGAGAGTCAGCAGGGGCACGGACGACTGTGAGCGAGAAAGGAGAGCAAGGTGCTGACATTTGGAATGATCAGCGTCCAGCAAGTAGAGCCCTTCGTCGAGTCGTGCGCCTTCAGCGATGTCGTTGCCGTCCTTGTCAATGTGGATGCCGTGTTTTGTGAAGGCGACACGGACATCGTCGGTGTCGCAAAGTCGAGAGACCGAGAGAAGATTGACAAACAGGCCCGGAGTGTGCAGCACGCCGGTAAGCGTGATCGGATGACCCGAGGCGCAATGAAGGCGATGTTTCCCGTTCCGATGGCGTTGATGCCCCCTGCAATACCACCAATCTTCTATTCGATCAACTCTATTCGATCAACTCTACTACGTCAGCGATGTAGTTATAGCCAAGAGTGATAAATGCATTTCAACATACCTATTCGATCAACTCTACTACGTCAGCGATGTAGTTATAGCCAAGAGTGATGAATAGGAAGCTAACAATAAGAGACCCGCGCGCCCCAAGTCCACAGCCAGCGAGCCTGGGGCTGAGCCAATGGCCCAGGCTCGCTCCGCGCGCCTAAGTCCCAGGCTCGCTTCGCGCGCCTAAGTCCTGGGCCGGGGCGCCCGGCTCACTCCGCGCGCCTAAGTCCGCGCCCGGTTCGCTCCGCGCGCCTAAGTCCTGAGCCGAGCGGAGAGTGGATTCCTCACACCCCCCCACGCGAACGCGAGGTAGACTTGAGCCGTGGATGTCGCGTCCGGAGGCCTAGAGCATAGCAATGTGTACCAAAAATCTTGGGGCCTAGCGCTTTGGTGAATACGTCCGCAACCATGTCTGCTGTGCCAACGTGTGAGAGAGAGATATCACCTCGATTGACCATGTCACGGACAAAATGCTCGCGGAGGCGAATGTGCCGGGTGCCGGAGGTGCGAACGGGTCGTGAGCGACGGCGGCCGCGGCCTCGTTGTCGGTGAAGATGTGAGCTGCAGCGATTGGGCAAACGTGGAGCTCGGAGAGGAGTTGGTTAAGGTAGATCGCTTCCTTACCCGCGTGCGACAAGGCCAGGTACTCGGCATCAGTGGTGGAATCCGCTACCCGAGTCTGACGCTTCGACGACCAAGAGACAGCGGCGCCTGCCAAGTAAAATACGTAGCCCATCGTTGAAATGGATGTGTCGACGCAGGCGCCCCAGTTCGCATCAGAATAACCAACCACACCCGTGACTTTTGCTGGGCCGCGGGCATAGAGAAGCTCATCGCGGTACGTGGCGCGAAGGTAGCGAAGGACGTGTTTGACGGCAATCCAATGGCGGCGGCCGGGGTTGTTGGCGAACCGGGACAGGTACGAGACGGCGAAGGCAATGTCGGGTCGAGTGCCAAGGAGATGTAGAGGAGGGAGCCGATGGCCTGTAGGTACCACGAACGAATGCGCTCCGTTCCCTGACCCGGAATTGCCGTGAGCGAGAGGCCGGGCGTCATCGGCACCGTAGTGCCGCGTGTCGTGGTGTCGAAGTGGAAACGGGCCAGCACGTCCATGATGTAGCGCTCCTGGGATAGAGCAATGGAACCGTCGTCCAGCGGCGTATTTGGATTCCGAGGATGTACTCCGCGGGGCCGAGTCGTTTGACGCCGTACCGCTGTTCAAGGCCGGAGATGACACGTTCGATCTCGTCGAGGGCTGGACTGACAATGAGGAGGTCGTCGACATACAAGGCGATATAGTGAGGCCGCTGCTGATCGTCAATGCGAGAGTAAATGCAGTGATCAGTGCCTGTTGCCTTGTACCCCAGATTCCTGAGTGATGTGTCAATGTGACGATTCCAGATGCGACCGGCCTGCTTGAGACCGTAGATTGAGCGTCGCAGCCGGAGAACCTTATCGCTCGGGAAGTCGAAACCGCGTGGTGTCGTCATCCAGATATCATGATCGAGCTCGCCGTGGAGGTAAGCCTTGTCGATGTCGGCCTGATGAACGTGGTAGCCATTGGCAGCGGCAAGAGCCAGGAGGCAGCGAATGGAGGAGAAACGGGCGACGGGTGCGAAGGTTTCTGAGAAGTCGATGCCGTCGCGCTGTCGGTTACCCTGCGCTACAAGACGTGCCTTCCGCCCCGTGACTTCACCGCTTGCGTTGCGCTTGGTCTTCCAGACGAATTTGGAGGTGACGATGGTGGCGCCCGGCGGTACAGATGAGCGAGGCTCGATGGTGAACACCTTGAAGTCGTCGCGCATGGCGGTGAACTCGGCGGCGGCGGCCTCAGCCCAGATGTTGTGCTCGTCGCTGGACATTGCTTCGCGCCAGGTCTGGGGGTCGCTAGTGATCGATTTGACGGGCTCGATGGCGTCGAGGGTGGGGTCGTCGTCGTCTGTGGCGATGAAGGCGCGGTGGTGTTGGGTGAGGAAATCGATTTCATCCGGCGATTCATCGCGCGAGTGACGCCCAATGATGTCGAGTTCGTCGGGCGACTCCTCAGCCGATGCGGGCTCACGGTACGTGCTGAAGTCTGGGCGGTGCACGTCCGGTGGGCCAAGGCGAGTCGGGGTCTGTGAGCCGATGAGGTCCAGAGGGTCGGCGGAGTAGTCAGAGTCGGTCGGTGAGACCGAGGGTGACGATGACGCTGCCAACGACGGTGACAGCGCAGGCGACGGTGACAAAGGGTTTGTGGGCGACGGTGACGAGGACGGCTCAGGAGACGGTGACGAGGACGATTCGGTATCTGTGGAATTAAGTAAGGTTCCGCCAGTGTACCCTGGGGCCACGTCAACGGCGCTCATGGCAGAATCATCAAGGGAGGATGAGACGTCCATGTGCGCCGACCTTACTAGTGGGGTCCTCGTCTTGACGGCAGGGGCGGCGTGTCGGCGGGAACGACGAACTGACGGTCGGTGTCGTCTGCATCGACGGGCGTGGTGACTGGCAGGCCGGGGAAGTCGTCGTCGAGGAAGGTGGCATTGCGACCAAGTACAATCTTGTTGATGGAATGGTCAAAGAAACGGAAAGCTTTGGAGGCGAGGTCGTAACCTGTGAAGATCACGCGCGCGGCCTTGGGGTCGAGCTTGCTGCGAAGGTCCGGGGCGACCGTGAGCCAGGCTGTGCAGCCGAACGGGTGGAGGGCGGTGGCGGTGGTGCGTTGGCCGTTCCAAACGGATTCTGGAGTCTGTTTGGCCAAAGCTGAGTGTGAGCACCTGTTTTTGCAATAAACGAAATACGCAGCCGCTTCATCCCAAAAGGTGGCCGGCAGACGGGCGTCCGCAAGGAGAGCGAGGACGCCCTCGACGATGGAGAGGTTGACACGTTCGGCGCGACCGTTTTGTTGAGGCGTGTAAGGGATAGAGTATTGACGACGAATGCCCTTGGATTTGCAGAACTCCGTGAATGCGTTTGATCGGTACTCCCCGCCATTGTCGGTTCGAAGGATCCTCAACCGCGCGTTCGTCTCTAACTCCACTTCGGCGAGCCAAGTCTGGAAGGTCGGGAAAACATCGCTTTTGTGATCGATCGCATATGCCCAGAGTTTGCGAGAGTGGTCGTCTAGAAACGTGACAAGGTAGCGCTTCCCGGTCAAGGACGGAGTGGGGAACGACAGGACGTCGCTGTGCACGAGGCCAAGTCTCTCGGCGGAATGCGACTCAGAGTCGGGAAAGGGAAGGCGGTGACCTTTGGAACCAAGGCAAGCATTGCAAACAAACTCCTCTACGTCTTTGTCACTGTACCCGGCCCCAAACCCGTCCAGCAAACCTGCAGCAATCATCTTCTGTATAGAGGATGGGCAAGATGGCCGAGGCAGCGGTGTAGGGTAAGCAGGGGCACGGGAGACTCAGAGCGTGAGAGGAAGGCAAGATGCTGACACTTGGTGTGATCCGCGTCCAAAAGGTAAAGACCGTCGTTGACCCTGGTACCGTGAGCAATGGCCCGGCCGTCCTTGGCGATGTCGATGCCGTCGCTGGTGAAGGCGAGACGAACGCGGTCGGTGTCGCAGAGGCGAGAGACAGAGAGGAGGTTGACGTGTAGGCCAGGCGTGTGAAGAACACCACGGAGCGTGATCGGGTGTCCAGTCTTGGCGACGAATGCCACGTCCCCCATGCCGATAGCCGTGATGCCGCCCGCGATGCCGCCGATCTTGGTGTGTGCCGTCTGACGATAAGTCGTGAATAGAGATCGGTCGGCGACCATGTGTGTCGTGGCACCCGAATCGACTACAAAGGCGTCAGTTGGAGTTGGCGACGAGCGAAGAGGCAGGAGGCGAAATAGCCGACGTTCGGTTGCGAGGCCGCGGAGGAAGACGTGTCGTCCTGGGTGTCGTCGCTGCTACGTGCCTGTTCACCCCGGTTCTTGCAGTCGAGTGCCCAGTGACCTTTCTTGTGGCATCGGCGGCAGGGGCCGGTGGCGGGTGCTTCGCACGTGAAGTGCAGTCGCGCAGGCGGTGACCGGGAGCGCGGCAGGCGGGGCAGGGGAGCTGGTGGCAAGCATGGCCGAATGCGAGGTCGAGAGTCCTGCCGAACGAAGCTGGATGCGAATGCGGTCCGTAAGCGTCGTGAGTTCGGGAAGGTCGCGTCGGTTTCGCTGCTCGTCCGTGAACGTGAGTCGGAAGCTGTCGAGGCAAGACGGGACCATGGCGAGCACGTGGGTGGCGAGCACGTCGTTGAGCGATGTTTTGGCGTCGCGTATTTCCTGAGCAATCGACATGTACTCGCGTAGCCAAGTGTCGTAGGCCTCGACGGAGGCAGGCATCTTCCTGAAGTCCCAAAGGCGAGCGAACAACTCGAGAGTGCGTGTAGCGTCGTCCGGTGCAAAACGAGCCTTGAGAGCGGCAAAGATGCGCGGTGCCGACAGGTCGTCGCTGGGGATGGCGTCGAGGGTGGCCGATACGTCGGCGGAGTCGATAGAGCCAACGATGATTTCCCGGGCGGCGTCGTCACGTGCGGCAAGCTGGTCGGCGGTCCAGGTCGGGGGAACGACACCGTCGAGAACGTAACCACGAACCTGGTTCGGGAGTGCAAGACGGAGTTGACGCAACCAGTTGGTGAACGACTTGGGGCCGTCCAGACGAGCGTGCTTGGGAAACACGACCTTGGATGCGGTGGCGGCGTTCCCCGGCACGACGGTGACGGCCGGGGGTGCGGCGGCTGCGGCGGCGGCGGGTTGCGAGGCCTGCAGAGCGGCAAGCTGGGCCTGTAGAGTGGCGATTTGTTCGCCGATCGAAGATTCAGGGGAGCTGGGATCCCTGGGGGCCAAAGGCGAGGCGGGAGAGCTGTCCATGATGTGATGGTGCGATGGACGTGTGCGGCTCGAGTGGCTGGGCTCGAGCGAAAAAGCCTCAAGCGGCGGGGCTGGTAGCTCGTGGGCTTATAACCTATTCGATCAACTCTATTCGATCAACTCTACTACGTCAGCGATGTAGTTATAGCCAAGAGTGATAAATGCATTTCAACATACCTATTCGATCAACTCTACTACGTCAGCGATGTAGTTATAGCCAAGAGTGATGAATAGGAAGCTAACAATAAGAGACCCGCGCGCCCAAGTCCACAGCCAGCGAGCCTGGGGCTGAGCCAATGGCCCAGGCTCGCTCCGCGCGCCTAAGTCCCAGGCTCGCTTCGCGCGCCTAAGTCCTGGGCCGGGGCGCCCGGCTCACTCCGCGCGCCTAAGTCCGCGCCCGGTTCGCTCCGCCGCCTAAGTCCTGAGCCGAGCGGAGAGTGGATTCCTCACATCTTCGTAGGAGCGATATGGCGATAGGTCGTGAACAGCGACTTGTCCGAGACCATGTGCGAAGTGGCGCCCGAGTCGACGACAAAAGAGTGGTTGCGAAGCTGGCGACGACGAGCGAGAAGACCGGTGGCGAGACATCCGACATGGTGTTGCGAGTCGACGGTCGAGTCAGCGGTGTCGGGCTTTTTGCCGTCCTCGAGCGCCTTCTTGCAGTCGAGAGACCAGTGATCCTTCTTCTTGCAGGAGCGACAGGGTCCTGGCGGCGGGTGTTGCGCCCTCGTAGGGCACTCCGCGACTCGGTGCGAAGGGCTGCGACAGGCGAGACACTTGAGACGAGTAGAACGTGACGACGACGAGGCAAGAAGGGCCGATTGAGTGCTGGGGATGTTCGTTGACCGAAGTTGGACTCGCATACGGTCGGCAAGCGAATCAATGTCGGGGAGAGTTCGTTGCGTGCGCTGTTCATCGGTGAACGACGCCTTGAAGCTCTCGAGGGACGGGTGGGCGATTGCAAGGAGGAGTGTGGCGAGAACATCATTGATAGTTGTCTTTGTGTCGATGATCTCTTGCGCAACGGCTTTGAAGTCCATGATCCACCCGTCGAATTCGGCAACCGTGCCGGGCATGGGACGGAAACCCCAGAGTCGTGAGAAGAGCTCGAGCGTGCGGGTGGCGTCGTCAGGGGCGTACCGCGATTTCAGCGTCGAGTAGATTGTCGGCGCTGTCAGGTCGGCGGTAGGGATTTTGTCGAGGACTGCCGAGACTTCGGCCGAGTCAATCGAATTCGCAAGGACCTCACGAGCGACGGCGTCGCGAGCGGAGCGTTGCGAAGGTGTCCAGTCGTCGGGTGTGATACCGTCGAGGACGTACGAGCGGATGTCGTCCGCTAGGCACAGGCGAAGTTGGCGTGTCCAGTTCGCGAAGGTCTTCGCACCATCCAAGCGTGCGTGCTTTGGAAAGGCAGTGCGAGTGGTGCCGGACGTCGTGGCGGGTGTGGCAGTGCCGGAAGCGGCAGCGGTGAGACCCGACAGCAGCGATGTAAGTGCGGCGAGCTGTTCGGCGGGAATCGGAGGGTTGGCACCCGTCGCGAGGGGTGGTGTCGTGGTCATGCCAGCTGGTGGCTCGTGGGCTTATAACCTATGAGACGTTCACCACTACTGTCAGGAGAGGTTGAGAGTCGAACAGAAGTGATCTATTTCAGCGTACCTATGAGACGTTCACCACTACTGTCAGGAGAGGTTGAGAGTCGAACAGAAGTGATGAGAAGGAAGCTAAGAAACAGAAAGGGGGGGGCCACGCTGGGATAGTCCCAGGCGCGTGACAATGTACATCCCTAAGTCAGCCGCGGGTGAAATCGCCGGCGCGCCTAAGTCCCCACCGCAAGGGGGCGGGCTAGCGGGCGCGCGCATGAATCCGCCGGCGCTGGCGCGCTGAGGCAGTCGCGCGCGTCTAAGTCCCCACCGCCGGGGGCGGGCTAGCAAGTGCGCGCAACGACCGAGGCGCCCCTGTCGAGCTGAGAGTGGACTCTTCACACCCCCCCCCCACGCGAATGCGAGGCAGACCCAAGCCGCGGGTGTCGAGTGCGAAGGCCGAGGGCGTAGCAGTGCGTTGAGAAGACCTTTGGGCCGAGAGCCTTGGTGAAGATGTCGGCCACCATGTCGCTGGTACCCACATGCGAGAGAGAGATGTCGCCCCGATTCACCATGTCCCGAACGAAGTGCTCACGCAAGCGTATGTGCGAGTGCCAGAGACGCGGACAGGATCGTGAGCAACTGCAGCAGCGGCTTCGTTGTCAGTAAAGATGTGAGCCGGTGCAACAGGTTGTACATGGAGCTCTTCGAGCAGCTGACTGAGGTAAATCCCTTCCTTGCCAGCATGCGAGAGGGCGAGGTATTCAGCGTCGGTGGTCGAATCGGCAACTCGAGACTGGCGTTTGGACGACCAGGACACGGCCGAGCCAGCGATGTAGAAGACGTAGCCCATGGTGGACACCGATGTGTCGATGCAGGCCCCCCAGTTCGCGTCGGAGTAGCCTACCACACCCGTGATGCGAGCCTGGCCGCGAGCATACACGAGTTCGTTGCGATACGTGGCCCGGAGATAGCGTAGGATGTGCTTGACCGCAATCCAATGACGACGACCGGGGTTGTTGGCGAAGCGGGCCAGGTAGGACACGGCGAAGGCGATGTCAGGGCGGGTACCGAGCGAAATGTAGAGGAGCGAGCCGATAGCCTGCAGATACCATGACCTGATCCGTTCGGTGCCTTGACCCGGGATAGCAGTGAGCGAAAGGCCGGGAGTCATCGGAACTGTAGTGCCGCGAGTCGTGGTGTCGAAGTGGAACCGAGCGAGCACGTCCATGATGTACCGTTCCTGGGATAGGGCGATAGAGCCGTCGTCGAACCGCCTGATCTGGATGCCGAGGATATACTCGGCCGGGCCGAGGCGCTTGACTCCGTAGCGTTGGTCCAGGCCTGAGATGACACGTTCGATTTCGGCCAGTTCCGGGCTGATCATCAGGAGGTCGTCGACGTACAGTGCGATGTAGTGTGGACATTGACGATCATCGAGCCAAGAGTATACGCAGTGGTCGGTGCCCGTCGCCGTGTAACCGAGGGCCCGAAGCGAAGCGTCGATGTGTCGATTCCAGATTCGGCCAGCCTGTTTGAGCCCGTAGATGGAGCGTCGCAGGCGAAGCACCTTGTCGCTGGGAAGGTCGAAGCCGCGCGGTGCCGTCATCCAGATGTCGTGGTCAAGGTCGCCATGCAGATATGCTTTGTCGATGTCCGCCTGGTGCACGTGCAAGCCGTTGGCGGCCGCCAGCGCGAGGAGTGAGCGTATCGAGGAGAAGCGTGCGACCGGTGCGAACGTTTCGTTGAAGTCGATGCCGTCGCGTTGCCGATTGCCTTGCGCGACCAGCCTTGCCTTGTGTCCAGTGACTTCGCCGAGTGCGTTCCGTTTCGTTTTCCAGACGAACTTGGATGTAACGATAGTCGCACCCGCGGGCACCGTGGCTCGGTCCTCGATGGTGAAGACCTTGAAGTCGTCGCGCATGGAGGTGAACTCGTCGGTGGCGGCTTTGGCCCATACTTCACGCTTGTCGCTAGACATCGCCTCGCGCCAGGTCTGTGGGTCGCTCGTGATGGACTTGACTGGCTGAATTGCCTCTGTGTCAGAGGTGTCGTCGTCGATGGCGATGAAGGCGCGGTGGTGTCGGGTGAGGAAATCGATTTCGTCCGGAGATTCGTCGCGAGAGTGGCGCCCAATGAGGTCGAGTTCGTCGGGCGACTCCTCAGCCGATGCGGGCTCGCGGTACGTGCTGAAGTCTGGGTGGTGCACGTCCTGTAGATCGAGGCGAACCTGGGGCTGTGAGCCGAGGAGGTCGAGGGGATCGGCGGAGTCTTCAGAGTCGGTCGGTAAGGCCGAGGGTGACGATGACGCAGCCGACGATGGTGAAAGTGCAGGCGATGGCGCAGACGACGGTGATGAGGGCGACGCAGGCGACGGTGACGAGGACGATTCGGCATCTGTGAAGTTAAGTAAGGTTCCGCCAGTGTACCCTGGGGCCACGTCAACGGCGCTCATGGCAGAATCATCAAGGGGGGATGAGACGTCCATGTGCGCCGACCTTACTAGTGGGGTCCATGTCTTGACAACGGTTTGAGATTCGGTGGTGGGAGCGCTGGCGAAGTGCGTGTCGCCGTCTTGCTCAGTGGGGTCGCCATGTAATCCGGGGAATTCAGTGTCGAGGAACGTGGCATTTCTGCCAAGTATAATCTTCTGTGTTGTAGTGTCGTAGAAGCGAAAGGCTTTTGAAGCCAGGTCGTAGCCGGTGAAAAAAACGCGAACCGCCTTCGGGTCGAGTTTGGAGCGAAGTTCGGGCGCGACCGTAAGCCAAGCTGTACAGCCGAACGGGTGAAGCGCCGAGGCAGTGGTGTGGTCACCCTGCCAGACGGAGTTTGGTGTTGCCTTGTCCAGGGCCGCGTGTTGACACAGGTTCTTGCAGTAAACGAAATAAGCTGCAGCCTCCTCCCAGAATGTCTTGGGTAGGTGGGCGTCGACAAGGAGGGCAAGGACGCCTTCGACAATGGAACGATTGACCCGCTCTGCACGACCGTTCTGTTGAGGCGTGCGTGGGATAGAGTATTGTCGACGGGTGCCTCGTGTCTTGCAGAACTCTGTGAACGCTCTCGAACAGTATTCGCCACCGTTGTCGGTTCGGAGGACCTTCAGCGTCGCACCCGTCTCGAGTTCAACCTCGGCTAGCCAAGTTTTGAATATGCCGAAGACTTCGCTTTTGTGTCCGATTGCGTAGGCCCAGAGTTTGCGCGAGTAATCGTCAAGGAATGTGACCAGGTAACGTTTGCCAGTCAAGGACCGCTCGGGGAAGGAAAGCACATCGCTGTGTACAAGGCCGAGTCTCTCTGAGGAGTGCGAATCCGAATCGGGAAAGGGAAGACGATGGCCCTTTGCGCTGAGGCAAGCATTGCAGACAAACTTCTCTACCTCTTCGTCACTATATCCGGCCCTGAGACCCTCCAGCAAACCAGCGGCAACCATCTTCTGTATGGAGGACGGTGCGAGATGGCCGAGGCAGCGATGGAGAGTCAGCAGGGGCACGGACGACTGTGAGCGAGAAAGGAGAGCAAGGTGCTGACATTTGGAATGATCAGCGTCCAGCAAGTAGAGCCCTTCGTCGAGTCGTGCGCCTTCAGCGATGTCGTTGCCGTCCTTGTCAATGTGGATGCCGTGTTTTGTGAAGGCGACACGGACATCGTCGGTGTCGCAAAGTCGAGAGACCGAGAGAAGATTGACAAACAGGCCCGGAGTGTGCAGCACGCCGGTAAGCGTGATCGGATGACCCGAGGCGGCAATGAAGGCGATGTTTCCCGTTCCGATGGCGTTGATGCCCCCTGCAATACCACCAATCTTCGTAGGAGCGATATGGCGATAGGTCGTGAACAGCGACTTGTCCGAGACCATGTGCGAAGTGGCGCCCGAGTCGACGACAAAAGAGTGGTTGCGAAGCTGGCGACGACGAGCCGAGAAGACCGGTGGCGAGACATCCGACATGGTGTTGCGAGTCGACGGTCGAGTCAGCGGTGTCGGGCTTTTTGCCGTCCTCGAGCGCCTTCTTGCAGTCGAGAGACCAGTGATCCTTCTTCTTGCAGGAGCGACAGGGTCCTGGCGGCGGGTGTTGCGCCCTCGTAGGGCACTCCGCGACTCGGTGCGAAGGGCTGCGACAGGCGAGACACTTGAGACGAGTAGAACGTGACGACGACGAGGCAAGAAGGGCCGATTGAGTGCTGGGGATGTTCGTTGACCGAAGTTGGACTCGCATACGGTCGGCAAGCGAATCAATGTCGGGGAGAGTTCGTTGCGTGCGCTGTTCATCGGTGAACGACGCCTTGAAGCTCTCGAGGGACGGGTGGGCGATTGCAAGGAGGAGTGTGGCGAGAACATCATTGATAGTTGTCTTTGTGTCGATGATCTCTTGCGCAACGGCTTTGAAGTCCATGATCCACCCGTCGAATTCGGCAACCGTGCCGGGCATGGGACGGAAACCCCAGAGTCGTGAGAAGAGCTCGAGCGTGCGGGTGGCGTCGTCAGGGCGTACCGCGATTTCAGCGTCGAGTAGATTGTCGGCGCTGTCAGGTCGGCGGTAGGGATTTTGTCGAGGACTGCCGAGACTTCGGCCGAGTCAATCGAATTCGCAAGGACCTCACGAGCGACGGCGTCGCGAGCGGAGCGTTGCGAAGGTGTCCAGTCGTCGGGTGCGATACCGTCGAGGACGTACGAGCGGATGTCGTCCGCTAGGCACAGGCGAAGTTGGCGTGTCCAGTTCGCGAAGGTCTTCGCACCATCCAAGCGTGCGTGCTTTGGAAAGGCAGTGCGAGTGGTGCCGGACGTCGTGGCGGGTGTGGCAGTGCCGGAAGCGGCAGCGGTGAGACCCGACAGCAGCGATGTAAGTGCGGCGAGCTGTTCGGCGGGAATCGGAGGGTTGGCACCCGTCGCGAGGGGTGGTGTCGTGGTCATGCCAGCTGGTGGCTCGTGGGCTTATAACCTATGAGACGTTCACCACTACTGTCAGGAGAGGTTGAGAGTCGAACAGAAGTGATCTATTTCAGCGTACCTATGAGACGTTCACCACTACTGTCAGGAGAGGTTGAGAGTCGAACAGAAGTGATGAGAAGGAAGCTAAGAAAACAGAAAGGGGGGGCCACGCTGGGATAGTCCCAGGCGCGTGACAATGTACATCCCTAAGTCAGCCGCGGGTGAAATCGCCGGCGCGCCTAAGTCCCCACCGCAAGGGGGCGGGCTAGCGGGCGCGCGCATGAATCCGCCGGCGCTGGCGCGCTGAGGCAGTCGCGCGCGTCTAAGTCCCCACCGCCGGGGGCGGGCTAGCAAGTGCGCGCAACGACCGAGGCGCCCCTGTCGAGCTGAGAGTGGACTCTTCACAAAAACTGTATACTAAATATCTTTTCTTCATCTTTCTTTTATTACAGGTCTGCCTCCGTTGCTCATGGACCGGCTTGCGTTTGGGATTGACTCGACTGTGGCTCGCGCTCTCTGGCTTCGGGGTTCTGAGTTTAAGGGAGGGATCAGCAGACACAGGCAGAAAGTCGGCTTTGAGGGCCAGGACTGCTGAGGTGGAGGTTTTGAGGGGCCTCCACCGCGTCTTGTTGTGACCGAGCATAGACTTGGGATTTCGCGGTCAGGGTAGCTGCGCAGTCGCTCTCCTGTCTTTGTCTCGACCGAGTTGGGAAGTGGGTGCGGGGTGGGCCTCTTGTCGTTAGTACGCCAGTTCTTTTTCATTTTCTCTCTCTCATTCGTCTCCTGGGGGTGTGAAGAGTCCACTCTCAGCTCGACAGGGGCGCCTCGGTCGTTGCGCGCACTTGCTAGCCCGCCCCCGGCGGTGGGGACTTAGACGCGCGCGACTGCCTCAGCGCGCCAGCGCCGGCGGATTCATGCGCGCGCCCGCTAGCCCGCCCCCTTGCGGTGGGGACTTAGGCGCGCCGGCGATTTCACCCGCGGCTGACTTAGGGATGTACATTGTCACGCGCCTGGGACTATCCCAGCGTGGCCCCCCCCTTTCTGTTTCTTAGCTTCCTTCTCATCACTTCTGTTCGACTCTCAACCTCTCCTGACAGTAGTGGTGAACGTCTCATAGGTACGCTGAAATAGATCACTTCTGTTCGACTCTCAACCTCTCCTGACAGTAGTGGTGAACGTCTCATAGGTTATAAGCCCACGAGCCACCAGCTGGCATGACCACGACACCACCCTCGCGACGGGTGCCAACCCTCCGATTCCCGCCGAACAGCTCGCCGCACTTACATCGCTGCTGTCGGGTCTCACCGCTGCCGCTTCCGGCACTGCCACACCCGCCACGACGTCCGGCACCACTCGCACTGCCTTTCCAAAGCACGCACGCTTGGATGGTGCGAAGACCTTCGCGAACTGGACACGCCAACTTCGCCTGTGCCTAGCGGACGACATCCGCTCGTACGTCCTCGACGGTATCGCACCCGACGACTGGACACCTTCGCAACGCTCCGCTCGCGACGCCGTCGCTCGTGAGGTCCTTGCGAATTCGATTGACTCGGCCGAAGTCTCGGCAGTCCTCGACAAAATCCCTACCGCCGACCTGACAGCGCCGACAATCTACTCGACGCTGAAATCGCGGTACGCCCCTGACGACGCCACCCGCACGCTCGAGCTCTTCTCACGACTCTGGGGTTTCCGTCCCATGCCCGGCACGGTTGCCGAATTCGACGGGTGGATCATGGACTTCAAAGCCGTTGCGCAAGAGATCATCGACACAAAGACAACTATCAATGATGTTCTCGCCACACTCCTCCTTGCAATCGCCCACCCGTCCCTCGAGAGCTTCAAGGCGTCGTTCACCGATGAACAGCGCACGCAACGAACTCTCCCGACATTGATTCGCTTGCCGACCGTATGCGAGTCCAACTTCGGTCAACGAACATCCCCAGCACTCAATCGGCCCTTCTTGCCTCGTCGTCGTCACGTTCTACTCGTCTCAAGTGTCTCGCCTGTCGCAGCCCTTCGCACCGAGTCGCGGAGTGCCCTACGAGGGCGCAACACCCGCCGCCAGGACCCTGTCGCTCCTGCAAGAAGAAGGATCACTGGTCTCTCGACTGCAAGAAGGCGCTCGAGGACGGCAAAAAGCCCGACACCGCTGACTCGACCGTCGACTCGCAACACCATGTCGGATGTCTCGCCACCGGTCTTCTCGCTCGTCGTCGCCAGCTTCGCAACCACTCTTTTGTCGTCGACTCGGGCGCCACTTCGCACATGGTCTCGGACAAGTCGCTGTTCACGACCTATCGCCATATCGCTCCTACGAAGATTGGTGGTATTGCAGTGTGAAGAGTCCACTCTCAGCTCGACAGGGGCGCCTCGGTCCGTTGCGCGCACTTGCTAGCC